TCGAGTATAGGACACCAGGCCCGTTGAAGTTGATTAAAAGGAAAGACTGGGGAGGGCGCGAATAATAAAAGGAACTTAGGAACTTGAATAATTACGGTAACCTTGGAACTCTTAGGCGTCACGATAATCCTGAGTACAAGTAATTACAGTACATACTAGAGTACGAGAGTACTAGAGTGCATCTGCATGGCAGAGTACGGATACCGAGGACCAGGCACGCTGGATACTTGGGATGGCAGGTGGGTCTCTGATATGATATAATATTGGTTTGTATAATACCGTGGCCCATTTAGTCTTTTCCCCACTGCTTACCTGGGAACCAGCCCCGAGCTCTGGCATCTGTGCGTTGTGCGGTACGGAGTAGTGTACAGAGTACAGAGTACAATGTACAGCATAGTATGATCATAAAGTCTAGTCTAGTCTAGTCTACTCCGTACTCGTAGTATACTCGTACTACGAGTATAGTATAGTACAGTACGGAGTACAGTACTCCAACATGATCTGGTCCAGCATCTCAGTATCTTGAGTATCTGACACTAATGGTGGGTGTACCAAACGGATGTACCCGCCTAGCTCGGCTGCGTTGCCACATCCAGTTTAACTCCTATTTCATGGTGGAACAGAGCATGAGGCATGAGTGCCGTGACAGGCCCCGTTGCATGATTCGGATCTGCCTGGAATCTGTGAATCGACCTGCCGAGTAGGAGGGGGGGACCCGCCTGGTCTTTATGGAGAGAGAAACGGAAAGCGGATGATGGAGCACTCCCGTCTCGTCGATCCCATGTTTCTTTTTTCCTTTTTTGATTTCAATTTTGGATTATCAATTGTCAATTGTCGATACTTAATATTCTTTTTCCCCTGCCAGCTCCAGATCTTCAATCTTCTGTATGGTGTACGTGTATGTATCTATCTGGTAACTATGTTCCATCGGCCCCATAACCCATCACCAGAGCCCATAACAATCCCATTCTTCATGGATCCCCGAAAGTTGCCATTTAACTTTGCCAAAAACTCTGTCTGTTCACGAGGCGTCGACCGCTGTCTGACCCTGGCGGGCTCCAGGCCACTCCCCATAGCCAATGATTCGGTCTCCGTCCGATATCAAATGACAATAACCCTCCTCCGAGTCCGTCCTCCGGACGCCTCTCTATATTTAACCCGACCTCGTCATATCTCAGACTTGGCACATGCGACAGACAAGGCCGACCATGATGCGGAGTAGAACCTGGCATTGTTCTAATGCAGAACATGAACAAGGGCTTGTCGAGGACAGTGCGTGGTCTAGAGCAAAGTAAACCACTCCCACGGGTGCATTTCACCCGCGCCACTTCAGCAGAGTTGGGGAAAAATAAGATAAAATTGGTAGTAAAATCAAATAAGGAAAGAGTTAGAAGAAGACAACACAACACAACTCTACAAAGTACGGATACAAAAGCACGAAAGGGCGAGTGTCAACAAATAAACGAAACGCCCAGCATGCATGATGCATAGAAGACTCGGACGGACGCAGCGAGGAGTTCGTCCACGATCCACGTGAAACCTAGTGAGGGCTAGCGGTGAACACCAGAAGGATGACAACGATGTCGGCCAAAAAGCAAAAAAAGAGTCCAAGTACATACTCCGTACCCTGCATTTTGGCACGATTCCAGCACGATCACCCCATGGAAAATTGGGGGGCGGGATCGATTGTCTTTCTCTCTGCCTTCTGTGCTCCCGACTTATCCTCCTTCGGTAGCCACTACTGCACACTAAAGAACGCCTCCTCTCTTCTCCTCTTCCGCAATCCTCCAGTTGCGACCGATGATCATTCCGAATTGAATCCATCCCTCGTTGCCCAACGGTTCCACCAGGTGCTGCCTCTGCGGACTGGACCTTTCGGATCTGCTCGGACTGATACTGCATCTGGTCTCCCCTAATCTAAGCTTTGACTTGGGGGGGAAGAATGGAAAGTGGGCATGGGCAGTTGGGAAGATCGGGGATGACAGTGGCACTTTGGCTAAAATCTCGCCTCTAACACCCTCACTACCACCACGCCCCCTGGTCTCTAAATAGCGGGAAAATGTGGAACTCTCTGCAGCGTCGTACTCTCCTTAGCCTGCTTTCCCCCCTCTTCGTATATAGCCAGAAGGAAGGAAAACGGCCGAGAGGTCTGCGGGATGGGCCTGCGTCCGCGCGTGGCGAAACACTTTACCCAAGATATGACGTCCGATGTACTCCGTACCTCCCATTCTGTAGGTACTCACGCAAGTACTACTCTTAGCTCTGTACAGTACACTTAAGTTACTCCGTACCTGGAAAAGGTCGGAGGATATTCTTGGGAGCTGACCGAAGCGAGGGCTTTGGATCCAGTTCCCCCAGTTCATCCAGTCACAAGCTTGTCTCCGCACACCGCCATGCGAGGCTGACCCGAGCCCCTGGGAAATTGTAAACAAATAAACTGGATCGAGAGAGAGGGAGACAGAGCAAAAGAGAAAGGCCACGGTGTTTGGCAGGACAGTTCGTTCTCGGCTGTGCTGGTCAATGCTCTTGCCAGAGTGTCGGATCCTCCACCTCTCTCCTGTCTCCCTCCCCCCCCCTCCCTTCATTGTTCCGCCTCCTGAGCCTGGCTCCACGTCCTCGTACAGGATCGTCGGGTCCCGTGGGTCGGTTCTGGCCTGCCTCGCTCAGATGGGCTCAGATGGGCTCAGTGCCCGCTCTCAGATGGTCTGAGTTGCTCATGGGTGGGCCTCGTGCCTGTCGCTCATTGCCCGGCTGGGGGCGGGTCGTCGGAAGCAGAGTTTCGCTGGATTCTGGGTGGATTGGGTGATTTTGGGTGAGTTTGGTGGAGAAGGGGGGGGCGTTCGAGGTGGTACAAGCCGGTACAAACCCTACAAACCCCCCAATCCTAATTCGTATGAGATATACGGAGATGTACTGGAGTATAGTATGGAAGTGCATCTGTACCAATCTCATACCAGCGCCCACGTCAAGCCCATCAAACCATCAAAGTTCACTGACGTTAGACGTTGACCGTTGTCGGGCGCTATTTCCGTACTATCCAGGATTTAATATCGGCCTACCTACTCGTATCGTACTCAATACTCGGGATGGAGTAATAATCACCTGGGCAAGAATCTTCAGAAACGTACCACCCGTGCAGGGTTCAATCGGACCATGCTGTCAGTGTCATACTCACTGTCATTGTCTTGACATCCTTGTTCCGGAGTATAACCGGCTGCATCATGGATCTACTTTCATCACATCCATTTCAATGGAACCTCGATCCTTCTGACCAGAGTCGCAAAACTCAATCGCTGCTTGCTTTTAATTTCAGCTCGGTCAATCAATTGTACTTCATACTATATTACGACCGAGTAATGTACACAAGTATCTTCGCTTATGCTGTTCTGTAAGACATAATAGCCTGGCCCCCAACTCTCGGCACTGAGGCCCTACTGTACTCTGTACTCTTTCCGTTCCATTTCGTCAGAAACCGTATGTACTACTTACGAAGTACGAGTAAACAAAATATCCTGCCCCTGTACTGCGTACAGAAGTCAATTCTACATTTACTGTGTACACCTGTCGCAACTACTACATATGTGGCACTTCATCGTGGCACCAAGCCACTGCATAGTCGTACTCAGTCGCCACGCGCCAAAAATAAGCCTGCTTGAGGCTGGCTGGTTCCCGATTTGAAGATAGAGTGCTCACCTGCATTGTAATTGCTGGGTTCGCGTTCCGTATGGAAAGGCAAATGCGAACACATACGAGGGGGTATGGGGGAGTAAGCATCGGCATGTCCTATCACTGGTCCCTCCAGAGCCTCTCCCCTCCTCTCAGACGAAGGGGGCCGGGGCACACCAGTTTTAAACAGTTTCACTCGTCGCCGGCGATGTCCGTGTCTCTCTCTCCAGGAATCCCATCCACAAATGAACGACTTGCCCCGATGATACGAATAAGAGACAGAGATAGGCAGCTGAACCTCCCCCTCTCTCCTCCCGGGACCAAAGAATGGGGAGGGGGAACTAGTGGGATCAAAGTTTACGAGGATGGATGGTTGCTTCTGAGGAGTCAGCGACCTGACCGGCTTAGAGCCAATGAGTGAAGTCCCTCCCTCCATTCTGAATCTCGAGAATGGAGAAACTGGGAAAGGGCGTATCTGAGGATCGACAAGCGCTCCAGGATATTAAATCTGGGTGCAAGCGAGGAAGCTCTGTCGATCAGCCGTCCTGTCCAACTGCCAGTGCCAGTGGTGGCTGAATTGCAGGTCAGGCCCTGAATAGGAGTGATGCGATGTCAGTCACGATTCGCTGGACCAAGCCTTGAAGGTTCTACTATATACAAATCGAGGTAAGAAACTTCAGCTGAAAGATTCAGAGCTGAACCGAACCAGTCGAAATGGAGAAGCTACAACAAATGAACTACCAAATACTCGTACACGATACCTCCCAATGGGGCAAGAGTCTCTCAGCGATGATTAACGGGCCCTCCGAACCATACTGCCGCATGGTGATGATCATGTTCGCGAACTAGTGTGATCGTGCATGAAATCAAGACACCGCAAACCCCCATTCAAGCAAATAAATCCCCCCCAAAACCAAAACGGGGCTGTCAAGTCCGTTACTAGACTCGATAGTGTCTCCTCGAGGAGGGGGCTGCAGGCCGCGCCGTTGCAAATCATTTGTGATGTATCACGCAGTTCAACGCCCATCATGAGCCGATGCCGTTGACAGCAGTTAATCCAATTCCCGGAATCGGACTTTTCTCCACGCTACCCCCGCGATGATGATTTCAAATATGTATATCAAATCAAAAAGTTTCTGGTTGTGGTCGACATGTCATATGATCCGGTGACGCAGTCACGGTAACTGGCCTCACCCAACGCCTTGCTCTATATGTATGAAAGACTCCAATTCCTTCGCTCTCGCTCTCGCTCAGAGATCCTTGATGGGCAATGGCCGATCAGGATGATCAACTCTTCGGCGGGTCATAAACGCCTTGCATCTCACTTCATATATCTAGTCGGTACCGCCCAGCTGGGACTTGATGGAAATAATATCCTCGTCCTCGTGAACTTCGATGACTCGGTTGACCTCTGCGGTATTGCGCATCAACTCCACGGCTCCGGCGTACATCATTCGTTGGGATGGGTTGCAGTTCACAGGCATGTAGTAGAGCATGACGTAAGGGACAGAAACACGGCCATCTCCCTACAAAACATTTTTATATTAGCCAGTGGACCATAACAGGCAGGGTATACTGTGACTGTGACTGTGACTGTGACAGACTCACCAATGTCAAGGGGTGGCTGAGGAGAATGAAGCGAGGCGATGATTCAGGGAGGTCATCGGCAAGGTCCTCCATATTGGTGTAGACTTCGTCATCCTGTGCGCGGATTTCCTGATTCTTCGCATCGATGATATCTGCAGGGTCAAATCAGCGACTATTCTGTTGCGGGATTTGAGATGGTGATTCAAGTTGATAAAATCCATGGATGACGTGATATATCTGAGGTAAACGGGTTGGAGGTGGAGGTAGGCTTTAGGAAGGAGATCACGAGGTCGTACAGATTCTAGCTTGCGCATCCTTTGCGCGAGAGGTGGTGAGACGGAACTTGCGCAGCTGCTCCTTTGTCTCCGGGGAGAAGGAGTATAACCGGGAATCAGTCTGGGGGAGGAGGGCGTTAGCTGTCTTGATCTGGCTCAGATGCCCACGCGCGGCGCGGGGTTCAGAAGGCTTACCATTTTGAAGATATGATGGAGGAAATATAGATCTGATGGAATGCGCAACACCAACAAGTCCGGCTCTCAATAAATATCGCAATCGAATAGCTCTGTGCCAGGAATCACCAAGGTGGAAAGATGTGAGGAAGATGCGCAGGAGGATGAAAATGCGGGCGGAGTGATTTCCCCTTGTTCAGTTCCCCTCCTCCCCCACTTCCTTCTCCATTCCATCTCCGCCCTTCATCAATCGCCACTCCAGCTTGCCTTAAAGACCCTCTCCATGCTGAACCGTTTAAACCTACTGAAACAGCACCTCCCGTCCTTCAGTCCCTCTCGTCCGACCATCCCAGCTCTTTCTCCGCTGGCTTCGCCCGCAACTCCGCCCGCTATGACATCAGCCGCCCTGAATTTCACCAAGCCCATACACACCGCGGCAGCCCTCATCATCGGCGATGAGGTGCTCGGTGGAAAGGTAAGAAATCGCGTATGGGGCATCCTGCAGAACGATTGCGCTGACCACTTCCCACACCTACAGACAATCGATACCAATTCCCCCTACCTGGCCAAGTTCTGCTTCGGTCTCGGCATTCAACTGAAGAGGGTAGAGGTCATCCCCGACGATGAAGAGGACATAATTGAGGCAGTGCGCCGCATGAGTGCCCGCTACGACTTTGTCGTCACCAGCGGAGGCATTGGTCCAACGTCAGTATCCTTACACCCAATACCCATTTCGCCTTGACCCAACTGGATCGCGATTTGTCCTCTACGCATCTACCTACACACCAACTAATGCCGAATACTGCCAACAGACACGATGATATCACCTACTCATCGATCGCCAAGGCCTTCAACTTGAAGTTGCAATTACACCAGGCCGCCTTCGAGCGCATGAAGAAGCTCTCCAAGCCGCACCCAATGCAGCCCAACTTCGACTGGGAGACCCCATCCCCAGGCCTTACAGCTAAGCTGCGCATGGTGGAGATGCCCTTTGACGAGAACATCCCCGCAGAGAACCAAGCCCTCTTCGTCTCCGAAGATCTATGGGTCCCCATTTCCGTCGTCAACGGCAACGTACATATCCTCCCCGGCGTGCCGCGTCTCTTCGAGCGACTACTAGACCACCTGAAGCCGCACCTTATCCACCGCCTATCTGACCCAGAGGGCAAGGGCACCCACCGTTTCCTCTTCAGCACGCCTTTGCCTGAGAGTGCAGTTGCGCCGTACTTGACCGAGCTGGCTGCCAAGGTTGAGCCCAATGGTATCAAGGTCGGTAGTTACCCGCGCTGGGGAAAGAAGCGTAACACCGTTACGCTGGTCGGTGCGAACAAGGAGTATCTCGAATCTTTGGTTGCTGAGGTCGAGGCTGCTGTGCAGGGTAAGCGTGTTTCGAAGGAGGATGAGTTGGATCCTGTTGATGAGGAGGATCGTGTTTATAGCCAGTAGGCTTGTATATCTGTATCATACCATGCTTGTTTAATCGAGCAGCATTGAGCAGCAATAGATTTCAAATGTGAATATATCATGACCATCACCTGCTAGTGGCCATCTAACGTCCTCCTCCCATAAATGGAAGAGAAGGGAAGGGAAGGGGAGCCTGGATGGGCAAACCGTTGGCCTTGACCACACACCTGCTTCCATTCACTCTTCAACCCGCCACAACACGTTCCTTCTAACCACTTCTTTCTGTTCAATACCTTCCTCTGTCTCAAATACCAATCGCTAATCTTGTCTGTCTACGCTTGTTCATTCCAGGCTACTCTGAATATCCAGCAGTCAACCACGTACAAAGAAGGAAAAGGAGCAGCCAGCCCAGCCTCCCATCAAAACGTCGTTCATTGTCAGTCATCTCTGATCCACATCAGACAAACTCATGCATCCATTTAACAAGGCAAGAAGGCAGTTTCATCATGGACCCCGAAACCTCCACTGCTGTACACTACCGGCTAAAGGAAACCCAAATCAGACGCGAATGGGTGTAAGTTTCCTTCAATAACCAAGCTCTTGCTACCTCCCGGGATGGATCTACTAACCTATACAGAGATGAAAATGTCTGCAATTGCCCTCCGAACGAACACGTACCGCTCGACCGGTGGCCGAAAAACCATGCCCAGATTGTACGTTCTGTTTCGGCTCTCGATCATTCAACTCCGAAGAGATACTGACATTTCCCCCCGTGCCTCTAGAGAATACCAGTCTGTGCGATACGATGCCCCTATTGCAATTACCGGCCCAAGAAATTGGAAAACCTCAGCGCCGAGGTGCGGAAGCACATCAACCGTTCTCATATTGTGAGTGGGAAGCGCTGCAGCACTCTTGGCTTGGAATTTACCAGTTCTTATTCTTACGGCAGCCTTTGATCTAGATAATGCGGGAGTATGCAGGATTGGAGGTTGAACGATGGCACTGGGGATACGAGTAAGTGCCCGCTGCTTCTCCTCGAATCTTGCCACGATGTTTCAATTTCCTCTCCCATTTTCCTGGGCTAATCGGCTTCTCTCTGTCTTTTCTTAGCATCTTCCAAACAGCTCCCGAGCCTCTCCATTCTGCTACTGCCGAAGATGAGAACAAAGATCTACCAGAGACCCAAAGGGTTGTTACCCGAGCTGCCAAACGAGCTCGCCTACACGAAGAATCCGAAACGAATCGCGAAAAACTCACCATGGAATATCTCCGAGTGCGTGAAAAGCATGCCCTTGAATTTTCCCGAGCATGTGAGGATCGTGTCTGGAAATATGCCCGGGAGCGCGAGGACCTTACCGGAAGATATCTCAGAGGATGTGAGGATCGTGCCCTTGTCTATACCAGCGAGCGTGTGGAACTTGAGAGAGAGAACAGCACGCAGAGACTGCTATTGCTGGGGAAGCTTACGTTGAGGATAACACTGGCGATGAGAAGAGCTGTGGAAAGAAGAAAATTGCAGTGGTACTTAGTTGCAAGCGCCGAGGTTCTTCAGGGCTCTGAAGGTGGTTAGGGATACACCTGGGCGGGCCGGTTTTTTCAAGCTCAAGTTTCAAAGGGGGTTTCTATTCATGGGTTTCCTGGTTTCAATTCGCGGTTTATTTCTGACAATTTATTATCGTCGAGGTCTTGCCAGTTGCTCCACATCATATATCCCACATTCAGAGTCCCATATCAGACACGCTTTGAAGTTGATTCCGCTCTTGCAAACGACTGTACTGTGTTGGTGTTCTCATCGCTGAGGGTTTCCAAGGTTCCAGTAGACTTCAGTTCGGGATAGCGTGCAAAGCATCATGATGTACTAGTACAATAGTATCAGCCCAGAGATTAATAATATAACTTTGAAATGTTCAACACGGTCAATCTTATTCATCAGATATACCAGTATCACCTTCTGCACGGTGCAGTATATGATGCCTCGATCTGGCATCCATGGGTATTATATCATACGAGCTGGAACGACGAGACATTGGACAAAAGAACACACCAGAAACATCGGTGGGAAGAAACCCCTCCGAGGAAAATATATTGACAGCCATGTTGTCTCGCAATCGAGACAAACAAGATGATAGACAAAATGGGGATGATGACCTGGACACACAATTCTTTCGCAAACATAAGATGAACAGATAGTGAAAAAGGAAAATTGGAAAGTGAAAATGAAAAAAAAGTAAAGAATTAAGAGCCGCAGACGGATAACAAAAGACAAAAACAAAAGGGGAATCAAAAATTCGTGAGACGAGGTTGGCGTCAAGTCAAGACGTTGGCTCGTCATTCCGCGAGAAAACGTCGGGGGAAGATAATAAAACCCGCGATTGAAATCCGGGCAGCGACGAACAAACCACCAGCTTCTTTTTTGGGTGTCGGGGGGGAAGGGGAGTTGGGGAAGGGGAGTTGGGGAAGGGAAGTTGGGTAGGATGGGTGTTGGCTTTTTTGTTTTCACGGGATATTTTGGTGGTTTTTTTTGTTTCGCCTCGTTTGTTTTCGTTGTTTGTTGTTGTTGGTTGGATTATTTTCCCCTTCCCAGATCCGTGATCTCGCGCGTTGTTGAATTTCCAAGCTTCTTCCTCCCCCCTCGACTCTTCAGCGCATCATCTCCTCAATCTGAATGCATTATTTCACGAACACATGTAACACACGTATCCCACACACACACACACACACACACACACACACCCGTCAATTCCACAATATTCCCATTAGCCCGTTCTTATTTGTAACTCGTTCGTTCGAATGTTAAGTTCTCCCGTACTCGATGATCTGTCGTATCGTATGGGGGAAATCTGCATTGCTTTTGCGATAGGCGAAGGGATTGGGCGTGGCATGTCAAAATTTACATAATGACACACTTGGAGCAGCAGCCGGCACTCTCACCGGGCTCGCTGACATCCATCTTGCCCTCTAGGGGCGCGAGCACCGAAAGCGCCCGAGCCGGATGGGTAGGAGGCCATATCCTTGTTGTAGCGGCGGATCTCACGGACGAGGTCGTAGAAGGCGTTCTCGACGTTGATGCGGGACTTGGCGGAGGTCTCGATGAACTTGCAACCGAATTGTCGGGCCAGGGCCTCACCCTCTGTGTGGGAAATGTGTTAGCTATCTCAAGACTCGCTCCCAATGGTAGGAAAGCTTTGCTCCGCGGATATCCACGTCCCACCGGGGGAAAGGGGAGAGGGGAGATTCAACGCACCTTGCTCCGAGACCACGCGCTCCTTCTCCAAATCACACTTGTTAGCGACGACGATGATGGGGAAATAGTCCTTGTCCTTGACGCGCAGGATTTGCTGTTGGAAGGTCATGATTTCTTCGAATGATTGACGCGAGGTGATGGAGTAGATGAGCAGGAAGCCCTCGCCGGTTCGCATATACTGTTCTCGCATCGCGGAGTACTCCTCCTGGCCGGCAGTGTCGAGGACGTCCAACAGAGCAACCTCATCGTCGATCACGCATTGCTTGCGGTAGGAATCTGGAAGGGTAGGGAACTCGGTGAGCGATTGGGGACTCGATGGAGGGTGTTGGACAGGGCTGGGCTCAGCGGCTCACCTTCAATTGTTGGGTCGTACTCGTCCACGAAATGGCTCTGGATCAGCTGGATGGTCAAGCATGATTTACCGACACCACCACCGCCGACGACGACTAGCTTGTACTCTCGTAGGAACTGTAGATGGGAAGCAGGGCGTGGTTAGCGAATGGATTATCAAGCATTGGGGGAGGTCTGGTTGGTTCGCATGGGATGGGAACTGAGGGGGGGCGGAGGAGGCGGAGGAGGCAGAGGCAGCAGGTCCTGGGAAGGAAACCGACGAGATATCATAATAGTGACAGGAACAGGAACAAGATTGAGCTTACCTTGGAAGCCATTTTGGAAGAAGAATTATGGTGATAAAAGGTCGGGGAGAGGCGACAGGGGGGGGGGGGAGAAAGGAAGATTGTCGGGAAAAGGGAAGATCAGATCGAAGGGGCCGATCAAATTATGCGAGAGGAGAGCGGCGAGAGGACCAAGGTTCACCACGGGTTGAGGGGGGGTTGGAATAAAGAAGAAAACCCCAAATAAATATAAATATTAAATATGCAAAAATAAAGATAAAAAACCTCGGGGAGAATACAAGGTAAACCAAGGTGCAGTGGGTGTTTTTAGGGGGAACCTTTGGAAGGGGAAATCAGGAGGTTCTCAAGGCGGGAAGAGAAAAGAAAGGGAAAGGCTGGACTTGGACTGGTGTGGAGTGGAGTAGTAGTGTAGTGCTGTGTAGTAGTGAATCAGATGAGAATTATTTGTACTTGTCTCCCTAGGAGGAATGGAAATAGCAATATTAAAAAGTAAAGGTGCTGGTGCTGGTGCTGATGCTGTTGCTAATGCTAATGCTACTATGCTATGCTATGCTGAAGATAACTGGCGATTCAGGGGGATGGCGGTTGGTACTGCGGAACTTACTAGGAACTTGGGATTGGGAACTTGAACTTGGGAGTTCATTTCATTTCATCTATTGCCTTTCTTTTCGGTCTAGTCTGGTTCGTTTTAATCTCCTTGACCAACTGTGGCTCCTTCCATCATATAAATGTCTTGGCTGGCTGGCTTAGTTGATTACCAGAGAGTCGTACAGTAGTTTGACTCCAGGGCTCCCTTCTACGAGTACGATACACCTTGAGTCCTTGACAGCTAGTGGATCGGTGGGGAGAATGGAGAACTTGAATGGAGAATGGAGAAGGGAGAATGGGTCTAGGGCATCGGGTTAGTTCACACGCCTAGCGCTGTGATGTTGTGACGGGCGCAATGGGGCTGGCCACTACCACTTCGCTACCACTTCTTCCTTAGGGATCCTTCGGTATCCCTAAGGATCCCTGATGAAGCCGAGGATCCTGCTTCTCTTCCCCCACTCTTCTATTCCCAACTTCTTTTCCATGCAAGGGCGGTTGCAGGTTCGGAAACCAAAGCATAGCACCAACACCACACCCGCCCAGCATGGATGGAATAACAATGGCTTGCAGGAGGTGCCCGCCTTGCATGCTCATTGCATCATCCCGGCGCGGCGGTGGGAATGTGGAAATGTGGAAATGTGGGAATTACACCCCATCCCATCCCATCCCCATCCGATACTCTCATATCTCATCACACATCACATAGTCATTTATCACACCTTCCTTTACCGCCCCGCTAAACCGATCCCAAGCCATCCTAAACCATCCTACTGCATCCTTTTTCCCCACGTCGTGGTTGACATATGCAAAACCTGCAGATCTCTTGCTGTCCAAAAATCGTGGCGATCCAGGGTACTGGCTATGGTCGGGCATTGGATTTCTTTCTTTTCTCTCTTTTCTCTCTTTTCTACTTTTTTCTATTTTTTTTGTGTGACCCTATATTGCTTAGATTAAAGTACTTGGTTCTCTCTTGCTGTCAGCCACACCAACTTCATCCATGGGCCTGCAAAACTCAATTCAATTCCCCTACACTCTACATTGTCGTACAGATCTCTCAACTTACTTTGTAAAAGAACTAACAAACTCAATGTCCTACAGAACTCCTGCAGATATGATCCATCAATTGTCCGACACACGGTGACAGATCAAAGCCCTGCAGCTGTCGCTTTCCGGCAGGTGGCACTTTTTGACTCAATTCCCGGCGATTCTTTGTTCGCTGTCAGTAGGCAGTGATGCAGGTCATGTTGAATGAACTGTGAGACATTCGCTGGCAGCTTGGACAAGCTGTTTCCTGCAAATACCACGCATCTCTCTCCAAGCAGTGACAGCAAAGACCACAAACACATGTCTAGTTTTTACTGTTCTGTCTATCCCATCCCCAACCCCACCCACACACTACTTGTACTAACATACCCCCATACCAAACCGAACACGTCAACCCCCAGCGAGATGATCGACCCTAAGTTGGATCCACCGGACCTCCAACTCGGCAGTCTATACATCCTCCTCTTCACGCGAAACGACCCACCAGAAGCAAACGACTTCCACTGGGGCTTTTACCTCCACCAAAACCCCATCACCGGAGGTACAAAGTACCACATCAAGACCGTCGGACCCGGGTGGATCCCCGAACATGGAGCCAACGCCGCCATCATGAAGGAGTTTTTGCTCGTGGGTCTTTTTCGCATCGCCGATGTGCCAGCCCACTGGCACCCCCACTTAGATCGAACTTTTCGCTCCCTGGATGCTAGACTCAATCACCCGACTCAGACTTGTCGAGTCTGGGTCCTGGATGTTCTCGCCCTGCTTCAGAAACAGAAACAGGTTGATGGTGGTGACCGGATCTTCAAGTGCGATGATATCCCGGCTCTTCAGCAGGAGATCTTCGATTGGGGTAACCTGCACGCCATGAGTGCTGCGAGGAACGAGCAGCCCAGACCAATTGGTGCTTCCACTTTGTGTGGTCTGTCACATCGCGCTATGGGCGCTACTTAGTTCATGGATCAGAAAGAACTGGACTGGAGCTACGTAGATGACATCGGTTGGTGCGGCTCAGCTGTTAATTTGACTTGTATGATTATATTCAAGGTTTTTGAAGTGGGAAAGCTAGTAGGGTACCTATTACTCCGTATCGCATCGCATCGCATCGTATCGCATGTACATATGCCGCGCATCTCCTTTCCAAACTCCCCCGTAACTGAAGATCATCCACAGTACAATCAAGGAATGGGACGCCCAGGTTGATCGTCCCCGTCGACGCCGTACGACCCCACCTCACATGATTCTACAGCGCTGCATGAGGGGTAACACAACCACCTATCAATTGCATTCAGACTTATGTATCATGAAACCATGCCATTCTAGAAAATGCTATCTATCTCGTATTCTCCTATATCCCGGTTGTAATACAGCAAGCTCAAGACTTGCGGTGCATGGTGCCGGCACCAGCCTGAACCGATAGTTAGTCCCGACGTATGTGTATGGATTTAAGAGGAATTGCCTAGACATACCTGGTGACTGGGGAAGACCAACGTATCAGCAATAACCACGTTCTCACGACGTCCAGCAGCAAAGACAATAACCTCAGCAATGTCGTCGCCGGTAAGTGGCTCGCAGCCCCTGAAGACAAAAAAAAAATTATCGTTAGCCCTCCCTGTTCCTGGCAGACCGAAGGTACAGCAGCGGGTGGATGACTACTCACGCGTAGACGGCATCAGCCTTGGACTTATCACCGTAGAACCGCACAACAGAGAACTCGGTCTCAACCTGACCGGGGTCGATCGCAATGACACGGATTCTCGTGGCAATCAGTTCCTTGCGCAGGGCATCGGTGAAGGACTTGACAGCGGCCTTGGTCGCACAGTAGATACCACCACCGGGGTAAGGTTCCCGGCCGGCAATGCTACCGATGTTAATAATGTCGCCGCGGCCACCCTCGTCGCGCTTCTTGAAGATCGGGAGGACCGCCTGGGTCATGTTGATCAGGCCGGTCACGTTGGTGTCGAACATGACTTTTATATCCTCGGCCGCGATGTTAGGGGCTTGAGCAACGCCCTTAACCAGACCGCTACAGAGCCAATGTCAGTATAACCGGGTTGATTCATGTAGAAGGGGAGGACGGAGATGGAGATGGAGATGGATAGATTCCATGAGACTCACGCATTGTTGACCAGAACATCAATCTCCTTAAACTCCGCCGGTAGAGAGGGAACAAAGTTGTTGATCTCCTCCGGATTGCTAATATCCAGCTTAACAGGGAGAACCTGCACGCCGTCACCGACCTCCTCCTTAATCTCAGCAGCAACCTTATTGAGGGCATCAATGCGGCGCGCCGTCAGGATAAGCTTAAGGTTCTTCGGAGAAGTGCGCGCAAATTCCTTCGCGGTGCTGGCACCGATGCCGGACGAGGCGCCAGTCACCAGGATCGTCTTGCCCTCGAGGCGCTTGGCCATTGCGGAAGCCATGGTGCGTCGGATGGTGGGTTGTAGTGGTGGACGGGTAAGTGGGTTTGGGGTTGCTATGAGGGGCGAGGCGCGCGGGTGGGTCGAGAGTTGTTGCAGAAATTGAATTGATCTACCGCAAGCTCTGAGATGGTTCATCGAGGGATTAGGAGTAGGATGTCGGCCGAATTGTAAAGAAAATCAGAGAAGGCCCCCCAAGGTGTGCGGGGATGTCTGGCGTCATATTGGCTTATGTAACCGGTTAATAGTTGCGCCTCGGCTTTCTCCCCGACGTTCAGGTTACTATCGGAGTAGAATTGCACCGGGGTTGTTTGGGATTTGGAATTTGTGGCGGGGTTCAATTGTATATAATCTTCATGTGCTAATCTTGTCTGACTGATGTCTCGATTACTTCAATCTGGGCAGTTGGGTATTAGTATGCTGCCGGTGCGCAGCGCAGTCACGGTGTTAGTATATCCTGACGTTCAGGCTCGGAGGTGTCTTTCCCCGAACTCGGAGCTTCCAAGTTCGTTCTACTAAGATCGAGCTTGAGATTGTTTATTCCAAAGTGATTTCCGAAGATCAAACCTTACAAGGCTTATTATCTCGGCTCAGATACTATGGATTAAACGTGGAATACTGTAAATATTTGCTGGGTCTAGTCCCTGGGCGGATTAGCGGGTTATTGTAGTGCTGACTCTACTAGATATTACCTTTGAGGAGCCCTATATTTACTAATATAAAACTTCCCATGTAGCAACCCGTCGACTTATCATAATAATTTTCAATGAAAAGCTCTGGACGGCCAACAAAACGAGTCTTCAAAAATACTCGACTTTGTCATTCTTTTTGATGAAGTATGTCAGTGGATCATCTTCATGGGGCTCTTCCTACATGGCATACCTGATATTACCTAGACAAGTATAGAAATTTAGCATTGACATATTGCAGCTGTGATTCACCTTCCTTATGATAGACCACCATATACCGTCATACCAAGAAGCGAACTTGAAGAATTCAAGTTCTATAGATCACAACGGTAAGCTTGAATGGCTGCCATGGTTCCATGGGCTCAGTACGATGATGGGATGTCCATCGCTCTTGCCGTGGGGATGGGTCTTGGTCGTGGTCGTGCCTTCCACTTTCACGCCCACACGATATCAAAACAAACAGTCACGAAGATGCATCGCTAGAGAACTTACACCTACCTCGACCTCCTTACGAGACCCTGCAGATCACAGTGTCACCATGGCGATTGATCCGATCCAGAAACAACCTGCATCCCCCCCCAGATCCTTGCTCCATCGCAGCCCAAAATCTGATCGGACTACTTGCTCCGTTAGTCCCAGATGAGACAGGGTCTTCCTCGACTCCGCTACAAACAAGCAGTCTCAGGGAAGTCCTGTCTGCTGTCCAGACTCTCGTCTCTACTCTCAGACCCGAGAGCCCAGTATTTGCAACCTTCCATGATGGCCGCGTGCATGATCCGCTTGGGGGTGGCTCCTATGCATTCCAGAAAGACGTCGTTGAGCCTGTTCTGTTTGCTCTCATGAACGATGAGATCCTTTCGAATGGTGAAAAAGAGCCCCTGCTTAACAAGAAGAGTATGGCAACACCTCCCAAGATTTGTTCACCATGCTATGCTCAGCTTCCAACTCGCCCCATTGTCCTTCATGCTGGAGCGCAGCCAAACAACTCTCCTCACGCCGGCACCATCATCGTTTTCTGCTATGCCTTTTCGCTCGCTCGAGCGATCCGTGATCGAATGCAAGCTATCGTAACCGGTACAGAACTTCAGCCGCCGCCCATCTCGGTCGAGATCACTTTCATTGACACCGCGCCAGTCCCAGGCCACGAGACCTCAATCGAAGGAATAAAATACCAGAAATCTTACAGGGATGTCCCCGAGGCCCTCAACACTCATATGGCTGATTATGATCAGATTCTTCAGCTCCTGTCTACCTGGTCTGAGATCCCTTTCGAGAACACCTTTCAGTCAGAATTCCTTTCTCAGCCTGTCATGCCGTCTCTCCTTCGCTACATTATCGCTCACCATGAGATCCTAGGCCATCAGCTTTCCCCAAAGTATGGCAAGCTTGCACTACGTGCTGCTTGCCCTGTCCTTGGCTGTGGTTTGGCAGAGAAACACGGCCGCCTCAATCTGTACAGTGAGGAGACCAATACTAAAAGCGGAACTGAATCTCCCAAGACTACAGACTCTACGATTACCTTTCATTGCCCACACCATGGCCGACACATCATTTCCACGTCTGATCCTGGCGAAGTTGCCTGTCTAGAAGCAAACGCCCCAGCACGCAACCTCATTCGCAGCATGAGCCAGATGCTTGACACTAGCACGCACCATGTACGCATCACGGGCTCGGATTATGCCGGTATGTACCAGGAAGCTTTGCTCTACCGTCCGTTAGCGGGCTGGTCGAGAGCCACCGGGCTGGCAGCAGGAAGAACACCCCAGATCCTCTATGCACCACTTATTGTGGATTGGAGTGGCGCGAAGCTTTCCAAGAGCTTGTATGTCCGTGAGGGTGGGTATCAGGCGATGGAGCTATTCGGAACTGAAGGACTGTGCAGCTTTTCCCAGTTGAAGGTTCACTTTGGCGACGATGGGGCAGAGGGGTTGAGAAGACTGTGGGAAGAAGTGCAAGGGTGGCTTGAAGATCCCAGAAAGCTCTTCAGAACATTCTCAGTCGAATATCTACGAAAGGTGGTTATGGAAGGACAAGAATGGGCATAACCCTAAATCTAACTTGACGGGGACTCTTCTGGGTGGCCGCAGGGGCAGATACGGCAGGTACGGTAGGAATGGTACCTAGTAGTACCCGTGGACCGTGGCTTCCTTGCGTGACTAGTAGGTATACCTTAGTTTGTTTGTCTTGTATTCCGTACAACACGTCAACTTCTTCCAACTTTCTCTTCGTGTCTCTATCTCTCTTTCATCTACCCACCACATATTTCACACTCATTACTCTTTCGATCTCAACCAATATGGCGCCCTCGCGTATTCCACTAGCCAGTGGTACTTCATTCATCCAGATCACTTTGAATGGTTCCTTCATCAAAGGCTCGCCCACTGTCACCTCACCCAAGCTCGACAAGGCAGCTCGAGTCTCCAAGAAGTCACCTCCATCCAAGCCAAAGTCCAAGGCCAAGTCGACCCGCCCAGAGGCCTCCGATCGAGTGCTAACCGATGTGCTGATGGCCATCCGGCCGGTGCACCTTGGGAACATCATCAGCCAACAGAAGAACCACGAATACCGCAAGTACCGACTTCGTGATGGAGTGAGACGACTATGGTTCTACGAGACGAGCGACGGTGGCCAGGGTCAGGCATCTATTACGTGAGTTCATTTCAACTATCCTTCCACTTCCATTCAAACGACTACACGTACTTGCCGTCTGACTTTCTCCGGCTCCCCTTCACTTTCTCCCCATACTGATCTATGCCCAGGCACATCGCGGTTATCCCCCCGACCACGCGTCATGAACCCGGCTCTGTGCCCACCGAGCCCTTCGGCATAGGCAACGAGGAATTCAACGCCGGGCTAAAGCAGTCGAAGTACGGATACCCCGTACTCGAAGTCCATGAACTGGTCCGCCCAGTGACGTTGACGGAGATGAAGGATCGATGGGGCATGGGACCCCCCCATGGGCTGGCGGTATGTCGAGCGAAATATGTGGGAGGACAGATGGGGTGAAAGTCAAGATCGATCGGAGAAAGTGAAGCGTCTCTTTTGAGGCCATTGGTGACTGTCCGAACCGATGAACAAAGGGATCTGACATGATACCCCTTCCCCACTGCCCCTTTGCCTTCGAAACAAGCTTGTTCTCAAGAAGATCAATAGCTGCAAGTGACTAGTCGAATTTATCGCTTTACGCAGAAGCCAAACACTTCTCTATTCATTTAGACGAGCAAGTGACTCGAATTTAGGAGAATATGAGAATATGTAAAGCTCATAACCGTGTTCATTCCCAAAAAAAGTTAAGTGTCAAGGTACTCTTGAAGCAGGATAGATTCAGCAAACTCGACCACGCGGAGATACCCTTAACTTGTCGTGGCGCAGATAATCAATCTTGTTTCTTTCATGGTCTTTATCATTATCGAGTAGGATTTTCTCATTGAATTCGAACCCAGAGACCACCAACAATGGGCAAATATGAACGAGGTAAGCCTTTCTTTTGCAAACAATGAACAGACAATTCCATTGTGGTAGAAGCTCGCCGACCACACGCCAAGAAACGTGGAACATATAAGAATTGACCTTGATCCTCGCCTTTTCGAATAGTCAGGCTGATCAGGCAAGCATCCGGCTGCAGATACCTTCACACACGGCATCATGGATTCTTCGGGTTTCAACCTCGAGCACCACCATGGTGAGAGACTTGAATGTGAGGATGACATTCATCCTTCCAACATTGAACGACCGAGCACGCCTTCCCCCTGCTCTTTTGCAAACAATGGACATCTTCACGGCTATACTAGTATGCCATACAGTGAGATGGAGCCCTTGGATCAAATGATCTACGACATTGAGGCTGAGCATTGCTCACAGCTAGCTATAGCATCGGAAGCAGACGATGATGAGTATTTACGAAGCTTAGGGTACAATCCCGATAGCGATATGGAGCCATTGGATAAGGCAATTTTAGACCTTGAAGCTGACCAGATATTACATATAGCAATGAAAAAAGCAGAAGAGGATGCTGTGAATGCCGAGTTCTATAGACGACAGTGGCTGACAAAGGAGGATAGAAATATCCACCATTACAATTGGTTCGGGACGGCTGTATACGGCCCTAGCTCGACCCCCCCCTGAGCAATCTCTCGCAATCATTATGTCTAAGCCCAAAGTCACAAATTCCGATCTTAACCTTAGGATCCATACGGTCCTGCATCAAGCAAACATGTATCTTGACCCTGTTCTCATTGATTTTGATGCCCCTAACAGCTTCACCCTCATTAACCAGCTTCTGCGACGTTATAATATCGACGATACTATGAAAGGCCATGTTGTTAAGTATTACACACCCCACGGTCTGTGGGTGTCAGAGACGCGATCAGCGAACGACAGGATTGAAGTCGATGATGGAGATGTCGCTAACTATATCACAAACTACGCAGTAGGAAACGGATTCATTTCACAAAGCTACATTACCTCATGGAAGCAATTCAATGTTAACTACAATAAGGTCAGAGCCACAGAAAGAAAGCCGGCACGAGCCCGCAGGAACAAAGTGGGACTACCACGTCTGTCTCCACTGCGACAAGTCATGACAGCTGAAGCGGAAGATGCCACCAGCCTTCACTCGGATAATATCAGCATGATTGTTAACAGACATTCCTGGCCATCGAGCACTGCCCATAGAGGTTGGGTCATAAGAACTGACCAGCTCACCCGAGGCGATGTTGATTGGCTTGAAGCCGCAGATCCAAATTCATACTACTCATTGCCGTTTTCTGAGCCTGTGAGATGTGGATTGGGTGTCGGGGGTATGCTCCGGAAGGCGTCGAAGTCCGCGTTGTCGTATTTGATATGCGGAGCTAGGTAGAATTACTACTCAACATTTGATACTGGATCTATTCCAGTCTTTCTTTCTTGTGAACAGCGGCGCTTTGAGAAAGTGATATCTTGAATATGGCTCCGTATGTAGAACTACACAATGAAATTTATCAAATGAAGTCCTAGAAGATACCAATTAGAAACCACCATAAAGCATTGATACTGTTATATTGCCAGATTTACGAAGAGTGTTCCCTTATTCCACTCTGGCTGGAGAATATGGGGCCCCGCATGGGGAAGGGACCCACCCTCCAGAATTACCTCTGGGTAGACCACCATCTTCCCTCCTAAAGGATGGCAATAGTAGGTATGCCATTGTGCTATAGGATTTTCGAGATTGAAATGTTCCGAGTGCATGATAGTGAGAATATAGCTGCCATGAGCATGAAGCGATGATAACAGGGTCAAGGTGCGGACATGCTTGAGTCAGGACCATATATGCTAGAATTTTCAAGTTCATTTACGCAGAAAGAGAAAACTGAGCAAATACCATATTAAAATAAACAAATTTATATTTTTTTTTCACAAAGTTTTAATCAACCTGGGTACTAGTAGTGGTAAATAGTGTACCAGAGAAGACTGTTGATCGGAGATGTGGGGTCAAGTGCACCACTTCAGCATTATTTAAGGAGCCGTGTCGGACCTGGGAACATCCTTTTTCATCCTATCTGTATATTATAAAATTCTCTTCAAATTGCGAGTTGAAAAATGGCGCGTATTCATCTTGACCCTTCCCTGCTCGAATCACTGAATGACAAGGTCGTTGTGCTTACCGGTGGCGCAACTGGTATCGGCCGTTCATGCATTGAGCAACTTTGCGGTAAGATCCATGCAGCACAACAACATGAAAATTTCTAACAGAGAGAGCCAGAAAATGGAGCAAAGGTCATTTTTGGCGATGTTGCAGAAGCACCATCGCGAGAAATCGAAAGCAAGCTTAGCCCGAACGCACAATTCATCAAGTGTGATTCCGCAGATTATTCAAACCAACTCAATCTCTTTAAAACTGCTTTCCAGGAGCACGGAAGAGTGGATATAGTCATTGCCAATGCAGGCATTGCCATTCACAAAGACCCTTTTGATCCGAATGCCGACATCAACGAAGCACCCTCGATGAAAGAGGTAGAGGTCAATACAATTGGGGCTCTGTTCACAGCTCGTATCGGGATGCATTACCTCCGACGGAGCGGGGGTGGGGATTTAGTGCTCGTCAGCAGTATTGCTGGGTTCAAGGAATGTGGGGGCTTGGTCGCGTACACTGCAAGCAAGCATGGCGTCGTGGGGATCATGCGGGGCCTACATCTTACAGCTACCCCGGAAAACATCAGGGTTAACGTGATTTGTCCTTGGATGACGAGTAAGTGTTCCTTTGTCCAATTTGTGATTTTTCCGGGCTCTAATAACTGTTCGTTTGTATAGAGACGCGTCTCGTTCGCGGCATTGAAAAGGGTTGGTACGAGAAAGGATTACCCGCGAACGAACCGGAAGATGTTGCCCGATCAATCTTGATTTGTGCCACAGCAAACCGAGGCCAGAGTGGAAAGACACATGGTGGCGCTCGCCTTCCTTTCGCGGGGAAAATACTTTGGGTGGCAGGTGGTGAAAGTTATGAGATTGAGGATGGAATTCAGAGTCTGGAACCTAAATGGCTGGGGGATGAGAACAGCCAGGTTCTCGCACAAGGGCAGGAATATTTGGCGTCTGCAGGTACTAGCTGGGATGAATCAAAGCTGTGAGTGGGCACGGGGTAACGAATTAGAATATTGCAAACTTCTTCGAGCAAATAGTAGTGAATGCTATATTCCTATTCATGTGCATCTCTATCTCGTCGAGTTAATAGCAATTCAAGTTTTAGACCAATCCCCTTGGGTCACTTAAAAATACTCGAAAATTGAATATTGTATGTGATGAACTTCGAAACCCCGAAGAACGAAACCCTGCTTTGATTAGGCCGAAAAAGGCACGGACTATTCCTGTTTCTCAACGTGGCAGACGGAGTATATCGGGGTTAATGTGCTTGCGTTTAGCACATTTTATTGGTATGGAACGCAGGAGACAAGATCTTCAAGAGCATCCGCGATGATATCGGAATTATGCGTGTGAAAATACAGCAAAAAAAGCGATCGAAATTCCTCGGGTTTTATTTAACCACAAAATGTAATTGTAGACGAGGTTCGAATATAAGGTCAAAGCAGGGACTATTGCCGACCAATCGAAAATGGAGACCTAACCAGGACAGGCCAGATGAGCAGCTCCCAGTCAAGCCACATTATGCAGAGCCCGACAATGGTTCTGCACGCCAGTGCGACGTCATTGCTGCCCTGAAACGCGAGGCAGTATCATGAATCTGCAGTTGAGGGGCTCGAGCAGCGTCATGCTGGTTCATTGCTGGGGACCAAGAGAGCCAATATTCAATTCGGTCAAAACTGGAAAGATGTTAACATGCACTCCTTACCCGGATTGTGTTCATTCCTTCGACCGATTTTCAGATCTGATCGTGGTCATCTGGTAACAAAAGGCCATTTTCCATCCTCGGTTTAGTGGCTGATGCCGATCTCTCAGGGGGTGGAGAAAGATGGGGGCTGGAGGTTGTGCACACCACAACACAGCCATGAACTTGGCGGGGGTAAAGTTAACTGCCAATGTCTAATTCGGGGAGCTGAATGCGAGCGTTGTATCTGCAGGGTTTTGTGTGAATATAAAAACGTCAGGGAACCCCTTGCTTGACTCGCACACTACTATCTCCGACTCGGAGTCAGTTCCACTGGCACCCTCACCCGCCATAATGACTTCGACACTTCTATTTTCAGTCGTTTCGGCGATTCTGATGAATGGATTTTCTGTTGCACAGCCTACTCGTGTTATTGATAGTGATTTCGCGGATCCATGTGTCATTCAGACCGGTGATGGATATTATGCGTTCGCGACCAGTGGGAACGGAGTGAATGTTCAGATTGCTTCATCTTCTAACTTTGCATCTTGGCAGCTCCTGTCGGGTAATGATGCTATGCCAGGCCCCTTCCCAAGCTGGGTCGCTTCTACTCCTGCCATCTGGGCTCCCGATGTCATCCAGAGAGTAAGTCAATCGATATTGGGAATTTCAGTCAATGTAGCGAAGCTGACTGATTCCAGGACGACGGTACCTTTGTCATGTACTTCTCTGCTTCGTCGGCTGACGATGACTCCAAGCACTGTGTTGGTGCGGCCACTTCTTCCAGCATCACTGGGCCATATACACCCGAAGACAGTCCCCTGGCCTGCCCCCTTGACCAAGGCGGTGCAATCGATGCCGACGGCTTCAAGGACGGCGACACCTACTATGTTGTTTACAAGGTGGATGGTAACAGCATCCAATCCGACTCCACCCCTTTGATGCTGCAAGGACTGAATTCTGATGCCGTCACTCCTAATGGCGATCCAACCCAACTTCTGGATCGTGATGATGCCGATGGCCCGTTGATCGAGGCTCCCAGTCTGGCAAAAGTGGATGGCACATTCTACCTCACTTTCTCCTCTAATGTTTATAGCACAAAAGACTACGATGTAAGCTACGCAACGGCCCCTGCCCTCAAGGGGCCTTATACCAAGGCGCAGGCCCCCGACGCTCCTTTGCTGGTATCGGGTGATTCGAGTGACGTTGGCGAGCTGGGAGGGCCTGGTGGCTCCGATTTTAATGCGGATGGCTCCAAGATTGTTTTCCATGCCTTTGAGAATGGGGAAAACATGGACAAAGGCCGTGCGATGTGGGTTGCTGACATCCACTGTGGTGACGGCGTGATCAGCATACTTTGAGAAGATATCTCTTTAGCTAGGCTGTCCAAGGTTATCATTTTTATATACAAATACCCAGATTAAGGTTAATTTTATCCATCCAGAATCAGCAGTTGTAGAAGGTACTGGTAGTATAATTTACGATTGGTTGCCTTGATTTTCAGGCGGTAAATCTAACCTCCCCGCCACGGCGTCCGAGGTCTTTTCTTCTCCCTAGTTCTTCTGTCAATCATATTAACCTCGAAGCGCCCGGCTGGTATCCCATATAATAGAGATTCGAAACACTCAAAACTTCTGAAATGGTATTATCTTCACGAGATGCCTTGGAATTCCCTGAATCAGACAGGGATTTTCTAGAGCCTCAACTGCCACCTCATGATGGCTCAACCCCGCGTCCAGATATGCCTTTCACGACTCTTACATTCGCAACATCACTTGATTCCTCCTTGGCTCTATCTCCAGGTACACGAACTGTGCTTTCAGGCCCTCAATCAAAAGCCATGACTCACTACCTACGATCTCGACACGATGGCATCCTCATCGGGGTCGGGACTGCTCTCGCCGATGACCCGGGTCTCAATTGTCGCCTTACTGGTATCGGGGGCTATGGAAAAGAGGGGTTAGAAGGCCAACCGCGACCCATTGTAATTGATCCGAGTGCCCGGTGGGACTTTTCCGATGACAGCAAGCTGTTCCAGCTTTGCAGACAAGGCCGCGGTCTAGCACCCTGGATCGTGACTTCGCTGCCAGAGCCGCCCGCCCAAAAGAAGGAAAAGCTGGAACAATATGGGGGAAGATTTCTTCAACTAAAAATGGTGACATTGGATGATGGCCAGCACCGAATTGATTGGTGCGACCTTCTCAAGATGCTTCATGTCAATGGCCTTGGAAGTGTTATGGTTGAGGGCGGCGCACAAGTGATCAATTCACTACTAGAGCCACAGTCCATGTCATTGATCGATCGAGTCATCGTCACCATTGCACCTACGTGGCTTGGAAAAGGTGGAGTCGTCGTGTCACCCGCTCGGCGCTTTGATGGAGAAGGCAACGCGATCTCCGCTGCGCGTTTGAAGAATGTCCGGTGGTATCCCTTTGGGGAGGACGTTGTCCTTTGCGGACAGATACGAGTTTGACATGAAATGTAAAATTCAATGACTGGATTGCTAAGTTTATTGTCATGAATTAGATAGTAGCTATATGCTGACTCTAGTATATCAAATGCTGGTGTTGCTACCTACTACTAGTATATTTTAAATCATATTTGCTATGTTGTTTTTGAGTATTTCATGAAAATCAAACATCGCAAGTATTTACAGTTCACAGTTCAATTGGGTCTGAGGGGATTCTAGAGTGAACTAATTACCAATATCGTACTAGACATACCAGTAGTGACTATGTTTAGTACGTCTCCCATACAAATTCGGCTCATGGCAAGGCTGTTTTCGCTGTTGCCTCACTTCCGCACAGCCACATCCCGCAACAACAACTCCCCACGGTCGGTACCCACATTCGGCCCCCGATGGAAAGAGATCAACCCGAACCCGAAAGAAGCCTTATCTTCTCTGTTTTGTCGTCGACTTCTCTCTTCTCCCACAGACTACAAAGGCACTCGCAAGGTTGCACAAGCCGAGTGGCATTAGTCATTCTGGCCCTGGAGCTGCCCGACCCCACTCATGGAACTCCTCGGATTACCCTTCGAATTGATCCTAGAGATTTGGGACTCTCTAGAGACACTTTCCGAGAAAGATGTCTTTACTCGAACTTGCAGACATTTTTATGATAACTTCAACCACCGCCTATATTGCCAAGCCGTGACACAAGGACGCCGCGAGGGCGTCAATCGGGCCGTACGCCTGTGCGGAGGATCCACCTTGAAGAAGATGCTAGATGCTGGCCTTGACCCGAACGATTCGTTCTGGGGTGAAGAGCCCCTATTAGGAAGAGCAGTCGAAGCGGGCCTCACGGAAAACGCAAGAGTCCTTATCGATGCTGGAGCGAATGTCAACGCCACAGAACGATTCGGCAACTCAGTCGCATCTTCGGCAGTTTTCAATGGACATGCGGAAACACTCAGTCTATTATTTGAGAAGGGGTTATCGATAGACTTTCGAGTCTATGAAGAGCCGCCGCTCTTGGCAGCCGTTCAATACAGTTATGAGAATATCGTCGAGATTCTACTGGCAAACAACGCCGACGTTGATGAGCCTGGGACCGAGGATGCAATGAATGGAACTCCCTTGGCATGGGCTGCACGGCGTTCCAAAGAAGTGATCTTTCATCGGCTCTTACGAGCTGGGGCCAAAAGAGATTTCACTAGTCCGAGAAATGAGACTCTCCTACATTGGGCGGTCCTGGGTGGAAATGAGCGCATCGTGTCGACACTACTAGAGGAGGGTGCTGATCCTCACGTAGTAGACAGCGCCGGATATTCACCATTGGCATGGGCATGCCGAGCCCGCGAAAACTCTCGGAATCCAGAAGTCGTCAGACTTCTATTACAGCAGAATGTTAACACAGAGAATAAAAGCAACGCACTTGCCGACACCCCGCTGTCGCTTGCTGCACGAACTGGCTTTACCGAGGCGGTTCGCCTCCTGCTGGGGAGAAATGCGAACCAATCGGTAAAGAACGCGTGGGGCCAGACGCCTCTTCTCTATGCTGTCACAAAGGGATATGCGGACACTGTTCTTGCGTTACTGGAGCATGCGCATCGAGATGAAGTCGGCCCGAGCTGCGAGCAATTCATCGATGAGCCCGACCTAAAGGGCCGAACCCCCCCTGTTTCTTGCGACTAATTACGGCTTGGAGGAGCTTGTTGAATTAATACTGCATTACGGAAGCTCTGCGAAAGAAATCCCAACTTGTGCAGGCCGTACCCCATTGTCAATTGCCGAAATGCATATGAAAACCGAAGACGGATCGAAATGCGAGAGTCTGCAGCATATATGGAGTCTACTGCAGCAAGAATCGGTTGGACCAGTCGATTGTGAAAAAATCACCTCAAGGGCGGAGGGATGGGAAGGATTTGAGGCAACATGCGATGCGTGCCGTGAGCCTATCTCTCCATATGATATGTACTACCATTGCAATATCTGCGACGAAAATAACTTCGATATCTGTCAAGAGTGTGTTGCCAGTGGCGGGACCTGTTACGATCCAACCCACACCTGGCAGAAAATAATCATAGTGGATAAGATATGGAAAGGGATTTCTGATTCTCTTGATCAGGATTCAATTGTGGAAGAAATGGCCAATATTCATGTATCATAAACGCATCATAATTCCCTTAATACATAACTGAGGCACGCGAAATGACAAACGATGAATTTGAGGTAGAATTCGCAGAAATCAGGTCTTAAACCTACTGTAGCTGAATTCATTCCGTAGGTATGATGGTATAAGCTCGTGTGATAAATTGAAGCATGGCCATCTCACATGTCAGCAGGGGAATTTTCCAGTGGAAATTGCCAGCGTTAGATTTGTACTTCATTCGGAAGATGATCGCTCTCCCTTCAAGATCGACGTCAGAATTGAGCAATGAACAATGAGCAATGTAAATATTCAAGACATTTTGTGTGACGCGTAAACAGTTTACCCCTTGACATCTGTAGATAAAGCATCCTGTGAATGACGCAAAGCATGTGCAATTTTTCTCAAATTTTAGCGATGGATTTGCCATGAGGTCGGAGATGCTGAGGCCTCCCATTGGATAACATCATCCTGTATTATTAAGGAGGCCGACTGGGTGCATCACTTTCTGACTATTGGGTCGGCCGTGTCGATCAGGACTAGTAAGCTTTGTTTGAACGATGCGTAATGATTTTCAGCATCATCGCGTTGGTTCCAGAACTACTGGGCCCATAGTCTTGACTCTTGAGTGATCTGTACCTTCGGAGACCGATTCCCGTATGTACCCACCCTTCCTGGTGGATTCAGCAGCTCCATAAGATTCGTGATTGTCACCAGGGAAGGGAAGTTGACTACATAATTCAATATGTACTTCGTACTCGCAGCTTGAGCCACGCAGAAATTCCCAGAGGCAATGCATCCCTGGCTCCACTTTGCCTGGCAGGAATCATTCGTTGACACGATCTTCCTCAAACTAGTCATCTAGACATAGCACATACGTGCCCACAGGCATGAAGATACACGCAAGCACTGGCAAGGGATCACTCATCATCTATGGAGTGATGATCGTGATCGTGGCAGTTGTTCGCACTCCGGGTGGCTACAGTATTATCTACGCTGCCCTAGTCTTATCTTCAAGTTCGCGGTGGCTTTATTTTTCTTTGGGCGACAAATGGACTTGCTCCACCATCTCCACCCGTCTTAGATCATCGTCAAAGTATTTCGTCCATTTTCGCCACAATGGTGTGCCCTTTTCTCCGATAAATTAGTTTCCAGACAAACCCTCGCTGGAGTTATTCTTCTCACTCTCTAGTTTTCGTTGCTACGGGGTCTGTATCTTCCACGGTTACCTCACAATGCCAGACGGGCAACCACATTCCAATTCGGACGGTCCTCCACAGGCCCCGCGGCACATTCAAACAGAATAGAGCCCTAATAATAGCCTGGCGGCCGGGGAAAACAACCAAGACCCAGGGGAGTCTGTTCCAGCCTCAGGTCGGACGTCATTTTCTTATGGTAAAACATGTTCTACGCCGGCGACCGGTGCAAACACACCAGATCCTTTGCTGGGGAACAAGAACCTTTTCGACAAGCAGGCACTCCATAGAGTGACACATACTATCACCAATATCAGTCAGCCCACTGACGATGACCATGAACTCCAAAACCTCGGCCATCGCCTCACCAACCGAAAGCCCTCGGTATCCCGAGCTCGGGAAGCCGATGAATCAGCATCCCCGGTTCAGAAAAAGCAGGGAATCCCGCCGGAGCTATCGAGCTTCTCGGCGGAGATTGTTTTGATCATGGTTTGTTCCGCGGGATTGATGCTTTTTTCATTCCTCTTGGGCGATATGCTTGCTCCCCAGCAACAGTTAAAAGAGGCACTCGGCATTTCCAATACCCAGCTGCCATGGGTCGTAGGTGCCTTTAATTGTGCTAATGGTCTATCCGTCGTCATCTCTGGGTCTCTTTCAGACCTTGCCCCGCCGAAACTTCTTATGGTTGGTGCTTTCGTGTGGCTAGGCGTCTGGAACATCGTTGGGGCCTTCTCTCTGCATCCATCCCGGTATATTCTTTTCTTTGTGATGAGAGCCATGCAGGGCCTCGCGATCGGTGTCCTCGTCTCAGGAAGCATGAGTATACTTGGTCGCGTTTATAAGCCAGGAATTCGCAAGAATCGTGTTTTCTCAGCCATGGCTGCGACAGCCCCATTCGGCTTTTCCCTCGGTGCATTGCAAGGTGGTGGACTGTATCAACATCTCCCCTGGATCTTTGGAACCAATGCCATCATCTGCGCAATTTGTGCCATTGCCGCATACTTTTCTATTCCACCATTACGGCCCCAGGCAGATATCGCGGGCACCGAGGCTCCATCGCTTCGGCAGTTCGACTATATAGGCGGCGCTTGTGCTGCCGGAGGATGCGTTTGCTTGCTTTTCGGCCTTACACAAGGACCGGTGGCATCTTGGTCCCCCTACACCTACATTCTGATCATTATTGGCTTACTCCTTCTAGTCGGTCTGTTTTTCGCTGAACGTGCCGCCGTCCGGCCGCTTATTCCAAGCCGTCTTTGGAGTACTCCAGGCTTTACACCATTGATGATTGCTTACTTCCTTGGTTTCGGATCCTTCTTTGGAGCCTGGCAGTTTTACGCTATCCAATTCTGGCTACGGATTCAGCATGCTACTCCTATCGCTGTGGCGCTCTATCATATCCCTAATGCTTTAGTCGGTGTACTCGCGACCTGGGTCGTCAGCCGTACACTCCACCTCGTGCCCGGCCATTACATCTACGCCTGTTCTATGTTCGCGTTCACCCTTGGACCAGCCTTCTTCCTCCCACAAACAGCCACTACAACTTACTGGGCACTATCTCTCCCTGGTGTTGCTTTGGTGACCTTTGGCCCCGACCTGGCTTTTGCCGCGGCGTCTATTTTCATCACTAGCAATGTCGCTCGCTCATACCAAGGAAGTGCAGGTAGCCTTCTTGTCACCAATCAGAATTTGTCATCAGCGATCATGACCAGTATTGCTGATGCAATTGGCACACGTGTCGATACGGGCGCTGATGGAGAAATTGGACTCGAGGGTCTTCGGGCTATTTGGTGGTTTGCGCTAGGAGCTCAGCTGACAGCGGCCTTGGTGACTGTTGTCTGGGTTAGAATACCAAAGGAGGAAGAAAAGGAGCATGTTACTTGATATGCACTTCATTGTATATAAACTCAATCTCCCAAAAAAGACCTCGGGAGCGATGCAATGGTATCTTAGTATGAAATACCAGTTCGCTTAGGCCAGTTCTCTGTGAGTCATTCTACATATCCTCGTACGAATCCTTCAAATTGTTGTTCTTTTGAAAGAACAGATCTCGATAGCCTTACATATACTACGAGTCCCTTGCATATCCCAATCTGGAACAGGTATTAGATTAGAAAACCTAAAATCGGATGTGACATGTGACAATTCAATTCTTTTTATCCAGTTTTCGCAGCATTCCTCGTGTTTGGGGGCGAAGGATCTGTGGCCCCGGGGGCTAGTATTTAGATAGCACGCAGTAGCCAATCATATTAACTTTGGAAGAAGCTTCTAGGCAGAAGCCACACGCACGGACAGATGCCTAACATGCACTCATAATATGCGGCATAACCAGAGTGACATCTTGGCGAAATTGTCCTCGATTGCTTTGCATATAAACTCACAGCGTTCACCCTCAGCAAACACCATTCTTAGCTTCCTTTTTTTTTTTGAATCGTTTCTATTGAAATGGAAGTCCCATCTGATCCGAAGATCGATAACTTCGACATTCTCCAAACTATCTATAAAACGGTCATAGACCATGGAATTCGCTGCGATATTCTCGTACCAAAAGCACGACACGAAGGGAAAAGACCAGTCATAGTCAATTTCCACGGCGGCGGTCTAGTATGAATCACACTTGAAGTCCCATGCGAATATAATTCGCCGAATGTAGACAACGAAGCTCACGATTCTCTAGGTAGTCGGAGACTCACTTCTTATGTTCATTTGGCCTGTCTGGTTATCTGAGCTAGCCCTGAAACACGGAGCGATAATAATAAGCCCGAACTATCGGCTTATGCCCGAGGCGACAAGCACGGAAATTTACGAAGATGTCGACGACTTCTGGGCCTGGATCCATACCCCAGAGCTAGCAGATCTTTTGCGGAAACACACCACTCCCGCAGAGCTAGATCTTGACCGTATCATGGCCATTGGGGGATCGGCGGGTGGCACGCTTAGCCTGTATCTAGCCCTAGCGCATCCAACAGAGATACGCAGCGTGACTGCGGCGTACCCATGTACCGACTTTATGACTTCAGCCTATACAAAGCCTCGTGGAGGACCTGTCTGGGGCCAGAATGTTCCCGAGTCAGCTTATCACGAAATAATGAATACGGCCGACATAGGGGCTCCTGTCTCGACGATCGTTTCACCAGAAAGGTCGGCATTTATGATCGCTTGTTTTCAGCATGGACATCTCGGGGCACTTTATGCACGTGGCGCGGAGAATACACCGCGTGAAAAGCTCCTTCCGATAGCGCGCCTCGAGCAGTCAGGGGGTATGGTCCCTCGTGGTGGGGTTGTGATTATACAGGGCCGTCAAGATAGTGTGATTACGATCGCTGAGACAGAGAAGTTTATTAAGCGTGCGCTTGAGTTGACGTCTCCTGGCGATATTGTGTACGTCACGCGGGAGGGAGAGCATGGGTTTGATCTAAATTCTCGATTGAACGATCATTGGTTGCAAGAGGCGTTGGGTAAGGCGATTGAAACTTGGTTGGAGTGAACATGGATCATTTCAAGCCCAATTTCACTTTTCTATAGTACTACTAGTAGTGGTGCCCAATGAATAGAAAGTTATTTTGATAATCTGTTGATTGGGTAAACATTCACACATGGATCCCCGACGGTACTATTGTTACTTTCTTATACCAACTTCTTCCACCTGATCATGATGTTTTTCTTGACAGCCGTACTGTAGAAAAATTACTAAACATAGATAAGAAAAGCTACTGAATAGGGTCTTTAGCGTCTTTTAAAAATGTTAAAATGGGCTTAGGAATAGGAGTAGGATAGTAGTAGTAGAGTAATATCTTTATTAGAAATAGAAGTAATAATAATATAGAGAAAGTAAAGCTTGTTTATAATATTTCTTTCTTTATAATTTTTACAGACTAATCTCCTAGGACATTTTCTAAGAGGCGTCTAGCTATCAAAATTTTTCTAAAAGGAGGTTATAAAGTATTCATTGTAGCATGCTGTCCATGTCTCCAGGGCATGCATAATTGTTCCCTATCTGACTTATGTCTACACATGTGGAAATTCGGGTGAATGACTTTGCTACACTCCACTGTGGAGTAATTTCTAACACGCGACCCTGCGAGCTGCGCACCGGCTACAATGCCCAGAAGTGTCAGTCCGCGATAAATATTTATTGGTAAATCCGAGCTATGGTTGATACAACGCTGTCCCTATCTCAATTAAGTTATTCGGCTTTACTCTCCCATTTTCGTCTCAAGAAGACATGGTACATAGCCGACAACGCTATCTAATCGAATCCAGCCCACCTGCGCCAGATTAATGACCTATGCCTAGGTTGTTACGAGGTATTCTCGGAACTCAGGACAAATTGGTATACGTGATAAATGGAAAGAAATTACCCATAGTAAGTCTACCCTTCTTTTCTTTCAAAATCTGTACCCTTTTGTACAATTCGAGATCGTTCATAATTTCTGATTCTTACCTCAAGCGTCAACATGTCACCTCAGTACCGCTCTTCTGAGGTAATTGTGATTGGGGCAGGAATAGGAGGCCTCGCTGCCGCAAAAACCTATTTCGAGTTGTCGCCCCAGACAGACCTTGTGATCCTCGAAAAGGTGAGTCGCAGGCCTTCTTCCCTTTCCACGCTCGTGATGTAACTCAGAGAAATTAGCGACCAACCCTAGGTGGTGTCTGGTCAGAAGAAAACTGCTATGAGGGCCTCAAGACAAACAATCTCGGCGGAACATACGAATTCACCGACTTTCCCATGGGTGAAAAATATGGCGTCAAAGAAGACAGACACATCCCTGGCACCGCGCTGCACTCATATCTAAATGACTTCACGGACAAGTTTGACATTCGGCGTCGGATCTCCTTCAACACTCAGGTTCTAGAGATCGAAAAGCTCGGTCAGGGCTGGCGCCTAAGTACCCGAACCAGCGACTCCTCTTCAGCTATCGTTTATACATGCGACAAGCTTATTATTAGCAGCGGGCTGTCATCAACTCCTAACCCCGTCAATATCCGCGGCATTGACGAGTTCGAAAGGCCCGTCATCAATCATTCGCAGTTGCGCGACAAGGGAGAGCACATTGCCCACGATCCCAATATCGACACTGTTACTGTTGTGGGGGCTTCAAAAACAGGATACGACGTTGTGCACATGATGGCATCAAATCACAAGAAGGTGGACTGGGTTATTCGTGAGTCTGGAGGCGGTGGGGTATGGATGGCATCTCCATGGGCCAAGTTCGCGGGAGTTAAGACAAAGCTGGAGTTGCTTGCGACCACAAGGTTCTTCACATGGTTCAGTCCATGCATCTTTGGTGATTTTGACGGATTCAGCTGGATCAGGAAGATCCTGCATCAGACTTGTTTGGGGAGATACTTTGTTCACAGGTTCTGGGAGAACATCAGGGCAGATATCATAGATCTGAACGGATATAGGAAGGAGAAATGCTTGCGATACCTCGAACCTCTCGAAAGGTCAGAATTGGTCTTCTAGCTGATCAAAATACTTGGTACTAACGTGTTTTAAAAGTCTTTTTTGGTCGGCGCGAGTTGGAATCCTCAATTATCCAATGGACATCCACGACTATCTTCGCTCTGGTCAGGTAAAGATCATACGGAAAGACATCGACCATCTATCCGGACCCGGCATCGTCACCTTTTCAGATGGCACTAGTCTTCAAACTGACGCGTTAGTTGCCATTACAGGATGGAAACTCGCCCAATCGGTCATGTACAAGCCTGATGGCCTGGACAGCAGTCTCGGCATTCCGAGCAGCAATGCCAGTGAAGAAGGCAAAATCTTGTGGCGACAACTAAACAACAAAGCAGATAAAGAGATACTAGACCGTTTCCCATATCTCCGCAACCCTCCGCTAGCTGTCCCTTACAAGCAGGATGTTAGCCCCTTTCGACTGTATCGTGGCATTGCACCACCATCGCTCGCGGCGAAAGGCGATAATTCTATTGCGTATATCAAGATGGTCCACAGTACAAGCAACATGATTATCGCAGAGTGTCAGGCGTTGTGGGTTTACGCGTATCTTAACGGGAAAATCTTTCTGGACGAGACGGAAGTGTACCATCAGACCGTTCTTTTAAGCCGTTACGGAAAGCATCGTTATCCCTGTGGATTCTCGGCATGGTATCCAGAATTTGTCTATGACGCTATTCCATATGTGGATATGCTTCTCTCTGATCTTGGGCTCAACCGTTGGAGAAAACCTAGTTTGAAAAAAGAGATATTCGAAGGGTACACCATCCATGATTACAGGGGGATCACTCGGGAGTGGCTGAGGCTTCAAAACACGGGCGGGCCAAAGAAGTCCTGAATGAGCGGAAATGAAATCCAATTCCTTTTGTTGATATTCAATCGCCGTATATATTATTTCGCTAATAGCTTCGCGTTCATGTTCTTTGGCTCCCTGTTCCCTTCCCTTGTCTCTGCGCTTCCGATAGATCGACAGTCACTTGTTCGGTCCGATAATAATCGATTTGGGGATTGTCAAACTCCCATAGGTCTCCAATTTGGCATATAATATAACTTTAAGAGAAAGTTCTATAGTAAAACCTATGATTTAACAAGCAAGTCATCAGTATAGGCTCCGGCAACTTGTATCGCCAGGCTCGCCCGGCCTGATTCAACTAAGCATGCAGACACATGTTCATGTGCATTTGACGCATGTCAACCACGCATCCCAAGGTCACCTGTGATAAAATACACTCGGTGGATCTTCTCCATCCCTGGTTTAATGCATAGGGCAATGGAAAAGGCTTAGTTGTCTTGCCCAATTTGATTGAATTGGTAGATTTTTCATTTAGTAGGCTCCTGATATGCCAGACTCCCACCTTCAACCTCCTGCTCTATGTAATAAAAACTCTTAACAATAAGATATTTAAATTCTACTGTAAGTTTACCCCTTCCAATGTAATCTACGGGTCATATAAGCGCGATGCATTCCTGTGGCGACTTAGTCTAGAAGCGATGTCGTGTGGTGCCAAAGCCAATTCTCCACCGCCGCTCGGTTAAGTACCTAACAGTCCGTGCACCCTCTTATTAGAACTCTTTACAAAGAACTAGAGTTTCAGGTACATTGCCGAGGATATATAACGACCCATTTAAATTGAGTACATTATCTTTTCGACCACATTCAAGTTTGTGGCCTCGGGAATCGCATGCGGCTTATTTCGGCTACGGGCAGATAACAGCTTCAGGATAGTTAATAGGTAATTCTCTACTCAGTAGCCAGGCCATTCGGGGTATATATTGTGCACAAACACCTGTGTTCTCTTTCCGTGCAAATCACGGCTTCGGCTTGCAGAAATCAACCATGGAAAACATATTTAGGAAGATAGCACAAGATACCACCAAATTCGACGCCGGAGATGAAGAGGTAAAGTGATATTGACAATTAAAGGAGAGTTTGTCTCAAATCTCACAAGATACAGGGCTGGAGAGAACTATATGAGCCATTGTACGCTGAGGTTCCTAGCAACGTTGGCACTGTGAAGGATCAACAATACGGGCCGGCTGATCGCAATCAACTGGATGTGTACTTTCCTCTTCAGGACCAGACTGAGGGAAAGCCGGTGGTTTTCTTTGTTCATGGTGGAGGCTTCTTCTCCGGAGGTAAAGGATGGAGCGAAAAGGTATATCTTGTCTGCCATGCTGTTAACCCATCGGATGCTCGACTGACTAGTATTTTCTGCAAGTGCTGGGCGAATGTAGGGTTTTATTTTGCCCAACGCGGTTTCGTCACTGTACTCGTAAATCATCGTCTAGTTCCGAACGTTGAGTACCCCGGAGGAGCCGATGATATGCAGCTTGCTCGGGAATGGGTTTTCCAAAACATTGCAGCCGTGAAATACGGCCGGGGATCACCGAACAAGGTGGTACTTTTGGGCCACTCCTCTGGTGGCGCACATATTGCTATGAACTTGTATGCTGCAGGTACGGTATTCTTTTGTAAAGGTTGACCATCTGTATCACTGATGACGAGCAGGAGATCCGGAACGAACGCCGAAAACGCCAATTTTCCCACCTGTTTCCGGAGTTATTTACTTGAGTGTACCTTTTTGGTTTGATAGAACTAAACCTCTCCGACAAAAGGTGATTCGCCATTACTATGGATCAGACTCTGAGGCGGTCTGGGGTGTAGGTAAAACTTACTCCCGCGTGGCTTTTTACTATTCTAAAGTGCCCTACAGCCTCTTTCTGCACTCGGGTTATTCAAGTCTCTGCCAGAGGGCTCGCCGTTATTGTAAGCTTGCTCCAGACCCACTGAACCGGCTACTTCAGGTCCAGCTTCTTCATGTTAACAATCTGAACAGAGACTACGAGCAGTTACCGATTTATATTGGAAGCGTTCAATGGGAAGTGTGAGTCAAACTTACGCAATTTCAAGGAATGGACATAGATGGTGATATTAATGATATTAACTATTATCTAGGAAAGAAACAGCAGATGCCACTATCGCGTTCTTCAATGCCTACCGTGAACGGAGCATTCCGCGAGGGACGCTACCGGTTTTTCATGTGCAAGACAAACACAACCATGTCAGGTTTGTTTCAGTCCTCTGTGATCCATCTAATTACGATGTAGCTCTAATATAGAACAGCAACGTCCTATCTATCGGGACTACGGATTCTGCTCAGGCAGAAAAATTATTAGAGTTCATTAAATCTTGCGTGGAAAAGGTGGATCAAAAAACAAAGCGTTTGCATCCAATTCCAGGTGCCTCAGTCCGGCACAGTCATTTTTGATGGGATTTTCCAGATGATAATCGAAAGACAAAGTTTCTGGCATCTACCAGCGTACGAATATCCAGAGTGACAATCAGCTACAGTCGTTGTGATGGATCAATTGAAGGGTTAATCTAACCAATATATTGAGTCACTTATTATAGGATTTTAAAGTGGTATGCGAAAACAGTTCTGTGGTATTCTCCATGACCTTGAAGCTCTTCATAACACTCCTAGGTATAGTATTAAATTTTCACCTTGAGGTTAGTCCACAACTAGAAGATGTAATGGGCTATTCTATATCAGCTACTACCAAAAATATTTTGCGGGTATACCAATAGATGCTCAACTGATGGAAACAGGATAGTTGATGCAGCTGAGATGCCACCTGCCAGTGCTTCAATGCACTGTTTTATACCTATATGGTGGCTTCGTCTCAAATGATTCTAACATATTTTATCACCTCTCCAGTGTGCTTGCCTCCCACTGTGGAAAGGACGTCCGTGTACTACTTTCCGTAGGCGACGTCTTGGTTATCTTTCAGAAAATAAATGCAGGTACGGTCGGAGCCAAAGTCTGTTCTCGCCGTAGATAACCCATCTCTTCATCAAACGGTTGTTGAGATAAGTAATAGTATATAGAAGGAACAGTACTTTGTCCCCACAAGGTTCAAGTGCAACGCAATCTAGGTGACCTATAACGGGCCTTTTTTCCTTAAGTGTTAGTGTATCTATCTTCTGCTAGTAAGCCACCCGGTAACGTACTTCACGTTTATCTCGGCCACACGGTTAAGTCGGCCACCCCACGAAAATCACGCATCTCTGGCAGACAGGTAGAAAGTCATGCGATCTAGTGAAAGACCCACGGTTGTGGAAAGATGTCTATCCACGAAGAGCGGTAGTATTAGACGAAAAGGTTGAACAGTAGCAGGTAAACGCAGTATATTAAGGTAGGTCTAGAGAGCTCCAATCGTGACTATAAGTCGTGTTAAACTTATTACATTGAACTGGGAAAATATGCAGTATTTATAATCTCAAGTACATAGCAGAATGTCACAGGAAAAGTCTGATAAAAATCCGAAATAACAACGGGGGCATACGATGGTGTAAATGAAACTCGTTGCTTTTTCCTATCTGATCTGAGAGTTGACAATCAACATGATAGATCATATAGCGGTATATCAGGTCTGCTATCTGATTGGTCTTGATGGTTAATACATGCATTTGTATGCACACGCGTAGTGCGGGTAGCGCACACACATATGTTAACAGCCTCAATTTGTACTTCAGAAGTTTAGCAGTCTGACTCCCGAGGACGGGTTTTTTCTACGCCGGTGCATGGCAGATAGGACCCAAGTCCTCCATTATTGTGTCATCGGGCCCCAGTGCGTTATTATGAGAGGGGGACGAGAAGATCGAGTACCTCAAAAAATAGATGGCACGTTATAGATGGCACGGTTAGAAATTAGGTCCATCAAAAATGTAGGTCGCAAGATAAACGGTACTGTGGGGCAAACACCCTTTTAGGTATGGACCGAGAGTCGATTGAGTGCGCAATAGATGCTTTGGATAAATCCTCTCTAAGGGATCTGGGCGCCAAAATGCGTCTGGTATGAGGGCCCTTCCCGCAAAGTGGGGCCATACAAAATTAAGCCTACCTGATAACTCGTATGTGCCAAATAACTACCACCCACCCCCATGGGATAGGCTCTAGGCACTAGATCAGTATCAGGATCATGAGGCTGACCGATTTGAGTAAAATAAAATTTATTGAAATTTATCACAATCGACTCTACTCAACAGCAAGAGCTAATCATAGAGATGAAATCATCGTCTCTCGCACTGCGTAAGTTAGCATCTCATTAGAAGCCACGCTACTCTCATCGACCATCTTATCTGCCGTTCGGGCTCCAGCACCCGGAACACGATATTGAAGTCTCTTGTCAGCACCCGGGCGTGGACCATACGGGAGATCATATGGGATCGGAAGGTATTCAGGCATTAAACCAAGCTGAAATAGTACCGTAAGTTGATCCCACGTGATATGTTCATGGTACAGCCTGTCTCCTCGAATGTTGACCACAGCAATGAAAGGGATTCGGAGCAATCTTCCTGTAGGAGGGATTCCGGGAATACTGGACGATTGACACATGTTAGCACACATTCCATTTTCACGAAGTTGCAGATAGCACTTACAGCCAGTCTACCTCCTTGTCATGAGTAAAGACAAAAATAAACTCGTCCACGACCCGATCAATGCCGACAGTGCGACTCACGAGCTCCAGAGCAGTGTCTTCTGGATTATTAAAGATGAAATGCTTTGCGTAGAAGGAGCTCAGCGCTTCTCTCCCAATGCCGCCCGTCATCGTTGGAATATGATTCACATATGGTTCTTGAACCATAGTGCCCATCGTGTTTTCCACCGATCGTTCACTGAACTCGAAATTGGTATGCTCATCCCATATTTCTTCAAGATCAAACCACGGTCCGTCGAGCTCTTGCTTCAAGAACGAGAGACAACGGGTATGTGCGACTGCGGCCGACGATGGGCTGAAGTCCCTGTGCGAGGGGATGATGAAGGAGGCTGATGAGACATCCGGGTAGCGATAGACGACTCCACTTTCAGGTTTTGACTTCGTGCCTTGCTCGGGCAAATGATAGATGAATTTCTTTTTTGGCGTTCTCGCTAATTTCCCATACGAAACTATAGCTTTTATTTCATATAGATTGTCGATTTCGTCGACTAAGTCAGGAACAAACGACGCTGAATAGACTATGATACTTCTGTAAGCATGTGGCTACATATACGAGTCCGCAAAGGATTGCAGTGGATTCCAACCTATGGCGCCGTATGTTTTCTTGTCGCACTTTTCATGTTCATCAAGAGCGTCGATAGCTTGGCGGAGATCTGCCTTGACTGTGCGACAGTTGGAGGAAACCGTCACTTGGGCAACAGTGTAGCCCTCCTCTGCCCACTTTTGCAGTGGCTCGGGATCTAACGTGACTCTTTGGTTCTTCATGCTAGTAGTCGTATCCGTCCGAATGATAATGATACCCGGTCCATGTCCTCGACGTGAAAGTGGTGCATGGACAGTTAATTTGTGGTTTAACTTGATTGGCTTGGCGTTGAGGAGTGGCATTTTTGAATTGAAGTGCAGTGGCAGTAACAAAGTCCAAGATGATCATGGAACTCCCGATTCGGAGACGAGTAGTGAATAGAAAATATACTTATAGACTTTCTAGCTCTCGGGCACTAATGGAGATCGGTTATGCCGAGTGCTCGGGCCGAACACTCTGTTCTAGCAAATAAGTGTTCCTTTCGGGTCTAAGAGTCAAAATAACCTATCCAGCCCCGGAAATATGCGTGTAAATCTTACCTAATATTAGGCCGTGAAATCAGGAACCTCATTCCTAGGTACCTAATTCAAGGATATGTATAATTAAGAATAGCGTTGAATAGCCGGAGTGTAACGAGCTGGTCGTGTTGTTACTATTGTTGTTGATGCCTTACGGCTGTGGCATCAACATAGACATACACGCCTACACCTGTATCTAGCTTCCGTCCTAGCTTCCTTCTTCTCTATCTCCTCAAGCTATTACTTTCGTTCGAACCACTACTACTTCATTATATCGTATGCTACATCTTACTTTGATCTGTGAGTACCTGAGCATCCTCGCACGGTGCCGGATATCAGTTTCGGGATTATCAACGAATGACGCCAACACTTTTCGTGGTACATACCCTCAGAAAGAAGCGGTCAGCTTAACATGGAGCCAGCAGACTATGCCTGTCAGTTCTGCCTGCTACAATGGAGTTTGAGACCCAGAACAGGACACCTGATGCTTAGTGGAAATCCATGTGCGCATGCAGTATGAGATCTAGCATCCATGCAACAACTACGGATGTCTTACAAGTTTCTCGTGAAGAGGAAATAGTTTCAATTGGTATATGCAGAATCCAAAAACAATATGAAGGTAGGTGGACGAGGAAGCATCTGATAGGCGGATCCCTAAGAGTAGGAATCTGTCGTATGGAGCTTTCCATTAACAGTGAAGGTAAAATTCCCGCCTTGAAGCCAAGGTGAATCTCCAATCGTTTGGTCATCAAATGAGAAACGTCAGAATTAACCTTACCACAATATGTCTAAAGCATCGACCTCAAAGTGCCAAAAGGGACCGAAGGGATATAGGTCTGTAGCTCTTTAAGTTAGCCTGAATCTATCTCGGAGCCACGATGAATAATTGAGACACGAACATAAGAAGAATTTAGTTGTTCGAGTGAAGTTATGCCAAGCAAGGCCATTGTCGTCTCCACCTCGTTTTTCAAGATGCGTATAGCCTTACTTGCGCCAGCCTCACCAAAGGCTACGGAATAGAGAAACGGCCTGCCCAACCCAACGCCCTTAGCGCCGAGAGCAATCGCTTTGACAATATCGGAACCTCGAGTGATACCACCATCAACAATTACCTCGCACCTGTCGAAAACTTTCAGGCAGTGCTGGCGCATGGAGATTAGGGTTTCCACCGCTGAGGGAGCGGAATCTAGCTGACGACCGCCATGATTTGAAAGCCACGGATGGGCGCCATACTCCATGCACAACACCGCATCTTCCCAGCACTGTATACCTTTGATGGCAATGGGCAGATCAGTTATCTTTCGAAGCCATTCAATAGCGGAAATCCAGTCAAGTCCGGGCTGCACCTCTCTATTCGTGGTTTAGCACAGTCAAAACTAGAAAGGGTAAGGGATGGCCCTCACGGTCGCCCCACTGAAGGTTCACCAGCAAAGTCCTCGTCCTCCTCATCATCATCGTTGACACCCATACCATTCTGTTCACGCTTCGCAATGCTTACCCTTAAGTCGCGCTCTCGCTTTCCGGCACGGACAGCATCTACAGTCAACGCAAACCCCTTGTACCCTAGGTTGACAGCCTGTTTGATTTCCTGAGTCGTGATTTCAAGATCTGACCTTGCATAAATCTGCCAAAATGTAGTCTGATCAGGTGCTCGCGCCTCACTCATTGCTTGCTGAGACACGTGGCTGTTATTGCACACCCAGTGCAATATGTGGTGACGACCGGCAGCTTTAGTAAGACACAAGTCAGCCTCGGGATGAGCAAGCTTGGCTCCTCCAGCTGGGCAAATGAAAAAAGGCGCAGCAAATTTGATTCCTAGAATAGACTGTGATATATCAAGCTTGCCGATTGGTCGAAGTATACGAGGAAGGAAGCGAAGCATCTTCCAGGAGAGACGGTTTAATTTGGCGGCTTGTTCGTCTTCAGAGCCTGTCTGAAGAACTTGAACTAAATCAGAACATGTTGATATACATCAATTGACAGCACTCACATGCAAAGGCAGCAGGTGGAAGATTTTGTGATGCTGCGTATTCAAAATCAAGAATATTGATGACGGACGAGAGTCGCACTATTCCTTCTGAGACGGAGGAACGTTCAGGCCTCTTCGCATCTTGAACCATCGAGACCGGTCCTAAAATTTGTCTTATTCTGTTCTCAGCTTTGTCTTCAATAATTCACTTGGTGTGAAGCGTACTTTTGACTAAGACATCGGGTAAGAATGTCGGCTTGGTGTATAGACTCGAATGCTTCAGTTGCGTCACTTCCAGCATATTGAAGTAGAATGCTGGCTCCTCCTGGATGCTCGTCTAAGAAATCGGTAATATCATAGACGGTTTGACCAATGATTACCCAGCAGCTCTTCCTGGTACGGTGTTGTTGGACTTGCGCCCTGAGGAAAATGACATTAAAAATCGGAAACTCAACAAGACAAAGAGGCGGAATATTTACTTTGTCAGCATAGTGGTGTTATTTGAAGTTGAGGTCACTGGAGGTTCAATCAATGCAATTGCCGTTGCCAAAAGTCTGGTTATTGAACCCGGTCTATGGCCTCTTTTCTGACTATGGTAAAGAAGTCTACATCCTAGTTTGTCGAGATATACTCCGCCGGCTGGCACACTTGCGGGCAAGAATCCCCACTCCTATCTCGGGTAAGGGGGCGGACCATATCCGCCCGGCTGCGCTCGGCCGGCCACACCAGATCTGTGGACCGTACTAGTATTGCGAGGAAACTGTGGTCATCGTCCGGGTAACTTTATTGCTATTATTGCCAGCCAGACTCGCAAAATGAGTACCACGAGATTATTAAACTCGGGTTTACGGTAACCTTGGCATAAGTGGATCATACTGTGCACCATTAGGATATCAACAGGTCTGAATTCCTATAAAACCCTCAGCTAACAATTTATATAGGTGTGAGGATGCTTAGATACAGAATACCACATAGCAAATTAGGCAAAGGAAGTAGTAGCAGTTCGAGCAAAAGTAATAGCTTGGAGAGAGAGAGAGAGAGAAGGGGGAAGATGAGATAGAACTAGTTACATGTAGACAAGGATGCCTAAGTGGATGCCGCAGGCGTACGGCATCCACGAATGGTAACAATACCAGTTCGTTACAGTGGGAATAATAATGACTAATACAAACGGATCTCTAGGTTAGTATCTCCTTCCGAGGGTCCACTGCTGCTGCTGTTCCGACGCCGATTAGATACTTCAGGCGCATCATTCCTGCATGATGCAGCTATTCCCAGGCTTGGAAATCACAGCCATCACAGGAGTTAGGTACAAATTTTAATGCTCAAAGGTACTTTCAAGGCGGTCACTGATATACTTTATCCCCTCTGCACGATATACGTCCGATTCCACTTGCGTGAGGCCGGTTACATTCAAGCCGAAGAACATGATTTCCGGGTCGTTGTGGTCATACACGGGCCACTTGACACCAAATTCTGATCAGCAGTTAGCTTGCTTAAGGGCTCGGTCATTTTCAAACTTAATACAATCTGGATCTCTAAAAAAATGAGACACATACCTCTGGGAGTACATGGATTAAGCGTTGTCACAAAACTGATCCACATTCTCGACATTGCAGTGCTCAAGCGTCGGCGCCTGCGTAGTGTCCCTTCTTTGAGCTTCTCGTCTGCATTTTTTCCAACTGCATCCTTGTTGTCGAACACATAGGGTATCTCTGAGCCATGATTGGCCACAGCATAAGGACCAGCTTTTGGAGCAGCTCCGGGCTCGACCACGTCGAACAAGTAGCTATACGCTGACACATTGTGAACTGACCAGGCCTGGCTGGCCAACCTGCGAGCTGCATGGATGTTGACATCACCTTGAAATGCTGCTACTCGCTTATATTGAATCCCATACTGGGCTGGAGGAATTCCAACCATCGTGGCGGGAACTCCAATTTCAGGAATATCTGGATAGAGAGCCTCCAAGGCATCTGCGGTGGCATTGCCGAGCCCCCAATTTGTGACTACCTCTCGGAATTCAGCATCTGTGTTTACTCCCTAACGGCAAAACTTGTTCCTTCGTCGGCATTCCCACCAATAAGATAAGGAACTTTGACAAATTTGCCCTTTCGAAGCTGAACAGTGGCGCTCTCTTCAATCAAGTCTCCATCGATGACTGGAATGAATTGTGGTCCGCTGTGGCCTGCCAACGTATGCACAGGCACGATGGAGGAGTTGTCGAAAATATCATGTAGTATGTTTTCAGGAATCCCTCGAAGGCAAGCCAAAGTATCATTTGCAGAACTGCAGCCCGCCGCATCCACAATTGCATCGTAAAAGGGCTGCCAATCATCAGGGGCCTGGTAGCGTGCATAAACGCTTGGGGCCCCACTTTCGCTGATCGCTGCGCGGAAAAGGCCATCGTCACGACCCCCGTAAGCGACTAAATGTGTCCCAACACTATTGGCTCCGGTACTTTCGCCCCAGATTGTGACTTTTGAGTGGTCGCCTCCAATTGCAGCAATATCTGAGCACGATTAGAATTAGGTTTGAGTCGATTGCTTCCACTTGATACGTACTCTCTTGCAACCAATGTAGAGCCAAACGTTGGTCTCTAAGTCCAAGGTTTCCAGCTCCTGCTTGCTATATCTCTTTGCTCCAAATGAACCCCCAGCAATGGACACGATAGTTTATGCTAACTGCTATCATCGGGTTTCCCATTTTGACTGATTGGTCGACGATATAAGATAGATTGTACCCTGGATTTGATGAAGAGCCGGAAGTAAATCCGCCGCCGTAAATCCAGACTGATACCGGATCCGTATTAGTACGCTTTCTCAAAGCAGGAGAATTTACTGACCAGCAACCGGAAGGTTGTCATAGCGAGCGAAATCTGCTGGACGCACGACGTTCAAAGTGAGACACGCTTCAGAAGCGCCCTCCGTCTGTTTATAGCCAACGCACGCGGGTGAGTATTCTGTTGCGTTTCTTGGTACAGACCAGGAGGTGTTCAACTGCTGAGGTATTTGAAAACGTAGATCACCGACTGGCTGCTGCGCAAACGGCATACCAAGGGAAAAGTCCTGGTTATAGTGTGTGTTATGGAGCCCATAGTAGGTACCATTGAGAACAGCAGCTGAGGGATGTGCTGTCTCACGATGTTCTTCTTTTGCAGCAGTTGCCAATAATGCGCTGGTAAGGGTTGCTGTGAGAAGACAATGCAGAAACATCCTGAAAATCACGTGTATACTAGATACTGCTGAAATTGAATGAAAGGGGGTGCTGCATCCTAGCGCTGTGGACGAGGAGCGATATTTATGTAGTCTATCTCCCCTATGTATTGATTTGACTTGGCAGGGTTTGGTCCTTCATTTGATGGAAGGACTTTTGCTTTAGATTGAAGTGGGCTAATAGGATCCGCGTTGGATATCCCAGCCCGCCCGCATTTTCTCGCGAGAACTGCCTAGCGAAGCTTATTCTGGCTCTGTAAGACGGTCCGTAAAGTAAGTTATCTTCTCGCTACGTGTATTGTGTTGAAATTGCTTCCGCTGACTCGCATGTCTGGTGCAAGCTATTCTTAGGCATCCAGTTGTTCGTCGAAAATTTCTTACAAACTCTCGGGATGACCAGGGGTTGTCACGGGTATAGCTATCGGTAAAGTCCCTAATTGGCTGCTTGTCTCAATGTTACTGGCCTGCAGCGGAACTTGAACTCGTATGAACATCCGTGAGAATTACGTATTCTGCCACGATTCTGCGTATTTACAGGTGGGGAGTTGATCAAATTGACGTCAGTGCTTTTCTCGGTCAACCACACGTTTTTCGATCCGGGAGAATTGAGAGGCAGTATCATGATATAACGTCGAGAAAATCAACCAAACACAGCGGGAAGGTAATGCTGGCTGAGTAGGGCCACAATTCCGCTCGAACCTTATCAGTCTAGGTGGTGAACAATGTGTACTCGGGACTTCGCGTTAGGAATACTTGCCGTCAAGATATTCTCCTGGACAGTTTATATCAATCATTCATGCTACTTGCTGGCGGTAAAATGGGCTGTGGGTTTCAACAAAAAGAAAATCTCCACTACGCATGATAGTGCACGCAAAAGAGAGATATAATACTAAGAAAAGAAAAAGAAAGATTTCTTTACTCAACCGTGTAGAACAAATGATCGAATGACTCAAGCTCCGGTTGCAAGCAGTCCAGAAATCCAGGTCCGACTCCTGCGCAGTCATCATGTCCTACATCAAAGCGTTCGTTCACATCCGAGAACGGTGGTAGACCTGCTAAATCAACCACCGATTGCGACTGGGAAGTGGTAGCCAAATATGATTGCCATCCATAGCTCAACACTGGAGAAATAGTGCTGAAGCGTTCTTCACTGGTATTCTCACCATCTAGCGATCCGTCAAAAATCAACACCCGGTCCATGTAATGTTGTACAGTATAATCTCTTTCGTCGGTCACTCGCTGTTTGTATTTATTTATTGCCTCGGCAAAGCTCGTGAGTATGTTGCGGTACAACCTAGCTTGAGGGCTAGTTAATGCAATATCTCCCAGAATGATGTGCGCATTGTGGAATGCACTCTCGATGTCTTTGCGGGGCTCCCCAGCGAATACTGAGAACCCAAGGACCAAGCCCGCGCCGAAGACCCACGCCCTGTCCAACGATGGTTGTCAGCAAGTACATGTAGTGCAAAAATGGACCAAGGGGTACGCAAAGGACAAGGATGACCATACTCAAGGAGAAAGAAATTGCAGAATGTGAAACGACAATCTTTTGCTTTCATACACATATTCACCATGTCTATAGCTGAGCTGACACAGACCTGCGCTAATCTTGATACTTTGCTGTTCTTGATGCTCATGTCTGAGGCCTCGTTAGGGTCGCTGATAAGATCATCTGGTGCTTTACCACGTAATCTCGACATCAAGTATGCCACGAGAAATGGGCGCGTAATCAGCAGTACGGCGAAGTAATGCACGCCCCATATGTGTAGGCTCCCAAGCAGTGCTTGGCGATCGGCAGGTTGCAGCGTGACATTCGTATTGCATTTCACCGGAAACTGACGGATATGCGGAGGCAATTCTCGACTCCACTGTCGCAGGTGCTCTAAGCAGATCCTCGGCAGCAGGAACATGGAGAATATTTCCGTTAATCCCTAGAGTATCAACGATCTGATCAAGTAGATTGCAAGCTTTGGCCATTGCAGTAAACAAGGGGCATGAGTTTCGCCCACGTCCAAGATCATATTGTGGAGACTCAAGCCAATCGGTGGCAAGAGCGGGTAAACTTTTCGGTCGCCCGAAAATGAAGCTGCTCAAAACATCAAGGTTTCGCACGCTGATCCAAACCCTAATTCTTTGGGACGTATTTCAGCGGATAGTAAATCAGAAGTCATGAGCGGTAGATCAAGCTTTACCTGGCGCATATCTCTTCTTCTGAGGAGTTCTGATGATTTCCGGTGGCGTTGAGGCTCAAAATGACGGCAGCTTTTGCTGCAACACTCAGAAACATCGATGCGGCATTTCGGTTGCAGGCACCGAGGGTATAGAACGTGAGAAGAGTAAATAGCCGCACCATATCTAAAGTTTGGGTCATCAACATTCCCTGAAAAGCCGTACCACGGGCGCGCAGGAAATGAGAAGTGGAAATCTGCGGGTCATTGCCAACTCCTCGTGCCTGGGCTCCAATGGCAAACACGAGGTCAAATATGGCTTTCAGGTCGCCAGAAACACGTGAAGACTGAGTGAGAATGCCCTGATTATCAGAAAGAAGGGTTTCGAGCTCATATGCCGTCAGAAGATCTAGAACACCGCTGGTCTGGAGAAAATAAGCGCTTTTGAAATTATGGAATACCATTGAGGGTGTGGCTCTTACGGCTTCAAGATAAGAATCAAGAAGAGAGCTTCTCTCATCGAAGGAGAGAATTTGAGTCTCATTTTCCACGGTACTGTTCCCAGGATCCAAAGTGACATGGGGAACTCCTTCCTCTGTAAATGGCACCGATCCAATATACCCTTTCATGGTACATTTCAAGAAGTGAAGAAATGATAGTGAAGATGTCTCTCCCATATTCACTATATGAATTATGATTAGCGTGTGCTAAGTGATAAGATGACGAAAACGCTACACCTTTTCCACCCATGTCTGAAATGCAGGACACATCTTCGTGGTCAATTGTAGTATAATCCAGGGAATTTGCCTGGGGGGGTCAGGGAAGGAGTAACTTGCTCCACTGAGATTGAATTCTCCATGAGAATCGCGGGTGCATCGGGGGATACACAAGAGGTTGCAAGGGAGCCCAAGGGCAAAGAGGGAGCCTTTGCCATGGGCTCAACCTCTCCCAACTTGCCCTGATCTTTGCGTCGCCGGTCAACACCCGAGTATATGCATGACGTGCCCAGATCACGTCGTAAACACGATCCGCAAGGGTCTTTGCCGTCACACCTAATTTTAGAAGCCTTGCAAGCCAAACATGCTCGACAGGATCGTTGGCGATTTTCTGGGCGTACCTTTGGACGTGGCATCGGGGATCTGATGAAACCTGGTGGGCGCCTCTTGGACAAGGCGGGAATGAAGATTAGTTGGCTCAAGCGAGGTTGGATTCATGTGCGGGCTTACTCCCGTCTGATAAGCTCGATGTCTGATGAGAGGGGGAGTGGAGTGGAGTGGACCGGCTCACATCTCACTTAACAATCAAATCGCCACTGGGATTGTGATCGGGAAGTGGGGATAGTTTAAGGCAGTATGTAATCTGAATATCAAGTGCGGGGGGGTACCCTAGGGTAGTCAAGTGGAACTAGTTTTGAATGGACGGGATAACGAAAGGGGTAAACACCTTGCCCCACTGATAGCTTGGTAATACGACCTTTATGGTTCGTTACGTCCACGCGACCATTCGACCCGTTCTCAGTAAATGTTAGCGCAGTCTCCAATATGCAGCAGTGATCGAAGGGTCACAAATTCGTGCTTTTAAGAATCCAAATTTACAGCTGGTGAATGATATGCTGATGGATACAGCATACCTCGCGGTCGGTCCGTCATTTTACAGATATTTTCTAACATTCGGAACATCCTCATGGGAAAATGCCTAGCTTATGAAATGCTACTGTACTCGGGAATGAGTGGAGAGTTATTGTTGTATCATACTGTTATGGTCCGTGAGGCGAGCTGTATCCCTTCTGGTAGCGTGGAGAGCCAACGTTTCAACAACAATATGCAATATGTGGTGGCTACTAGTGATCCATATAGGTATCAAACAGCATGGAAAAAGGACAATCTTGGTTTCTCAAATCACTCCTATTGAGGTAAGATACACTCAAAAGTATTGTAAGAGGGACTTTTTCTTATACAGCCGCTTTCATCGACTCACTAAAGTTCTTAGCGACCGACTGGGCAAAGTACTCTCCAACACTTATTGGGGGACTGCATGTCGAGGTCAGACAAGAACAACTCATGTATAAAGTTCGTTTTGGGACGTACTATTTTTTCTGCGGCCCCTGCAGTATGAAGTCGCGCCTTGCTTGATTGAAATAAGCGATCGAGTATCGAGACGGCGATATGCCATCGTCCTTAGCCCGCACTCGGTGAAAGTTGGATTTCAAGCGGTCATCCGACCAAGCCACTTTGAAACGAGCACACTTGTTAGCTCCGGAGAATCAGACTGAGCTTTCATGTTCTCTTCTTCACTCACTGAGCATGTCTCCAATATTGACGACAATGGGGCCTGTTTGAGCCGGAAGAGGTGTGAAGATGTCTCCGCTTGCGAAACTTGAATGACTTTCCCGACCGGGGCAGATTTCTAGTCCATCCTCTCCATCGCGCTGGAACAGAAGAGTGAGACATCCGATGTCAGTATGACTTCCTGCCCTCCATGTTCCGATAGCTTTGTCGGACCGTGGATAGTGAATTAGACGGAGTTGAGTTAGGCAGTCCGGCTGAAAAGGATCGTTCGCAATCTTAAAGTAGTCTTCTTCAAATCCAAGTGCACGCGCGAAGCATGTTACTGACAATGTCAATCAAAGTTTCCAAGAAGGTTAGTATTGGCTGTGCACATACAGAGCTGATCGGAGATTTCTGCACATTTCTGCATGAACTCAAGCGTCGTATCTCGAAACCCAGGCACGTGGTCATCGCTTGGCCATTCGGACTTGCGTTGGAGCCAAAGTGACTCTTTCTGGTCGTACATGCCGGTACTGGGACGCAGCTGAGCCTAAGCAAAGAGAATCAATACCAGGGTTCCGGCTGGGCTAGTGATGGAATTTTTTACTTTATATTCCCATCCATTGTTGTTCTTAGTATCATGGGGAGTTATGCCCTTTATCTCAGCCGGGAGATCAAAGAAAGCCTTGGAAATAGAGAATTGGGCCTCAATTTCTTCCTTCGAAATGTCATGATCAACCAAGGTAAAGAAACCAGCATACTCGGCTGCCTTTATCAGCTGTGCTGTGATTTCATCTTTGCGTTGCTCAAAGTCTGGGACGGTTGTTAGTTGGTTTTGTGGCGTGAGGGACTATCAACCTCTCACCTTTAAGCGATATAACAGGAACCAGTCTTTTGGCCATTATTTTCTTTTCCATCTTTGCTGCATTTAATTGTTGTCTTAGATACGGGAGGATGTTTCGATTGGCGATGTTTATATCTTTCCTGAATCCCATTCCTGTCATCGGCAATGTACCGTATCCCGAGGTCCGTACGTCGGCACTGTACCGCATTTGTGCATCACGTTCAATATTCGAAACGTGCCCAGGTGATAACGGGAATCAGAGTGAGGGGATGAACGTCGGTCAAAGTTTTCGGTTGAATTTTATCCTGCTATGAGCCGAATTTAATAAAGTGAGGTAGAGTGAACTCTACCCAATTGAGTGCGAGGATACTGATGATCTATGGTGTCTTATCCGAGTCTAGATTGCCCCAGGTTATCATCGGGAGCTTATCATGTATTCATCATATCTTCGGTTACGTACCCCGGCCATCTTTGGTAAATGACTGCAAGTATCATCAAAGTCCCTCTATTTATGTAGAAACCGTTTTAGTGTTTCCTAGGAGCGAGAGATAATTTTTCGAATGCTTGTCCTGTCTGGATTGAGACAGAATTAAAAATGGCGGATATCGGGATGAAGTCTGCGAAGGTGAGTAACGCACATTCCTGCCTTATCTCATTCAGAAAATGGGACTCATTCCAGCACATGCCACTGTAGACAGAGAATTTCAACCTCGAGGGGAACATTGAGCAACTTTCGGGTCAGTGTATCAACACAGCAAGTCGAAATAAAGCCTTGAATTTACTGGCCAATCGCCATATTGCGTTCGATCCAGATTCTCCGGAAGCAAAGCGAGTGAGATTAAAGATTGATATGCGTATCATGCCAATGATATTTGTGATCTACTGCCTCCAACTCATGGATAAAAATAGCTTGTCATATGCTGCAATCATGGGCATTAAAGAAGATGCAAAGCTCACACCCTCACAATACTCCTGGCTAGGTTCGCTCGTGTAGTAAGTATACCGTTTCATTTTTCAGGTTCAGACACAGCCAGATCCTAGAACCCGGAGTATCTGAGATAACCTACTAAATTGAAGATGGCAGTTTTGGCTACTTAGGAGGCGACATTCCTGCCAGTTTTCTCATGCAGCATTTCAATATATCCAAGTACTTCAGCATCATGTGCATGATATGGGGTATTGTTGTTGCATTACATGCAGTGTGCCATGACTTTGCTACTTTGGCTGCCGTCCGATTTTTCTTAGGTGCTATTGAGGTCTCAACAGTTCCTGTGGCTATTCTTATTACCGGGGCCTTTTACACCAAGGAAGAACAAGTCACAAGGGTGGCGATTTGGTACACAACGTCCGGATGGGCATCAATTTTCGGAGGGTTCATTGCCTGGGCTATCTATCATGCGAGTAGTTTTCAATGGCAAGGGCTTTTTGTTCTTTATGGAGGTATGACATTCGTGACTGGTGTTTTCTTGTTTCTGTTCCTTGCAGCTTCGCCGACCGAAGCTACGTGGTTGAGTGAGGATGAGAAGGTCATTGCTCTTGAACGAGTCCGGAGCAATAGGACAGGAACAGAGGTCTGGAAATTCAACGCGTCACAGCTTCGAGAGGCTTTTCTTGATGTTCGCTTGTACCTGATTTTTCTGATGCTCCTTTCGACCGGTATGCCTAATGGTGGACTTACTGCTTTCGGTATGCCAGTGCATCATTTTGAAAACTTATACACAAGAATGCGTAATTGACGTCCGCCTCTGCAGGTCCAACAATCGTGATGAACTTTGGCTACAGCGTGCCTACAACCCAACTACTGAACATGGGATCCGGTGCAGCTCAAGTATTTGGCACGGTCTTAGCGTTATTGGTTGCGAAATGTACCAACCGCACTTGCGCTGGTATAGTCACACTCATTCTCGCAAGCATTGGAGCTGCCATGATGCTTGGAATTCCGAGCTCCAACAACAGTGCTCGTTACGGCGGATATGTGCTCGTTTATCAATGTTCGTTTCTGCGGGCTTTCTAGTTCTCGCTTCCTGCTTGTCAGGGAGTCTCGCGATTATTGAACGGGCTACTAACATCTCATAGTCCCTATTTGCGTTCTGTTCATCATCACTTTTATGACTGCTGGAATATCTGGGTCTACGAAGAAAATTGCCTTTGGGTGTTCCTACCAACTTGGATATGCCGTCGGCAACATTATAGGTCCCCAGACATACAGGGCGAAGGATGCGCCTAATTACTACGTGAGCACACTGGAGCAGCACATCCCCGATTTGATAATTTAACCCAATTCAATAGCTTGCGAAGTATACCATGCTCGCATTCATACTCGTGACCGCCATTTTGATTGGTATTTATGGTGCTCTTCACAATCACTGGAATAAGCGAAATGAAATGCATGGCGCCAATTCTGTGTCCGGTATCTATCCTTTGCTTTGGAGATTAGATGTGCATGCTAACTCTTCCAGATCAACCGAGCGGTTTTGAAAACGAGGAATTTGCCGATTTCGGTGATTTTCAGCTGAAAAAATTTAACTATCCAGTATAGTCTATTTGAGAATGCAAACCTGACCGGAATGAAGCGCGGATTTCTCCTTTTTGTGATTTGGATTATTTCAAGATTCTATCAATTCTATTTCAAAACTTACAATTCTGGGAATAAGGGATTCAGAGAATTGATTAGTTTACAATCATTATTAAGCCTTAGCTAGATAGGCCTTGTGTTATGATATACCCTGGCATGAGGTTATTTACAATGTTTATGCCTCAGACCGAAAGGTCCCCAGTAAGGAGGTTCGCCAATCTTCCGCTACCAATACCCATATGAACCCCTGCAGAGAAGACCCTTGATGAAGGTTATATAAGCCTTATATTTATCCTACTTCCTCTCCTCCTCTAGGGATATATATTCTTCCTTTTTAAATAACAAGATTGTATATAAATTAAGTTATAAAGAGCATGCCTTGTATCCCTTAGGAAATAGTCTTTGAATAATCTGATTAGGTACTTTGCTCCTAGACCAACGACAACCTTTGCTCAGGAATCAGCGTTTACATCTTTTATGCCTTTTTACGACGAACTTTTCTCATAGGTAAAACTCAAGCTTTTCACAGCGCCAATATTACTTTGATATTTATCAGACTGCTTTGTACAACTAGGAAATGCATTTTAATCGAATTCACCTGGGGGAAGGTACACAAACAAGGTGCGAGCCCCCTCTTTCTTGGCGACTTGAGTTAGCTGGGCAGCGGGCCTATACATGGGGGCCAAAATTGAAAGTTGACAAATCTATGACTGATCATATTGGCTATGGTGGAAATATCATCACATGTGCATGTACGTGCATCTAACGACATGAGACCGATAAATATTCCAATCCATCATCGCTTGGTCATGACGGAGGAAGTATAACAGCTGGTTTACTAGTCGTAGCTTTAATGCATGACAGTGCTGGATCTCCACATTATACTAGTGGTATGTTTCGGGTTTAGTAGTACTAATGACTGGGCACTTTGCATTCATAGTCATGCTGAGAGGAGAAATGCGATGGGGGACCGTTACCTTCAACCTTGGAAGTTGGAATGGCAGGAGCAAGGCCCGAAGGAAACGAACCTTGGAAAGATAGTATATCACTAGTAATAGCAGCGGAAATATTGCTGACACTGGATATATACTACTGGTAGTAACATTGAGGGTGACAGGTACTAGTACTTGTACCCAAATTTCGTTGGTGATAACTACTAGGACCAGTTGAAAATCGCAGGATTGAGAGAGTCTGTTCCTGAACAGATATTTCGACGACATGAAGTTCCAGCCTCAGATATCGAATCATTTATATTTAGGTGCGGACTTTTGTATAGCGAAATCACGCCGAAGGCAAAGCGAAAAGCTAGTCAAATTGAGAAGCCATATCTATTTTAACCACTGCGACTCAAAAGTTGCCACTCACCAAGTTCCGCAGCCTATTTAGAACCAGGAGCAAAAGAGTTCTGTAGCCCGGGCCCACCTAGAAAAACCAACGTCCCAGTGGGATGGTCGACTTTTCGATCCGATCCACCGAACCAAGCGCTGGGAGACATTACGTGGACCATGGGTTCCGTTTGGACCATTCGAAAAGGCCATGGACTCCTTTGGGACGGAAGCTTTTGGATTATCCACGCCTCTGGGCATATGCCCGGTAATTCGTGCGCATGCGCCCGCCTTAAAACTGGAAATTGGGCCCCCTTAGGGTCAGAATGTTTTCATACAAAGTATATTCGCCCCCATGGTGTAAGGCCGCTACCCTAGTCGAAACCGGTGTCTGATGGTGCTGCGAAACAGACGGTTGTTCGGTGGAAAAAGGAGATTGCTGAGTTCCTACTTCCTGATGGTGGACCTACTAGCAGCTAGGGAAACAATCGCACAATTGCGGACACTGGAATGAGACTTTGGTGTTCATATTGCAATTGTTCACGATGTCGTGTGAATTGTCATTGAAAGTAACAAAATACTCACATCTTTAATGGAACTTAAACGTCTGTCCAGGCCCAGTGACAGAAACTGTGATCATATGACGGCATGGGAGCATGGGCGAAAGAAAATGGATCTCGTTCAATCACCTGGGCAATAGTAATATATAATAGAGCAGGATAATGAGAATATCGCAATGGGAAACTTGAAGCTTGAAACAAACAAACGAGACCAGCAACACTCGTGCCTGGCGCATCACATGGGATTTTGGGTGAGTAGCAGCCCAATCACGCCAGTCAATTTGAACCAGTTTCAGATCCCTAGTTTCGTTAGTGAAATAGATGCCGATTAGTAAGAAATTATCAAACAGTCTATTATTGGGAATAAACATCCATAAAGCAGCTAGTAGTGCAACTCGAAAGAAGCGGATGATTCTCCGAGAAAATCCACATTCATCGCAGACAAAAGCAAAGATACGTATTTCAGTTATGAAGAACGCCACTCGATCTTAGTCTTGATGATGGCGCTCGGCTAGACGGAAATGGTAAGGCGCTTAGGATAGGGATCAGCAACCGCCCCCTAGAAAATGCATGTCGATCATTGAGCTCGGGGGTATATTTTCCAGGGCGAAGACACCATCAAGGGATCAAAGTAGCTCATGTTCCGCCCCATAAACGTTCAAGGGGCGAAAGGAAAAGATCTTCGCACTTCGACCAATTGCAGATTCAATTGCGCCAAATAATCAAATGGATTGGATTGAGATGTGCGGCGCGGACAGAGCAGTCGTGGACCTCCGCTGTGGAGTCGCGAAGTGCATTATTGAATAAAAGTGGCGATTTTGTGGGGTTCGTTTAGAGTGCTTTGCAGGTGCCTTGAATTAGGATTTACCATGGGGTTCAGTTTCTGGTGGACTTGTCCTCGGTGCTAGATGTGCAATGATTAAACAAATCACTGGAGAACAGAGTTGCCGACGTAAATAATCCTTGTCGAGCAGCAAAAGGGGTATAGCACCTATCAAATACATATGTAGGAGTAGTGAGTGGTTCAGGGGATGGTGCATCGCCCTAGTCTCGACGGGACAAGATCCACGCGAAAATCACGGATTGGCATCTGTCGTTTTTGACGTCGGGATCTTCAAAGTCAAAGTGCCGGAGGTTACATTCAGGGAATTTTGTCATTCCACGAGGATGGGGGTCTGGAAGCACAGATGCATACAGCTCGTCGGCTAAACAGCGGTGATGCATAGATTGGCGGAATTGTTATGACTGGAATTGAACACGGTGTAAGCGGAATACAGCCTTATGCATGTATCCTGCACTGTGATGCAGCTTCAATCTTGAGGCACACAACAAGGGCAGCGCCACCGAGAGAAGTGCAACATCATGTACCCAAAGTGGGTCAACAATAGCACGCGAGGCCCGTTCACGAGCGCTCCCCTATGCTGATATCTCCGAAAAATAGCTCGGAGAGAGAGGCTGGCGACGACAATAAAAGTTTGATGGTCAATTGTTCCATGGGATATTGAGCAGCCACATGCCAATCCCAGTTACTTTTCACAGGATCAAATGGCTCGAGAACAGGGCTTGCAGCGCCGGGGCCCACCAAAGGGTGACGATTGCTGTGGGGAACAGGCGACCAAGCCCACACTAGAGCCTTCGATGGCAGACTTCGGTGCATTCAGAGGCGTCCCTGCATGGAAGGAGTCTCCATCCGAAGCCACGAGGGCCACATGGTGCACGCTCGAGCCGGTGCCTTGTCGGGGACGACGGGCCCAATGACCTGGTTTTGTCCTTGAAGATCGCCGCCTATTCGTGCACTATTGAGTCAACTATGCGAACTTTGCGGAGATCGCAGTTTGGCCAACAAGGTTTTCCTTGTGTGATGCTTTGCATGAACACAAGATCCACTCTACTCCAGCCAGAGCCCTGGGACCCAGCTATTAAGTGCTATCCCCCGCCTCTCTGCCCACACATCAGTCTATCATTCCATTGCAGATTTTGTGATACCGGGGAAATCGGGCCAACGGGAGCTTCTTCGACTTCGATGCAGTAGGCCGCCATTTCTGAGAGTTGGCTGGATGATATTGCTAGATTATTGAAGGCCCGAACTCACCCACGACATTCATTTGACAACCGTCCTCGCCACACCATTCACTCTTTTATACACCCAATCAACATGGACAACATATTGCACGAATTTCTTCCCCGCGCCAGTGACGATGGCCATGAGCGTGGCCAGCGAGCGCTGGTTGTGACAGCGGTCTTGACTGGCATTGCTGCGCTTATCGTCGGCATGCGCCTATTTGCTCGGCTGGGGTTGATGAAGATTACAGGCCGTGAAGACTGGAGTGTTCTTATTGCCTTGGTATGTTGATTTGATGCTTAACAAATGACATCAACAGCTGACAGCCGTAATTTCAGATATTCTCCATCATATACCTTTCACTAGTCGCTGCCCGTACGTGTTTGCTCCGTGATAACTACTAAGCAGTACCTGATGGACCTAGCAACTGACCATACCTCTTTATTTAGAATACCATTATAAAATGGGTACTCACTCAGCATTACTTTCGTCTGAAGTGCTCCAAAAGCAGCTAAAATGCCTCTGGGCTGCCATTCCCATGTACAACGCCAGCCTGGCCTTCACCAAATTCTCCATTCTTCTGCAATATATCCGCATTTTCCCCGCTCGTTCCTTTCGTCTCGCCTGCTATGTTGTGATGGCGATCGTTGCTACATACTCGTCTTGGGCCATCGTCAGCGGCTACGTAAACTGCGTCCCAGTCGCCAAGTTCTGGAACCACGACTTACCCGGTCACTGCCTGAACTTTGAAGCTGTCTGGTTCTTCAATGCGTCGATGAACATTCTTACCGATGTGATACTATTGGTGCTGCCTATGCCGCTGCTTGTGAAACTTCAACTACCACGGACGCAGAAGATTGCCCTGATGGGAGTCTTTGCAATTGGTATTCTGTAAGTGCTCATGGAAACCCAAAATACAACTAGTATATGCATGTGCTAATGACGATATGCCATACAGTGTCGTTATTACAAGTATTCTACGTCTTTCCAGTCTACGAACCGTTGCCCAAAGCACCGACACTTCTTGTATGTTTTGACTTCGGCAATACCCAACCGAAACTTCCGCTGACCATTTCCATATAGACAGCAATGTCGATGCCGCGTACTGGACTGCGGCGGAGTGCAATGTTGCAATCATTTGTGCTTGCCTGCCATTCCTTCGTCCCATTATCAGCAGTATTTTCCCCAAGCTTCTCTCGACGAACAGCTACAACCGATACACCTCGAACCCGCGCACCAACACCCGTAACATCACTGCATCTCGCTCACAAAGACAACAAACCGACCTGTTCAGCCAAAACATGGACAAGGATTTCGATATGTATTCGATCAATGTCAAGCACGGAAACCGCTCAAGCCATAGCTCATTTGGTGGAATTGAAGTCACCACCGAGATGACTGTTTCGCAAGAATCGAAGGTGGGAGAGACCGTTAGCGAACGACGATTGGTTATCGAATCTCCTCCTCCTTCATGACCATAACATTCTTTGAAGCTCATCATTTCTATTTTCCGGGCACTTCTCCCTTTTTCTTTTTATTCTTTCTACTTTTACGACAGCATTGTGACGGCCTACAACACTTCATTCATTTTCTTGGTATATATTAGGGTCAGGATTTATTATTGGGCGGTCAACTGGACATTCAATCTTTCGCATAACGTTTATTTTATAATCATGGACAAACAAACAACTACTTTCTTGAACAAATACATTGAATCTTTCAACATTTAATAATCGCTATCTGCTACTAGGTATCACTCAATATCAACAATAATTTGCCCTTCTTCCCCAAGCTCCCCACGCACCCGCGTGTCAAAATCCCGACTAAGCGCACTAATCCTCCCCTGAACCCAAACATGATCCACATCCCCCGAGTTCAGCAACATAGCTCTAAACCTATCAATGCGCGTAGGAAATATCTCCAACCTCACCGGAATCAAACCCGAAGGCCCATTTTGCTCCCCGTCCCTTCCAATCTCACGACAAATAACTCTCCACACAGCACCAAGATCATTCCGAAACTCCCGATTCAGGGCATAATCATCCACAAAATCCCCACACCCATAAATAATCACTTTCCCCTGATAAATCTCCACCCCCTGGACATGATGAGAAGAATGGCCATGAACTATATCAACGCCACACTCGTCAATCAGAAAATGCGCCAATGACCAGATTTCATCCGCTGGTTTCCACTTATAGTTTGGACCCCAGTGGATGGAGAAGATCTTTAACGCGGGTACATTGCTTCTCTTCGATTGCGTGGACTCGCTATCGTTGTCGTTGTTGTGGTGTTCAAGTTGGTGACGACGGCGTGCTGCATGGTGGTAGATGTCACATTCCGAGTCCGTCTCGTCGGGATGTTCCATCGTGCCATTTGACAGAAGCGATTTGCGCAATTGGACTCGCGTACTCGGAGAGTAATCGATTAGATGAAAATTTGGGATCGAACTCCAGTCTTGAGGGTGATCGGATCCGGAGTATATGTGCACGGGGAGGTAGTCAACCCCACCGTCTTTTTCTGGCGCAATAGTAGTTATAGTACCAGTACTATCACTACTAGTACCAATACTAATACAGCCATGCCTTAGCAGTGTCTTCCTTGGTAGAAATAACTTCGCCGGCTTAAACGCTTCATTCGTCGTCTCGCCCGCGCCAGAAAAAGTAACTCGGGCACTCTTCAATGTCCAAGCCGTCTCAACAAGACCTTCACTGCCAAAGTCGAGGACATGGTTATTCGCGAGATTAGCGTAATCGATTTGAGCAGAGTGTAAGATAGGCGCCAGGTTAGCTGGGTGCATGCGATAGTTGAATTTCTTATTGGGCCAGCGTTCGTGGGTGGTTGTTACTGCCGTTTCGAGGTTGATGATGTTTAGATCGGATCTTTGGAAGAGAGGGAGCGTCGTGCCCCACGGTGAGGACGGGGTATAGTTTCCCTTACCCAGGATAGATGGGTGTTCGGATTTGAAGCTGGCTGCAACTGCTTCGTCTTGAGGGTTGTTGACGTGCTCCGGGAAGAGTTGGTCAACTAGACGGCCCAGCATCACATCTCCGGTGAATGTTAGGGTGAAAGTTCGGGGACTGGTCATTCTGTATCGCAATACTTCAGGTACATTCTTCGAGTTTGCCATTATAGGAGCACCGAAGAAACTAAAGGTACTGTCGATGCGAAGTCCGAATCAAGTCATGATGACATCGGTATTCCCCGGGTCGAACCAAAAACAGCGACTCGGAGATCACAAAATTGGCCAGGGAAGACTACTCTTAACACCAACTCTACAAAAGCGTACTGCAAATACTATTGTTGTGATATTTACTCGGAGTCAAATTATTCTATACCCAAAGCAATCCATGAGTACATTTTCTCTGCTAACACTTTTGGCAAAACAAGGGCATAGTAACACGGTATCAATGCCGATCCGATCCCGTAAAAGAAAAAGAAAAAAAGAAAGAAAAGAATATGTTGAGTGGTATCATTGCGCAAATCTCCATGTTTGCGCCTTGTATCATTTGAGAAAAACGTCCAGCCTGAACCAAATTATTTCGAATTGAATCTCGTTACTTTCATCATGACTTGGGCTCGTGTTGGTGTATGAATTAACTATCGGCCAATTGCGGCCAGTTCCCGCTCCTTTTGTCGGAGGGCTTCGCGCATCAACTCGGCCTCTCGCTCTAGTTGTGCGCGTCTCTCGACTGATGGGTCAGTCAAGGAAGAGATGCCGGGCAAAGATTGTTGATGCCCAGCGTGTCCTAAAGAAGGCTGAAGTCCCTGAGGTCGATTCATATGCGGTTCCATCCGCGAGTCATCGCGAGTCTCGGTGCGGTTAAGAATGGATGAAATCGAGCTCAAGCGGCCTGGGGGCGACGGATTTGCGGAGGACATAATGGGTGGTAGCTGATTTGACTCCATAGGGGTTGTGGGAATAGAATCTGACGTGCTTTCCGCCAGGGTCCGTTTCTGCGGCAGGTTGATAGAGTTTGGAGATGCAGATCGTCGTCCATAAGAAACCGGGGACGGGCCCAACCTCTCTGGCTCCAGCAATTTGGGAAACTGGTGGTGCTGCATGGGGGCGGAGCTGATATGGAAGCCAGTGAAATCAACCGGGGGTGGTGCGAACGGCAGAGGTCGGGGCATGTGATCCATAGGCTCGCCACTCATGTATCGATAGTGATCATCGTGGGCGTGGGCCAGTGCAGCGGGAGATGCTTCAGGGGATGCTGATGATCCATTTGAGGACTGGGTAGCGGCGGTGGGAGATTGATCTCGCAGGGCTGGTACGACACGTTTCCGGCGCTTGATGATCGACTTCTTCATTGTGGTTGGGCGATAACAACCATGGAGCTTATAATACAATCCTGTTCGTGAGTTAGATGGGGGTGGTTTCAGATCGTAGATAGAATGACTGCTTACCACAGGCGTTGCAGATGGGATGGCCATGCTCATCCCGACGCCAAAGTGGAGTTACTGTCGTACCGCAGTTTTGACAAGCAACGAGAGTGGAGTTTCCATCCGCAGTGGATGGAAGCTTGGGAGGAGTCTCTACCTGCGGGGGTGCAGGCAGAATTTCAGTCTCTGGGCCGGCAGCCCGACCCCATTGGGGCTGGATAGCAGGAGTCCCTCGTTGAGAAGACTTATAGATACGATTGTTGTATGCTGGGCAGCCATCGCAACCTTCCGCACCTCCAGTACCATTGCAACTTCCACCACCGGGGCAGGAGCCCTTGCAACCGCCTCCTGATGGTGTGGTCGTCTCGGCTTGAGGAAGCGGGGCGTTTAGCTTATCGGTTTCCGGATTTTGCTGGGCACGATTTCGTTTTGTCGGGCGAGCCACATTGCGAGCCTTGAGATAGAGACCACATGCATTACATATCATCGCACCTGTTGGCGATCGACGCCAAAGTGGAGTGTTTTTGGTTCCGCAATTGCTGTACATATGTCAGTTTCTTGGCACATCCTTTGAACAATTGAGCTAGTAATCGAGGAGGGAACGCACCTGCAGGAATGTCCAAGAAAGCTCGTGTCTTTCTGAGACTTGGGTGAAGTCTTGCCCGGGGGCTGACTGTCTGCTCTCCCATCGGCCGAAAATCCGGATGCTGATGGTGGACCATTTGGGGGTGGACTTGTTGTGCCCTTGATCGGAGTAGATTCACCATACTGCCGAGCTAGATGTTCGCGACCAGCCTGTGCGGAAGAGATCAGCTGCTGAGCAGCGTCTAAATCCTCCGCGGAGGGTTGTCGCATTGAGCCACCAGAGGTGCCGGGGAAAGAGCGCACCGTTTCCATTTGTGAAATGGACGCTAACATTACCACCTCACTGCCGGAGGGCCAAGGTATGGTCGGCCAATCTTTTTGCTCGGAACCCAAGAGGAAGGACAGGCGAACGGATTGTGGGGGAGGCGGATCCAGGAACAAAGCGGCGCGAGCGGAGAGAAGAGGATGATATGTTGGATGCCGGGAAGGAGGTGAAGGGGTATGTCGCACTGCAGTCTAGAGCCGAATTTCACCGTATCACGCACGTCAGTCTGCACGTACACAGATTATAGCACCAAGAAGGCCAAATGTCGGTCAGCGGGCCGTGATGTATGTTCCTGTAGGGAGGCGGGCCAGGGCAGAGCACAGAAGACTGGATCTGAATGGTGGTTCAAAGGGAGGTGAAGGCGGAGGGGCACAGCAGGCCTGGGGAGAGAGGCGAGACCAGGGATCGGCACAGTCACAGCCTTGAGGGGGGGAAAGGAAAAGATGAGGGCAGCGATATCAAAGAAAGTGGCGTCCCAAAATGCCGGGAATGGTCAGGTGATGGGCGATTGCGACAGGTGACAGCAAAGCAAGAACGCCTTGGGTCTGACTTGGCGCTGTGGGGAGATGTCTTCGGGGATGCCGGCCGATGTGTGAGCTAAACGAAACAAGGAGTGGACCAAGTCGTTAGGGCCTGCAGGACGGTGATCCCAGCGGGACAGCCGGTGTGAAGGGGGGTGGAGGTGGAGGAGGAGGAGGGTGAGGAGGCGAATGCGAATGCACAATGCGGAGGAGAGTGACTGATAACGGGAGTAAGAGGGGGGGGGGGGAGGAAGAGAGAGAAGATGATGTACAGGAGGGATAGATGAAAGGTGGAAGAGAGGTGGGCTGATGGGAAATTGAGTAAAAGAATCGGCAGGGGAGAAGAAGATAGAACCCAATGACGGGGAAGGTTATCGATCTACGAAGGGGGGATCAGTGGCTATCAATCTATCAGGCTAATCGCATCATCTCCCTATCTCATCTAATCTCTGTCTCTGGGCGTTTCAGCTTATTCTTACCCCTCCCCTTTTTGTTGTTCTTATTCTTTCCCCCTCCATTTGACAGTTTCTTCACTTTTTACTTTTTTTCTCTTAGATGTCTCTATCGATCGAGAATTGACAGTCCCCAGATCCAAAACGACTCCACCGAGGCCTGATGAAGTTTAGGGGGGGGCAACAGTGGACATCCGCACCTTCCCAAGTAAGACGCTGGCGGGCCTATGCGCAGGCAATCAGCTTTCTCTGTTCTCTGATTGGCGGAAGGGTGGCGTCAGCAGCAATCTCGTGGCTGTGATTGGTTAACCGGCACCACGCAAGTACCCATCAGGGCCTCGTTCCTCAGGCTCTCAGGCCCTCCAGGGTGCAAATTGTGTTTGCTCGTAATAAAATGCCGAGGAAGTTCCCCCAAAGAGGCGAATGGGATTAATAAGGTGCGTCAAATGGAGTCTTTTCATCGAATCACATCCGTCGGATTGCAACCGAGCCGCCGTTCGTACTTTTCTTTCGCTTGACTTTTGCTATCCACTTTTGATGGAAATTGCTAATGTATTGCGCCACTGGCCATTGGCCACGACCTGCCCTTCATATTCATATCCATGTAGTATTGGCTGCAGGCCACAAGGCCTACACTTTATAGTACAGAAAAATCGTTCTAGGCAGGACCGTATCTCCTTTCAGGTATCAACACAAGGCATGATAGAAGAACAAACATAACTGGCGAAAAAAAAGAAAAGGAAATATCGAGGCTGTACTCCACAAAAAAGAGCACATCAAAAGCCTCTTCCAAAAATTTGACTGGGCACACGCTTGCACCAATGTATCCACCCATGATGACATACCCTAGCCCTCTCTCATTGTCCTCATCAACTGTCATATATCGCACTGGTGATTGACCTCTAGGCATCAGTACGGGCGCCACTTTCATCTGATTTGAGCGCCACGTCACCAAGACTGTAGGCAACCATCACAGGTGCTGTCGCAGCGTCGCAAACGCTTAGACCTGCTCAGCGCCCCAGCCCTGGTCGGACTCGCGCATGTTGGAGGGGGGTTCGATGGAGGGGATGAACTCCAGCACCACGTAGGCGATACCAGTGATGCCGACGATGGAGGCGGCGATCTCGCGGAGGATGTGGCCGTGCAGGATGATGCAGCCAACAAAGATGTAAACTGGAGAGGGAATAATCAATTAGCGACGAGCGTAGGAATGGGTTTCGACAGCTATAAACTTACAGACACCACGACCCAGGAAGGAGAACAGGAAGGAGGCGTAGCGGTAGGCGTAGTCGGGGACGTTGGGAAGGAACTCCAGACCGGCGACAACTGCGGCAACGTTAGTATCTCTTCAAAAAAACAAACAAACAATGCGATAGACTTGTCATCGATACGACATCGTCATCAACTTACCAGCGCCAAAGATCATCACATAGATACCAACGATGATGGAGCTCATGGAAATGGGGAAGAACTGGCTAATACCGCCCAGGACCATAACCACACCGATCGCGATGTTCACGAGTCGACTGTAAGCAAGATTAACGCTACCCCTTCAACGTCGAACTGTATCTCCGGCAAGGAGGCTAGGCCAAGTAACGAGAGTGAATAAAACATACAAGATGTTAGAGAAATCCATTGTGAAGTTAATGCTTGACGAGTTCCGCTTGATCAACAGGGTCTGGGTAGTCCACGTTCGAGGGTCAACGTCGCCGAGTCGCTAGACTGTCGATGACGAAGATAAGATGAGTGGGAAAGGTCTGAGGTATTCGGTAGGTTCGCTAGTTTAGTCGTTAGTTTCACGAGCACTGACAGGAAGATGGGGTTGAAACAGTGCCACAGCTGGCGATGTCGGGGGCGGAGTCGACCCTGAGGGGGGCGAAGCTCATCTTCATCCGTACCTGTGCTTGTCTGGAACCAAAGGAGCGACCAAGGATATGATTTTGATGACGGAGAAATGAGAACAAGAAGAAGTAACAGCTGTCAATAATGTACGAAGAACAGGGGCGCGGCAGATGGGGGATGGAGAGCTGGCTGTCGCAAGCAGCGGGTCCGTCAAGCCCGGTGGCTGGAGATCACGTGATGCCATGTGGCTGAACCAAAAGGGGAGTGATGTACGAATACTATTACTATTCTTAGCATTTGTACTACGGTTGTTACGTAGGTGATGTGGATATTCATCCACTGTACGAAGTCTTATGGGTATGTATGTCCAGCGTACATACTTCCAATATCAAATTGTTTCTTCTCCAGACGCACAGATGACAGTCCGTTGACAAAACAACTCATCCGCTCGGGATCTTGATGCAGTGCGCTGTACATTGCATGCATGTTGGCCCCGATCCCCACCTCTTCAGCCGTTTGAAGGCTCCGTGAGTCGACAAATGGGGCGATGGAAGGCCAGACACTCTGAACATTGTCAAAGAATAATTCCACGGCCAAATCGCCAATTCCTTTGATCTCTTTGATCAATGCTCGCGACTTTTCTCTCTGCCCATGGGCGCTCTTGAGTAGATTGTTGAGGTCACCGTCTTCGCAGACATCGATCAGGATTTCCGTTAGCAGTTGTTTGGGCCAAGATGACACAAAGGTCGATAATTGGCTGAGAGCATCCCGTTTGAACCAGCAGATAGAGACATACCGTACTCATCTACCACGAATTCGGCCAGATTGCCAAGATTCGTTGCAGCTTGTTCTCGATAGCGATTATATCCTCCCTCGCGGAGAACGATTGTTCTTTCCTCCCATCTACTGCTGTGAAGCTTGTCGATATCATGATAGCCAGCTTTAATAAGCTGATTGAACGTCTTTTATGAAAGGTCATGTGAAATGGGCTTTGACTTGACCATCGACATCCATCACCATCGCAAGGATCGTCTCCGGTATAGCTGTCAAGGGTTGCGTCGCTAGTGGCGATTTACCTAGTGGACTATTGCCAAATTCGTTGACAACCTTTTGGATTCGGGAGGCATATCGTTCAAATCCTTTCGTGGCATAGTTGACTTGATACTAGTAGTGTCGGTATTCAACTAGTCCAATTGACAGGTTTGGAGCAAGAGAATGCAAGAGAAAAAGTGACCTTGCGACAATTGTATGGGGGCGTCTAAACACAATTACAATGTACTACTAGTACTATATCGATACAAATATCATATAATCGCGCTGAGGTCACATTTTGTAATGAGCATGGATCGATCCGAATAGGATGGGATTCAGCGGATCCACAAATGAATGCTATGTATGCAAATGGCGTGAGGGTATTTGCAGCCAAATTCTGCACAATCCAATACTCATAGCTTGGCTCGGGGTCCGCTCTGCAGCGCCTCCTTGACCAGCCCCATGGCCTCCACCGAGCAACCAAAGGAAGCTTGGTATCCAAATCCACCATGCCCATAGTTGTGAACGACCTTGACACCATTGACCTCATCTTTCTCAATGCGAGTGCCACCCTCGCGCAGAGGTCGCAGGCCAACGCCATGTCGGATGATATCAAGACCTTCAATGCCCTGACCAGGCTTGACCAAAGAAGGAGCCAGCGCAATAGCACGCTTCATAATTCGATTAGCGAGATTGGGGTCGGGTAGGGAATCCCAATTGTGCTTCTGATAAGAACCTCCCAGGATAGTGCCACCGCCTAAAATAGTCAAGTTAGCTGTTTTATTCTTGAGATTGAAGGATCGAATGCTCATACCTGCAGCGCGGGTCATAATGTACAGGCATTCGGTCTCTCCGTCATCCGTTCCGGACACAGAAGCCATAGGGCCGGGATCGTTGCGGACAACTACAATCTGACCCCGAGCAGGATGCATCTTGCTGTCCATAACGCCTCCAAGAGTCTTGGCCGACAGACCAGTGCAGTTAACAATGAGATCGGCCTTTTGGCCGGTATGGTGTTCGTTCGCAGCATCGGCAATATGTTTGATCACAGCGCGCTTGAAGACCGCTCCAGTTTTGACGCATTGGCCGACCAGCCAGGGCAGGTAGATGGCAGTATTAATACAGACAGACGTGAACTCCTGCGCATTATCGACCCCTGGGGCCAGCTTCTCGTTGGGAATTGGTTTGAACTATACAATTCGTTAGCGTATGTCTGTATTTCCTCGGCCCAATATTGACATACATCAGGCACAACGTCTTTGTACCAAGGGTCTGGCTGGGTCAATTCCGCGAACCATTTACCGGTATCCGACTCTTGATCCTTCTTACGATTGTAGATGAGAGTGCCTAAATTCTCGTTAGGATTGCGAGAGCCATGCCAGTCGATGCACTTCACATACCGAGAAAGTGCATTCCGGCCTCCGGGTACTTCTCTGTGATCTCCTTCAGGTAGGGCCATGTCTCTCGCTCCCAGCGTTCATGGTCAGTTCCCTCCTTGCCCACCCTGTTGGAGAGAATACTTGTCAATGAAAGAACTTTGAGTATAGGGGTTGTTTAGCATACGGCATGTAATTGGCACCAGCCCAGGGAGAGGCATATTCAATATCATAGTCGCCGGGCATGTGTTTAGCCAGAACTGTGATCTTGTTCGCCGGATCCTTTGAGAGAAGGTAAGCGGTTGTCAGTCCGGAGACTCCAGCACTGAAAGAAACGTCAGTCTCAAGCAACCCCTGCACAGCTCTCAATGGCCGTGCATCAACTGCACTAGCATCAAAGCGGGGCGTCCATAGCTTACCCCAAAACAACGATGTTTGGCATTTTGTGAGGATTCCAATTCGAACTGCAGCGGTGTGATAATTTTCGATTCTTCAGAGGTGGCGTCTCTAGTTGAGAAGTGATTGCAGATCTAATGAGTCAACGGTGAAGCATTAGGGGCAAGGAACCTTAAGGAAGCGGGGGAGAGGAGGAGTCGGGTTAATCTCCGCTATCGAGCATACCCTTTGATAAGAGAAATAGAGCTGGTCACCTTAGGGTCGGGGTAAATTACACATCTGTACGACCCGGTGCGCCGACTGCTATTTTCGAGTGGCGGCGGTGTGGCTCAGAGCCAATCAGAGGGGGTAATCTGGTTTAACGCGCTGAATTTTTCACAGTGGAGACGCGGAGTAATACAGACCAAAACAACACTCGAATACGCCTCCGCATCTGAGGGGCTAATTTCTGTAGTAACAACTTGGGGATTGTATTTGATTGATAAGGTTGAAAGTGAGGAGATGTAATAATGTTGCAAAAGATATATTAATTAGTCTTTGCAAATAAGATCTACGATAACGATAGCTATAACTATAACTGTAAGTTCAGAACTTTCGAGGTTTACGAATACTGTCAGCAACAGTCAATAGTGTGCTTAAAACTGTACCCTCCACCGCCTCGACTGCAAGGGCCTCTCCGTAATGACCCGCGGACTCCAGTGGGCTCCACTGTATCCCTAGGAATATATGGATCACATTTCCAGAGGTTCAGGGGTGGAGGGTGCTGAAAGAGAAGAGAGTAGCTGCTGTACATTGTTAATGAGCTCATGACCAAATAATATACTCTGTCTCAGTATAGTTATTAGGGTATACTATAAACTGTATTCCATATCTAGTCTAGTAGTGCCCTATTGAGCGATGTCATAGTGGGCAAGGGCTCACGTGCAGCCAATCAGGGAAGGCACAAAGCTGGACCGCCCCCAAACTTTTCTCGCCAGGCAAATGTGGCCTAGTAGCAACATCGTTTTCCTTTTTATCCATCGGCACCCGCAGGGCCTCCTCCACTCTGCGGGTTCCTTGTTCTTGTTCTCTTTCCTTCTTCTACTTTATTTTCCTTTTCACTTTCCCCTCTCCCCGGATTTGCTCTCCCCCTCATAGATGCCGTCCTCTTCCCGGGAAGGGCCTCGTTCACCATGTCACTTCTCGCAAACGGTGGCAGAATTGTGCCCATACTTGCGGCCCACGAACAACACCACCCCGACTCCACCCTCAACACAGATATACTAGCACAGTATTCTCTTCCCCAGACCACTGACCAGGTTTCGCTGCTGGACCAGCGACAAGATGCTTCACCCATCCGACAAGATACCTCGCCCACCCGACACAAGAAATCAGTCGACCTGGAAAGCTTGGAAATGCCCTGCTTAAGAGAACACGGTTTATTTGCTTTACCTACAGAAGGTGACGGTAAGATGAACCCGCAGTTTCTATGAAAATGGGATCAGCTTGCTATAGTCAAGTGGCTAGCTTCAATCTCCTAGAACAATGGGTTTCTGACGCGTCAAATGCAGGAAATTGTCTCTACTACTCCCTCTCCGACCAATTATACGGGAGCTTCGACCACGGTGACGAGATCCGCCAGCTACTAGCCAACCATATGACAACACACAAGAGATACTTCATGCAATTTGTGGTGGCTGAGGGTGGTGAACGCCGTCGTCCCAAACGAGCCGCCGTGTCCGCCTACGCTACGCGTTCCGCCGATGTTGCAGCTCCTTCGGACGAGGACAAAGAGCGTCGATTCGAAGAAATGATAGCTACCACTCGGAAAAATGGAGAATGGGGCAGCTCTGAGAGTCTTCAGGCTTTCTGCCAAGTTTACCAAGTGGACATCAATGTTTACACGATGGATGGTGTGCAAGCATTCCGGGACGTGAATGCTTCGCCCGATGAACATCGTGGTGTTATTAATGTTGCATTCCACGTAGGATTATCCTTTCATCTGTTATTCTCGAGCTCTGAGCTAACCCCATGCTTAGGATTTCAAACACTATTCTTCAGTGCGGCCTATAGACAGACCCCACAAGGGCCTCTTTGAGGTCTCCGCAGGCTACCAGTCACCCGATTTACCCACCCACCCTCAATATACCCACGTCGACGATTGTAAAGAGAAGGTCTCGTCCGACTTCAAAGCGTCAGCTCTTGACAAAGACAATATTATTCCCCAAGACTCCCACCTCGCGTCCACTGACTCTACAGACGACCCCGGCTTAGCCGTTGACGTCTACCCTCCTTGGGATATACAATCCATCCAAGATGGACTTGGCGGGCGATATGATCGTGACACCATTGTAGATATGCTTCAAAAGTGCCGCGGTGACATTGATCGGGCATTTGCCGCTCTGCTGGACACCCCCCACAGAAAAACAGGCTGCACCAGCCCAGAGTTTCAACTCGAGTGTCCAGATGTCACGAGAATCGTCCCCCTTCAGCACAGGCAGCAAAAGATCTGCTGAAGACAGCGGCGATGACTCAGAAGAGCCACGTCCAGCCATTCGCCGAGGTCGACCCAAGAAACGCATGGTCTCAAAATTGACCTTGGGCGTTGGCATATCTTTTCGAGACGACCAAAACGAGGTCGTCTCTCTGAATCTTCGAGTCAGTTCGCTCTGCTAGTATTTTCACGGTACCTGCCACTAACCTAACATCATAGATGAAATCAGACGCCGAGAAACTAAAGGAGTCAGACTCCACACCAGATGACAGCGCCTCAGAAACATCTGAAACTGCCATGGGCAGAGGCCCTCGTCGGAGTGGCCGTCTTTCAAAATCTCGACCCACGTAGCTGCGATGGGATTCCACTCCTGAGTCGCAGCGCGCTTGCTCTTATCTTCCCCCTTTCTCCCAAACCTATATTCCCATCTTTATTTGAAGCGATCTATTTGCATTGTGACGGCGTTGGCGTGAAAAGCATTTTCAACTTGCTGGAACCTTGGATCTCTTTCTTCTCCTTCTTTTTTTGGCACACATGCATGGCCATATGGAACAACAGCCAGGTTGGCTGCGGTGGCGTTTTGACTTTATTTGCATGGAAGAGGGAATGCCTGGTGCATTTTTCCTCAATGGCTCACGACGTGCATTTTCTCAGCGAGATTCGAGAAGAACTATTTAGCTTAGACGGTTTTGGCTGATGTTGAGGATTGCGCGAGCATTTTCTCACATCCAATGGGATATTTTCCTGGTACCAGATCCCCGGATCGGTTACCTACTGAATTTTTCCTTCCGTAGTTCCACATTGTACTCTCTTTTATAATTATTTCTTACTCGGATTTTCTGATACTGTCTGATCTTCGTGCAGGTTGACCGTCACACCGCATATTCTAGGTCTCGGCAGGGTGCATTCGCGTAACACGATCGGACCAACCCTATTTTAAGCAAGACAACACTACGGAATTAATTCCATTCGGTTTATCGGCTCATAGCGTTTGTATCATCTATTGAGGCCATCTAGTCTTGACCGACAACAAAATATAAGCAAAGTCGGCATCTAGTATCTATAATTGAACGTGTTATGTACAAGCAGCTGGCCAGCACAGCTGCAACTCGATGCGCATGCAGAGGTCTATTCCTCCAGTAGGAACCTCAGGAAAGTCGTCCCGATCGAAATACCATCGTGTTCGTTGTTGACTCTGCTGAGGCCTTCCTGCGCTTGGTCCTCATTGAAAACACCCATCTTAGCCCGGAGGCTAATGATTTCATTCTCCATCCAACCCGTAAACTCAGGGTGTCCCTGAACGCTAATAAAACGGCGCGGGGAGTACATGCCCTGGATTGCGCACTGGGGTGAATGGCCAAGGAGGGTGACACCTTCGGGTAAACTGTATACTATATCCTTATGCATTTGGTGGATGCGCTATAATATGGCGAAGATAAGTTTCATAAGTTAGCCCATTTGCAAATTTCTATTGGCGTTGCTTTGGATTCTGCATGTGTCGCCGGAATGGAATGAATGCATCACGTACGATCTTCTCCAGTCCGAACACTTCCTTGCCTTTCTCGGTCAACTCCATGTCGCAGACGGCAATCTCCCATCCCTGATCACTTTGTCCGACTTTCACTCCCATCGCGCGACCTAAGATTTGGTGTCCGAAACAGACTCCGACGATGCGGACTCGATCTTGGGCGAGGACGTGTTGGGTGAATTCGACGAGGCGGTTGATCCAAGGGATATCTTCGTAGGAGTTATGTTCTGTGTTTTTTGAGATATCGACATCAGTTATGACCGCCAATATACCACATGCAAAGTATTTTGTATATTGCATTGCATTGAATCGCACTAGTGATCTAAAGAGTGGGGGCACACGTACTTGATCCGGATATTAGCACGGCATCAATGTCCTCCAACTTTGGGTATTCCGTGCCGCTGACAACGTCCCACTTAGAAATGACTAGTCCATTTTCCGGATCGAGCTGTTCGGGCTTATCGAGAGCCTTTGCGCTGGATTTCAAAAGCGATGTGAAGACACCTCCGTAACCACCGTATCGGTCGTCGACGGGGGGAATTGGGGTATCGGCTTCCAGCACGGCAATCCGAAGGGGGGCTCGCATTGTTTCGGTTGGTGTTCTCGTAAGATGGTTGGGACGTAAAGTGTTCGTATGACTGTTTCGACTGGGTGAAGGTATGAAGATGAATGGTGAGCAGCGTCGCGAGTGTCAGAGGCGAAATCACCAATGACTCCAACGGATCAGAAAGTCTCCAATTCCACCGCTTATCGTTTATCGCCGACTCCCCACTCCCTGGAGGTCCCCCAGTCGACACCCATTGGTTTCCCCGTCCCAGCCACTCCCTCTTATACCGAGTGGCTTGTCTAGAAGGCGATCTACCGGAAGTCTACATGCACTAAGCTGATCTCTGGTGCGCTCGCTGGTCTCGTGTGATCGACCTGGAGTCCATGCAACTTGTTCGTGTTGCTGCTTAAAAATCCATCTCCACCCTGGACCCCGCCGACTCGTGTTTCTTTTCCCTTTTGTACCACATTCTTCTTGCGCCGAGACCAGCAATCGCAGCGATAACCCTGGCTTGGCCTTTGTTGCTTTTTTTTACCCTCCCTGACCACGGGATAGAGGATATAGTGGTCTCAACGCCGTCCGACAATGACTTCCGCGAAACGGGGAACAGACCCGTCGGAAGCCACTCCGCTATTGCAACATGAGTCAACAACATCAGAATCCCGCCAAACCACTCACTATCACAGTGTGACCAGTCATAGCACCAATGTTGAAAACAACTATTCAATTGACGAGACGCAAGAGCAGATTAATGCCCTCGGTCTGGTCCGGGTGACATCAGCAGAAGGGCTAGACATCGAGCCCGACCTAGAACGATTCTCGTCGCGTGGCTCAGCATCTGTGAAAAGGAACAATGCCTCTGCCGGCAATACAGATGCCATTCCGGAAGAAGAAGATGACGATGGCTATGCTGCCAGATTCATCGATGTATCGCCAGCTCGATTCTGGCTTATCTTCGTCGGTGTCCTCATCGGATATCTGATCGGCTTCTTCGACTCCACCTTGATGGCATCGAGCCATCCGGTTATTACTTCCTATTTCAATGCCGCAAACACTGCTTCGTGGTTATCAACCGCGTTCCTGCTCACATCTACAGCCTTCCTACCGCTCTTCGGACGCATCTCCGATGCCTTCGGCCGGAAGCCCGTATATCTATTCTCCATCGTTATGTTCTTCCTGACCACAGCATGGTGTGGGTTGGCGCAAAGTATCGGCAGCTTCATTGCTGCTCGGGCCCTCTGTGGCCTTGGCGCCGGTGGTGTGTTCTCTATGGGTCAAATTATATCTAGTGACCTGGTTCGCATCGAATATCGCGGTGTTTATCAATCTTACATCAACCTGTGCTATGGCACCGGCAGCTGCTTGGGCCTTGCCTTTGGTGGATTCCTCTGTGATCGTATAGGTTGGCGTGGTGCATTCTTCATTCAACTTCCCTTCATATTTGTATATTTCATCACTGCCGCAAGTACCATCCCGGCGGACCTCGGCATCAAACGGACCATCAACTCGGAAAGAATGACCGTGGTGCAATTGATTCGCAGCATCGACCTGACTGGTGCATTCATCCTGGCTACAGCAGTGACCGCTCTGATCATGGGGTTGAATCTGGGTGGTAATGTATTCCCCTGGGAACATCCTCTGGTGATTAGCTCTTTGGTCGCGGCTCTGCTCCTGGGTATTGTTCTTATCAGATACGAGCGCGGGGTGCCACGCGCAGTTCTTCCGATTGAACTGCTCTCGAAAAATCCTCGGGCTAGCCTCATCATTGGCAACTTCTTCGGCGCCGTCTCAGTCAACACGGTCATGTTCAATGTCCCTCTTTACTTCCAAGCGGTCAAGCTGGCTAGCCCCACAGATTCAGGTTTGCGTTTAGTGGCAGCATCTATTGCCATCACTGCTTCGAGCGTCGGAACTGGATTCTTAATCACCTGGTCGAAACGAATGAAGCCAACCATTATCCTTGGTGGTTTTTGCATGTTGTTAGGCGGGTGTACCGCCGCGTCCCTCAATATGAATACTCCCTATGCGCTAGCGATGATCTGTGTGTCATTTTCTAGTCTGGGGCAGGGTTTCTCATTTCCCTCCGTGATGGTATCAGTGCTGGCTACAAGCGAGCAGGATGACCAAGCTGTTGCAACTACCACCCTCGGTCTAGCACGTAACCTTGGAGCCGTAATGGGTGTGTCTATCAGTAGTTGGATATTCCAAAATACTCTCTATTACGAACTGGAACGGAACGTGAAGGGCGTGGAGAAAGACCATATCATTGCTCTCGTTCGCAAGTCGATCCGAGCTATTTCTGGGATTGACCCATTGCACCAACATCAAGGTTCGTACTCTTTCATTTTTCTTACTCTGTCGTCTCTCTACTGATAGCTGGATAGTGATCGGATCATATGCGACTGCTCTACGCGCAACCTTTCTGTCCGCGGCCCTTTGGGGTGCCCTCATGCTGCTACTACATTCCCGCCTTCGTTTGCCCCGACTCGGCAGCAAGGCTTAAATACTATTTTATCACAGGATATACACATCAGGTCCTAGACGGAGTCATCGATACTCTCATGGCCGAACCAAAATTTTGTCATATTCAGTTTTGTTTCAACCCTCTTTTATTATTATTTTTTTTGCATGTATATTTTAGTAGTAGATCTAGTAGTGGGGTATCTATCAGATCTGTTCCCTGCACCAACTTGAAGTTGCAAACTTGGTACTACTGCTGGTACTAGGTAATAGTACCTACCAGTAGTATTAGTAGGAGGAAACTCAAGCCAGTGTGAGTGAAACGCGTCAAAAAATCTCCAAGTTTCCAAGGTTAGCATGCTTGTATTCGAACTTGCTAGAGCGCAAATTAGACGATGGGTCTATAGAGCCAGCACTGGCGAACCAGTTACTTCCGCCCCAGAACCCAGGAGGGCATCGAATCGATTTCCATCAAGTCGAATGCTTCACGTGGAATATGGGAAGATGCTATCGAGAATTCACCTGACAACAACCCTAAGGGATAACAGTGATGCTCTATAGTTAGAACTGTGTAGTTATCTTGAACCAATCAGGAACTTGCCAGATGTTCCCCGGGGTCCCGCTTTTCCCTCAAGAACCTCCGCGTTGAATTGCCAGGCCGATCCTCTTTGACACCACCTGCATACCAGCCCATTCGAGCAGGGCCGTCTACCCACGTTTTATACAGCCTGTTATCGCAAGGCAATGATCACTGCCACTTACTTCTCTGATTGGCCCTGAGTTGACACCCCAGCGTCCAGACCTCCGACTCCTTGCTTTGCCCCTCCTCTGCCTTCGCCTCCGTCTCGCTTGTACAAAGAGCAATCGTCCAAAGACCTCGGAATCGCTTTGCGACCGTTTCGAGCTTTCAAATTCTCCGACTGTCGGATCTGGAACCAGCCCCACGCCCCAGCAGCGAACATGGCCATTCGACCACAGTCGCCATCAAGATTTTGTGAATTCGGAAACCTTCGATCAAACCGGCGGTTGTCTGCCCCGGTTGGCCCTGGTGGCTAGAACACAAGGAGGGGATAGGGCAAGTGGAATACTTGACAGGACAAAATGAATCTCACCACTCGCGCCCAGTCAAAATCGCAGTCACCGAGAGTGGACTCGAGAACGTCGACCCCCAAAAGCCAGAAGGGAAACTCCCCTCGCGCTGCTGGCACCAATCGCAAGAAGTCCGATCTGTCAGATACGAAGGCAAAGAGGGTTCGCACAGGTTGTCTCACCTGTCGGGAGAGACACCTCAAGTGCGACGAAGCCTTGGGTCGGTGTTTGAATTGTCGAAAATCAGATAGGATATGTAGGCGTGGTGTTCGCTTGAACTTTATCGACATTCAGACGGTCGCTCCGCCACATATCATTGATCGGCCCAAAGGTGCCAAAGTGACGTTCAGGGACGACTCACGCTTCATCGCATCTGAGTATGTCGGCGGCTTCGAAAGATATCCTCCGCCTCAGCCGGAAAGTCCTGTCCAGGATCGCCAGCTTCTGCACCAGGATGCATTCAATGCCTTGGGTGCGGACTATCTGACAAGTTTGTTCCAATCTGTAGCCCATTCGTTCGACCCAACCGGTTTCGATGTCCCCCATGACTTTATAGTTGGACCTGATACGTGGCACGAGCCTCACATCGTGCCTGGTGATGAGCTACTTCCGCATGGGACATCCAATTTTGCGCGAAAGCTCGCCATGAAGCAGTACAGTTCTTCGTCGCTGAGTGACCCGGAACAAATATTCCTCTTGCAAACATTCGTTGAAGCGGTCGGTCCTTGGATGGAGTCTATGGATCCAATGCGACACGTATGTCATCATTAGCAGTTACTACAAGAGACTCCGCTAATTTTCATACAGTTTACGCAAACTTTACCATACTATACTGTCGAAGAACCCATGTTACTAAAGGCTTTCTTGGCCTGTGGTGCTCGGCATCTCTCGGTCGTCAATCCATCCTACGGGGATGAAAAGGCAACTCGCTATTACGAAATGGCAACACAAGACCTTATGAGTCTGATACAAGACCCTAATCGTGATTCGGTTCTATGTGCGGCGGCTGCGCTGATTCTCAGTATATATGAGTCAATCCCCTCGCAATCAACAACGAAGATAAATCATACGACAGGGTCAAGAGCTCTGATCCGCGAATGCGGTTGGAATTCTAAGACACCCGGCCTTGGGGGCGCCTGCTTCTGGATCAATATTAGCATGGAGCTTTTGAGTTGCTTGCGTTATGGCTGGTCTCTTTCATGGGACCCAGACACATGGGGCGTCGACATGCATATAGACAACGTGCATCATTTCCCCAAATCAGAGGAACTATGGCTTCACCGAATTCTTCACATCTGTGGCAAGGTTTCAAATTTCCGAGTCCAAAGCCAGAATCAGCAATCCCCTAACGGGACAGACGCTCATATGGGGCAGTTGAGCCAGAAGTTGCAAGACTGGGGGCACTACAATAGTTGGTGCGATCAATGGGCTAAAAATACACCGCCGTCGATGCAACCTCTTGGCCACGTCCAGCCGTGGCCCAGCAACACACAGTCGGTATTTCCGACCATCTGGTAAGCTTTGTTTGCCTCTTAACCCTCACCCTTCGCTTGCTAATGCTCTCCAGGATGACCAAACGACCTGCTATCATTGCCCAGTTTTTCTACCATATAGCTCGCATTCTCTTGGCAAGAAACCATCCAATGGAGCCAGATTTCCGTACGGAGATGAAGGAAATGCAACAGGCTCATGCTTATGATATCTGCGGCCTTGCCGTCCACCTCAAGGATCGTGGTCTGGCGAACATATCAATCAGCTGCCTTGCAATCGCAGCAGAAAGCCTAGAGTCCCGAGAAGCCCAAGAAGAGGCGCTTCGCATCTTGACTGCGACAGCCAAAGACACTATTTGGTCAGCTCAATCTATCGAGAACGAGTTACGGCAGCACTGGGGCTGGCCCCCTCCGCCCCATGAAACAGTGGATCCTATGCAGATGCATAACAGTCATTATCACGAGCTAGATCAGACAATCTCCAAAGGGCCTGAGATTTCTTTGCGTCTCTCAAATCCGCTACTGGGTATGAGCGATTTCTCAGCAGAGAAGCATCCTTACCAAGGGCTTTATATCGCCCCCCATCATACCCTTGACCAATACCACCAGTATGGGTCTTATATTCTTTGATTAAATAGTTCTCGACGTCCTCTCCGGAGCTTAGCACTGCTGTGATGAATAGTTTCAGAATACCCCCACGTGCAAATGAATAATGAAATGCCAGGTGACCCATCACCTTGTCTCCGACTGGAGTACATATTTCGATATTTCTACTGAGCGTATCAACCTTGAAACGTACTAGATATCATGACTGGAATTGACAAACTTGCATGAAAGAAGTTGCTTGTATATCTGTCGTATGAATCTAACTTAGATCTTGAAGTTGTTTCTGAAAATTTCTGAAGTGGAATAATTTATGAACTTACTAGTAACTCTCCCTGTCAAATTTACTAGATACTAACCTCGAGATGTTTTTTTTAAAATTGGATGGCAGCGACACCTATACTTCTGTTCGTTGGAAAAGCGGTGGCATAATCCGCCGCCAACGACGCGCTCGCCAGACCGGAATCTCGACCAAGACAACCTTAGGTATCCAATGAATCACTAGCAAACTGGGGATGGCTGAATTAACGAGCCAATCTCAACAAGCCGCAGCTACCCCGGTCTACATTCTTCGCGGCCATGCAGCCCCCATCCATGCCCTGTACATCTTCTCTCAGAACCTACGGCTTGTGTCGGGCGATGCCAATGGCTGGATCGTCGTCTGGGATCTAGTCACCAAACGGCCGGTGACAGTCTGGAAGGCCCACGAGGGTGCTATTCTTGAAGCTAAGGGATTCGCTGTTGATGGTGGCGGGGCAGAGATATACACGTGAGTGGTGTTCAGCGATCAGTCTGGGATATCAGGATGTTGGAATTTGGAACTGCCTTGCTAAATATTTGGTATAGACATGGCCGCGACCACAAGTTATGCGTTTGGAAGCTTCGAAAAGAAGACGAGAAATTTCTTGACAAGACGCTTCCAGTCGATGTGTCGGCTTCAAATCAACAGGACAAGGGGACTAAGCCATGGCTCCTACACTCTCTCCCTGTCAATGCACTCAACTTCTGTGCATTTTCGATGACATTTATCGATAAGAACACCATAAAAGACATCGATAATGAATCAAAACCACACGAAGCAAGAAATAACGACATTCTATTTGCAGTCCCCAATGCTTTGGACTCCGGGGGCATTGATATCTTCCACCTCCCCTCTGAACTTCGCCTCTGCACCATCCGGTCAGACCCCACCATAAAAACCGGAATGGTCATGAGCGTGGAAATCTTTCTTTCCGCGTCGGGTGATCTCTATGTGGCATCTGCATACGAGGATGGGCATGTAATGGCCTTTGTTCGAAGGGGCCCTCTCGACCCGGCGAGCTTTGATCTCAAATACATCTCCTCCCACCCATGGAAATGGGAAAAGATATACGGCAGTCGCCCGCACAGCCAACCTGTTCTCTCTATCGATGTCCCCCCCCTCGCGCGATTGCTTCTTCTCTTCGTCCGCCGATGCTCAGATCATCAAACATCCCATCCCAACACACTCCATTGGCAAGAATGGAGAAGACCTGCCTCTAAAAACCATCAATACAAAACACTCTGGTCAGCAAGGGTTACGGATTCGTCGCGATGGTAAGATTTTCGCAACTGCTGGTTGGGATAGCAGGGTAAGGGTATACTCTGGGAAAACAATGAAAGAGCTAGCTGTTCTCAAGTGGCACAAGGATGGTTGTTATGCTGTGGCCTTTGGGGAAGTTGACCCTGTCCCTGAGCCAACATCGTCCGACAAGGCAGAAGCGCAAAGTTTGTCCTTGGCTACAGTTCATAACCAACGGAATCTCAAAGTACAACAGACACACTGGCTGGCAGTTGGTTCCAAGGATGGAAAGGTTTCATTATGGGATATCTACTGAAACAAATGCTAATGCTCTTGTACAATAATGCATCGCCACATATCGGGCAACGTGAACAAATATAAACAAATACGCTTTTCTAAGCAAGATTGAACTCGCTGGCTCCGGCCATATTCTCGCGCATCTTTTGACGCATCCTCCGGGCCGCATCGTCGGTGTTAGAGGAAACTGGGTTATCGTCAGCCGCACCGGCCTTCCTCTTCTGACCGGCAGCGCCGCTGCGCGAGGCCTTGAAGTCCTTCTTTGTTTCTTCTTTGCTGGTACGCAGACCGGGGACATTGATCTTGCCAGGTCGATCGCGGAGAGCAAAACTCTTGGCAAGATGGCCCAAGTGAAGCTCCTTGATGTCGAACATGCTGCGCTCGGCGGCGATGTGGGTTGCGTAGGCACGGATGTGAGACTGGAATCCGCGGCGGGCCATTTCCAAATACTTGGGGTTGTCCAGAGCCCATCGCTCGACGTCCATCTGCCAATCCGTCGTCTTCTCCTCCCAATTCTTGCTGCTGGAGTCCACGCTGACGCCGAAGCCGCGCTTGAGGATTTCTGTCGCATCGGTGCGGGTGAGTGCCTTGCCGCCATCGCGGTAGCCACGCTTCAAGACTTCCACGTAGTTCTCTTCACATCCGGGCTGCAGGAAAATGCAAGCCCGACCATCGCGACCAAGACGTGCGGTACGACCAATTCGATGGGTATGGTCGTCTGCGCTGAAGGCTGGGTCATACTCAATAACCAGTTCGACATTTGGCAGATCTAGACCACGAGCGGCAACATCGGTACAGACCATGACTGATGGATCGTCGCTGCGGGAGAATGATTTGAGAGTGGCGGTTCGAACTTGCTGGGGTAGGGAGCCGTGGAGACGGTGGAGTCTCACGGAATTTAATGAGTTGGAGAAGGCAGTGGCCGGTGCGATAGTACCATGAGGGGACATCTTTTCCCGTTCACTCAAAACCTTGGCTTCATCAGTTTCTTCTTCGTCACCACTGTCGTTTCCATCTTTGTTTTTCTTTCCCTTTCTCTTGCCGAATTCTCTTGAGAAAACCTCGAAGAGGAAGTCTGCCGAGTCGGCACATGAGACGAAGACGATAGCTTTCATCACTGAACCCTTGCGAATAAATGTCCTTTTGAGGAATGCAGTCAATGATACTAGACGCAGCTTGGATGGGACGACCGCGTATGATTGTTTTAGTTGAGCAGGGACGCGGAATGAATCTTCATCATCTTTTTTACCGTCTGTTTCTGTTTTTCCGTCCTCATCGGTCGGGTCGGCCTTGATATGAATGGCATCCTTCAAACTGATCTCGCCAAGCCGTTGCACATTCATTTTCAATGTAGCAGAACACAGAACCGTGGTCCTGCGCGTGGGGACACCAGGAACTCGACTGGGTCGTTGTCTCGCATCCAATTTCTTGACAATTCCTTGCAGCTCCTCCTCGAATCCCAAATCCATCAGGCGATCACCTTCGTCCAGAACCAGCCACCGAACATTGCTGACATTCAAGACCTCCGTATTATCCAAGTGATCGGCCAAGCGACCGGGCGTGGCGACCAGAATATTCAGTCCTTTCCGTAGGCGAGCCTTTTCCGACTTTTTCTTTTCTCCACCAATAACCGTTCCGCAGACAATCCAATTGGCGCATCGGAGAACGTTTTCCAGAACAACTGAAATCTGCTTGCACAGCTCACGAGTCGGAGCCAGAATGATAGCAAATAGTCCACTGTCACGATGAACGCCCGCCTCCTTCGTCGCCTTTGAGAGAGCCATGATCCGTTGCACCAGGGGCAGAAGATAAGCCAAGGTCTTACCGGAACCAGTCTCGGCTTGGATAAAGGCATCGCATTCTTCTTTCAGGAGTTGTGAGACGGAAGCTTTTTGAATCGCGGTAGGTGCTTTCAACTCAAGCTTTGTGAGGAGATGCGCAGCCAGATTGGGCGACAATCCCAAGTTGGTAAAGGTATCCAATCCATCCAGTAGGGGCGCATTGGTCGGCTTTGCATCTTCGATCGGCTCTTCAGACTTCGGTTCTTCTACATGTGTTGATTCGGGGTTGCTGGTGAAAAGAGAAGAGGCAAACTGTCCGGGGTGTCGGCGTGGTCCTTGCTGCTGCGGTCGCGATCGGTTACCACCTTCTCCGCCCCTTCCTTCGTTTGAATCGGTCGTTCTTTGTCGCTTTGCTGATCTCGTTCCAAGCTGTGTTTGATTGGGGTTCTTGGGCTGGTGGGGACCTTTGCCTTCGTCGTCTCGAGGTTGGTGCTGCGAGCGCTTCTTCGCAGAGAGTCGGTCCCGCCATGTTCCTCCCTTGTATTTGGCCTCTTGCGTGATGACACTGTCACCAAGGGCGAAGTTCAGAAGCATACCATCGTCCGCCATTTTGAAAGATCGGGGTAAAACTTTACAATCCGACGAGAGTGAGGAAAAGATGTTGCTATCGAGACTTTTTTTTTCCCGCTAAGACCCACCGGCAGAAAAGGCGATTCTTTACAAACACTGCAAACCCTGGGAGTTACTCTAGTAACGGAAGGCGGTCAGAACATTATAGTTGTACCCAAGTCTCAGCTCATTCAATTTGATATTCTTTTTTTTTTTGTTTTTTTGAAAGCAAAACATATCCGTACCAGTATAATTGTCAACTTCACTGATTCAAGCTATCGACCGGTCTGCCTTTTCAAAGCATGTTCCAGCCTGCCGCACCTATAAGCCTGCCGCCAGACGCCCTCGATACACTGACGAGTAACTCTAAGCAGTGTAATGCGATGGTTTGGCTACCCTGAATGAGAAAGACGAAGAAAACACAGATTAGATTACAGTCTGGGTGCCGTGCGAGAAGCCCGAGGTATACATGTTATTTATGCGGAAGATCGGAACATATCGAAAACGATTGTCGGTGCAAGATGGTCTAGATTCTATAGTATGGTGACAATTTTCCATTTATGTACACTGCATATTTTTCAGAGCGCATCAAGCCCGGGGTTGGAGGATCAGGTTGTCGATGAGTCGCACCGGGACCTTACCCTCTCCCAATCCGCAATCCTCACCGGGCTTGTTCTCCTCTAAGGGTGCCATCTTCAGGGCAGCACTCAGAACACCTCCCTTGGCGGAATCGACGAGATCCAGCTCGTCGAGAGTATCAGGGTCAGCGAGGGAGATATAATCCACCTCAAAGAGGGCTCTTTCCGAAGGCGAAAGTGCCTCCTGTTCAGATAGCACTCGATCGGTAATGCTTCGGGCAGCACCCAGGATATCCGCTCGGGTAGACTTGCCTGACAGATACGCATCCTCAGCAGCCTTGAGAGCCTTGTAGATTGTGAGGCCTACAGCGCGTCTTCGGTCGCCCAAGTAGACGTTGCGAGAGCTTAGTGCCAGTCCATCCGCCTCGCGAGAGGTACTGATAATGCGAACTTTTGTATCAAGAAGGAAGTCCTGGACCATCCGCTTGATAATGACGGTTTGCTGTACATCCTTCTGGCCGAAGTATACCCGGTCGGGGGTGGTGGCGTTGAAGAGCTTCATGCAGACGGTTGCAACACCACGGAAGAAGACGGGCCGCGAACCTCCCTCTAGCTTTGAGGAGAGTGGTGTGATTGTGACGAATGAACCCTGACCATCGATCTCCGAGGATGGAGGTAGAGTCGGATACATGACCTTGGACGTAGGGGCAAAGATGGCAGTTATTTGTCCCGCTCCTGGCGCACCAGTGCGGCCGAGTTCATCATTGAGCTTCTCCAGCTTCTCCACGTCACTATCCCATGTACGAGGATAGCTCGATAGGTCCTCATTGACGCCGAATTGTGTGGGGTTGACGAAGATGCTAACAAAGATGTCGGTGTTCTCGCGGGCGGCTTCTCGGATCAGGGAAAGGTGACCTTCGTGGAGTGCTCCCATGGTAGGAACGAATCCCACCGTGCGTTCATTTTTCAACAATTGATGGCGCAATTGGCGGAGGGAAGGGACATCGCGAAAGACCTGGAAAGAAGAACTTGAAGGTTGAGTGACCGATCGTGAAGCTGAGGTTGCGTCGGCCAGTAAGCTAGAGGCTGTTGCTAGGGAGGTGTAAGCCTTCAGTAGAGATGGACGACTGAACGATGCGGGTTCCACTCACTAGAAAACGACCTCACGCCATTGACTAGTCTAGACATGGTGGAAGTAAATTAATATGATGTATGGAGTATACTTACACTAGTCAGCACTTTTTGAGGTAGTCACGTTCCCCGCCAGCTTCGGGCAAGCATGACTAAGATATGCACTCGTGGCCAGTGTTGGCCACCGTAGTCCGTAGTGGGACCGCCGCCGGGCAGCTGGTAACCTCGGTTGCGTCCGGGGGAAGTCCCCGTGACAGAGCGACAATCTGGGGTTTGTTGGGAATTGAGGAGCTATGGCCCTGACTTGCACCTCGAAGTGGATCTCTCTGTTCTTATTCGCATCCCCCTCAATGTTCTTCCTCATTCGTTGGTGACCTGCCAGCTTGTTCTCACTCCCACCCCTTCGACGCCATGCCGCCCCCTAAATCGGCCATCAGTGATGACCACTCAGCTCCGGACATAGAGATTGTGGGCAAGCAGTTTACGATTCACCGGTCTGGCTTCACTGGTGGCCCTGAAGCTCAAGATGAGCCCATTACCGAACGTAACCTTGTCCACCATATGGCCCGTTTCCGAGAAAATCCCCTCGACTTTCTCCGCGAGGTTAGCCTGTACATGTCCGGCACTGGCTGGCGCGCATATGACGATGTGATCGGGCAACCTGTCTTCTACTCGGGGTTCTCCGAAAAGATGAAGTCACTGATCCTGGGCAGCCCGATGCTCCAGGATAAGGTAAGGGAGCTTGCCGGCACTCGTGTCACTGTTGAGGAGAAGGAGGGTCTATTGGCAATCAGAGAAGGCAACACGCTGGACGAAAAACGAGGTCGCCGACGACACGAAATCGAGACCAACCTCCGAGAGGTGGTGGATGGAATGATGGACAACATGATTTGCAAGATGGAAAACAAGACTTTCATTCGAGGCGCATACTACATGTGTACGCAGCTCCTGACTCGTGCGTACCACCAGGGTATCCATGTATCGAGCGAGGAGGTTCTGCGTTTGCGCTCAGTGGCCCAAGAAGCCGCCAAGAAAAAGCAATCCATTGTCTTTCTACCATGTCACAAGTCGCATGTGGACTATGTCTCGCTGCAGTTGATCTGCTATCGGCTCGGGATTGGGCTGCCCGTGGTTGTTGCAGGCGACAATCTGAACATTCCATTGCTCGGCCCTTTCCTCCAGCATGCAGGCGCTATGTGGATTCGACGCAGCTTTGGAAATGACCCTCTATATCACACTGTCGTCCAAGCTTATATCGATACCCTCCTACAACAAGGCTTTAACTTTGAATGCTTTATCGAAGGTGGTCGCTCCAGGACAGGCAAACTCCTCTCGCCTAAGTTCGGAATCCTCAACTTCATCGTCGACAGCGTGCTTTCTGGTCGCACTGAAGATACAATTATTTGCCCGGTCAGCACACAATATGACAAGGTCATCGAGACAGAGTACGCTCTTCAACATTCTTTTCTACTTTTTCTTTTATTGTGTCACTAATATCGCTCTAGATCTTATATCAGTGAACTTTTGGGACAGCCTAAGCAGAAGGAGAATCTTTCTGATTTCCTTTCGTCATCCTCGGTCTTGTCGCTGAAATTGGGCCGAGTTGATATTCGGTTCCACGAACCCTGGAGTCTACGCGAATTCCTCAACCAGCAGCTTTCGCGGCTTAATCAGGGTGACTTGGACGCTAACAAGAAACTTGCCCAAACCGAAAAGGGCCGTATTTTGCGAACTTTAGGATACCGAGTACTATCTGAGATCAACGATGTTTCTGTGATGATGCCGCCGGCCCTCGTAGGGACCGTTCTTTTGACCCTGCGTGGCCGTGGTGTCGGAAAGGGCGAGCTATGCAGACGGCTCGACTGGCTTTGCGACCGCGTGCGAGCGAAGGGTGGCCGGGTTGCCCACTTCTATCGCTCGCCGACTGATCAGGTCGTTGACCGTGCTCTGGATGTACTGGGTCCAAAGTTGGTGGGCGTGATTCCTGGCCTAGCTGAGCCTACCTATTATGCCGTCGACCGCTTCCAACTGTCGTTCTATCGTAACATGCTCATTCATCTTTTTATCACCGAAGCCTTGGTCTCTGTTGCTATGTACACCAAGATCAAGCAAGGCGGTGGCCCTACCAATCAGCGTATCACATACGAAGCGTTGAGAAACCAGGTCTCTTTCCTGTCTCAGGTATGTGTCGCTCTATTATGGCTTGCAAGAACACTCTAACGACCGATAGCTTTTCCGTGGCGAATTCATCTTCCCTCCGGAGGGCCTCTCCTCCAACATGGAGAACACGATGCGCGGCTTGGAGTCAGATGAGGTGATCAAGATTACTCGTGACGACTCTGGTACTCCACAATATGTTGAGCTCAGCGAGGCTGAGCGTCACTGTGGTCGTGAGAATTATGATTTCTACTGTTTCCTGATTTGGCCTTTCATCGAGGCGTCTTGGCTTGGTGCGGTGTCTCTACTTGGACTTACACCGCCGCTGGATGGTGGCCAAGATACCTGGATTGACATGAAGAAGTCCCAGGATAGCGCGCAGCTGGTGAGTCACCCCCCCTGAATAACCACACTGGCACAGCTAACCATTTTCAGCTCGGCAAAACATTGTATCACCAGGGTGACCTTTCCTATTTTGAGGCCGTGAACAAAGAAACTCTCAGGAACTCATACCAGCGTTTCGAGGAGGAAGGCATCATTCTTGTTGCCAAAGATAAAGAGTCCCGCGCTGGTCCTTCGCTGAGACTTGCACCGGAATGGACGCCCGAGAGAGATTCAACCACCGGTAGAGTTCTCGATCGTGGGCGCCTGTGGGATTTTACTGAATTGATTGCGCAATCCCGTCGTGAAGGGTGAATCAATTAACCCCCCCCTTTCCCTGAGCCACTGCACAGATGCTAATATTTGTGTCTAGTAAAAACCGCCGTGACGGAGCTACTGTGTCCTCACGTGTCTTGACCATGTCGGATATCGTTGGCCGCCAACTATTTTACAATGCTGCGGCCCCTGCTCCAGCTGATGTCTCATCTCGCCAAATGCGCCGTAAGGCGATTGCAACAATCGACTCGAAGCTCTAGTGAATCCTTGGACGATAATTCATCTTGAGCTTTGATTTCCGGAACTAATATACACAACCCACATATTCAATACCCTGGCGTTATCTGGTCAACAGAATAGCATTTACCGTTGTACATATATGCAAGAATTCTATCCGCAATCTCCGGACCTGAGCTTAATTGCTCTTACCAGATCGCCGTTTCCCGCGGCCTGAAAGCTTTGCCAGTTCTCTGTTCGGAAACCCCAGCCGACTCCTTTACCCTTGGAAACTCTAGCGGCAAGGAACTCCCGGTGGTATTCCGCATTTGGCGGTTGGACCTCGTAGAGCTTCGAACTTTATTCCTGACTGCCCGCATAGTAGATTGCTACGATACCAGCCATAGGCGATAAATCGTCGGTGACGAAGGCGATTCAAATTAAATGAGGCCCTCTTCTAATTGATCTTTGAGGCGGGGTCTGCGGCCAGCCTACTCATGCAACCGTCGGCAAATTTGGATTCGCAAAGCATGTTCTTAGTGCTTTTACCCAATTTATAATTGCCGACAGCATTGCCGAAATCCCCAGACTTTCAATCATTCAGTTCCAACGACTGGGGTTGGTGGGCTCCACGACATCAATGCCATGATCTGTGGATAAATTTCCCTCTAGCGTGGTATGAAGAGTTAATCTGCTGTCTAAACTCAAGCCTTTGGGGCGTTCCGCCATGTCATCGGCAATTCTGAGAATGGCCTAGCTGTGAATCGGCAGTTGGTTAATAAGAATGCATTCGAGAGCTCTGAGGTTCATTGTCTACCTATCCTCCCAGCTCGGCACTAGCTATTCACATATTTTCTGGACACTCGAGCCTTCTCCCAGGGTTTCCTTTACTTTGAGCTGGAGACTACCTAGCGCAAACAGGGTACTTCTCGGAATTCCACCCGGGATACATCTTACCCCCTCGTAGTATTTCTCCACAACTGACCCCAGACTTCAAGGTACTACCCGACATCAAACCTTGCTGCTGGATTCTTTCGTATAGGTCGGACTGTATTAACTCCCGTTCTGCCAAGTAAGGCGGGGAATATTTGCAAATGTCGTAGTTAGGTGTGGGATAATTCCGCTTCGTCTCGTGATACTGGAGATTGGCTTCTCGTAAATGATATGATTTTATTGAGCGGGATGAATCCCGACACATGCTCTTCGCTTGGATGATTTTCTTGGCTTCGTCTACGCGATCCGAGGTGGCTTTAGTTCTTCGGCATTTCCTAGCACCTCTTTTCTTAATCTCGTCGCCCACCGATCAAAGAGTAAATTACCTATATAGAGACTTTACAATCGTTCTGCCTTCAGGCACTACCTGATTAGACAGGGGCTTCTCAGGAGAGTTTTAAATGCACTCTCTCTGATATAGTAAAATATAAGCCGAAAACTCCAATCGAAAAGTAGGCTTAAATTCCTTCGGTGGTAATTGCCGCCTGTCGAGGCTGCAAGGACTATCATACCAGATACAGTTTAGTTGAGGGACTGAGCTCCCTTCCACTTTCGCAGCTCTCCTACCTCCTCAATGCGGAGAAAATAAGATCAATGCGGAGAAAATCGAAGATCGTCGGATCCTTTCCGCGTCAAAATTCATGTCTCGCTGGATGCCATGGAGCGTCGGCTTAATGGCAGGATGATCACTACCGAGAGAATGAGTTCCAGACACTCGGGGCCCAAAATGCGGGAATGTAGAGATCTGCTGAGAGTCTAGTTGTAAAGTGGTGGTCAAGGCTGAAAGCTATAAATTCAGCCAGAGGCATCTTTGTACTCCGCAACACAGTCATAACAACACAAGCACGGTCAAGCCGAAAACGCATCTTTCTTGACAAGATGGGATGGTCTAGATTAGCTCTCATTCCCCGGGTGCTTGCACTCCTTTCTAGCTTTCCAAACCTTGCTGCTGCGTCTTCAGATGAAGCACTATGGCCTCTTCAAACATACAAGAGCTCATCAATCAAGACACCCTACATGAACGTCACCAAGATGGGCCAGACCGAACCTGGATATCTTTTTTTTCTCCCCGCATGACATCCTTCGCGACAATGGATACCCTGCAATTTATGAAGATGACGGCCAGCTCGTATGGCAAGGGGCTGAAGGAAACTATTCCGCTTTGCAGCCACAAATGCTGGATGGAGAGCCCGTGATAGCCTACTGGACAGGGTATGATGGGGAAGGCTTTGGATTCGGACATATCAGTATTCTCAACAGTTCATACGATGAGATTCATCGAGTCACACTTGACTGCAAGTCCGAGAAGTTCGTGACCGTCTTCGAGCCGATGGAATTTGACTCATGCATTGATATTCACGAAAGTCAATTCACCGACAACGGCACTATTCTAGTGACGGCCGTCAATGTCACACAGGCCGATCTTAGCTCTGTAGGAGGCCCCAAGGATGGCTGGATCCAAGACGGACTGATATATGAGATTGATCTCAAGACCAACGAGATTCTTTTCCGCTGGAGTGCGCACGAGCATATTGATCAAGTGAAACTCAGTTATTTGCGCGCCCCGCTTGATGGGTCTGGGGTTAACCAAACGAATCCATATGGATATCCTCACCTAAATGCCATTTATAAATATGGGGATAGCTACCTGCTATCCTCGCGTTATATGTGCAGCATTTTCTTCATTGATCCAAACGGCAACGTTACCTGGCATCTTCATGTGAGTATCCACACCCCAGTCGGCGATATTGATTAATGCGAATTGATGCTAACCTATGATTGACAGGGCCAAACAGGCGGTGACTTTAAACTGGGACTCGGAACTAGCTTTTGCTACCAACATGACGCACGATTTGAATATCAGAGTGATGAGCGAGTCACATTGGCATTGCACAATAACGAGAATGCTGACTTCTCGGCCCCTACGACCCTCACCACCGGTTTGCTCTTGGATGTTGAATTACAAGGCGCAAAACGAGTGACTCTCAAGCGACGCACCTGGGATGCGGACGAGCCGGTCTATGCCCAGTCTCAGGGAAGCTACCAGTCTCTTGCAAATGGTCATATTTTACAAGACCATGGAGCTACTCCGAAGATCGAGGAGTATGATGAGAATGGTACTATAGTCATGCGTGCACGCTTTGGCTACGATAATACCATGCAGACATACCGCACATATAGATATCCCTGGACAGGAAATCCATCGACTAAGCCGGACGTTGTTGCGTGCGTCTCGCGTGAGACCAGCAAGACAACTGTCCATGTGAGCTGGAATGGTGCAACGGATGTCAAGTCATGGAAGATCTACTCTGGCTCTCAGGCCAAAAAAACCGCATTGCGTAATGGATTTGAGACTTCTATCGAAGTCGAGGGTCTGGCTGGTGGTGATGAGATTATTGTCGAAGCGATCGGTGGTATCGGAAATGGAACTAGATCTGATTCTATGAAAGTTGGCCAAGGTTGCAAGTCGGTATAGTAGGTACGAAAGACTTATTGATTCAACCAATGCTACCTTCGAGAATAAACACTAATATTGCTAGTAGCGGATACACTTTATAATCCGTCAATGATATTTTATACTCGTTAGTGCTAGCTAGGGAATCTTAAATGCTCGTTCTAATACAACCACTAGCTGAACATCAATACACAGCAGATGGACACCCTAACACATTCCGATCAACAAAGCCCTTGATTGGTAGATGCTACAAAGTGAGTAGACCGAATACTCAAGTGACTACCCAAGGCGCACCCATACCACTCGTAAAGCATACCCCTTCCAACTCAATATCACCATTTCCGCTGCAAACATCAAACGCATATGTTAGACATCCTACTTGGACGAAACCTCCACGCCCACCATTATTGCCTAGACGTGAAAGCATTAGTAAAAGTTACCCTCCATGTATAGCTCAATAACCAATGAATAAACTCACAGCCAAATATACTATCTTTGAGTATACTGCTGCACGTGTGCGAGCCATCGCCGATTGGATCATCAAGCTTTTCGTCTTTGCACGATTGGGATCCACTGCTAATACCAACATTGAACCAATATGGCACACTCCCGTCCTTTGTTCGATATACATAAGAGCCTCGGCCCTCGTTGGCCTCAAGTGTACCTTTATTGGCAAAAGCTGCACATGCCTTATCCGCGGCTTCCCGGTACTGATCCGGTCGAACGGCGCCATATTTATCGACTGGTCTTCGGCTTTCAGGAAAGCAGGTCACCTGGCCCATTGATGGAGCAGTTGCAGTAGGTACCCAACTCTCACAGGTCAACTAAATTATTGCAAGTTAGCCCGTTTCAACCTTGGAAGAGATATTAGTTCCGAAAACCTACAGAAGTGGCGCAAGGCTCTCGCGGAATGGTACAGAGCTCGCTCGTTGCGGTCTTCGCACAAGAGCTACCAGCAGGAGTCGATATGCTTATGGTACCAGGGGTTGTTGATGCGGTCTTTGTCAAAGTTGGCAGACCCGTGAGTTCAGTCTGCGTGGGAAAGTAGGATAGCAAGAAGACTTGCATAAACGAATCCAGGGCGTAAGCCTCATCCGAATCAGCTGCTTCGGTAGGGAGAACTTCTGGGTAGTTAGTGGTCACATAGGGTGCGAGGTCACCGTCTTCGGTTGTTGACGTCGCTTCTGCCGTGGTCGTCTTGATGGTGTCTGTCGCCGGAATTTTAACAGCGTCTGGCACTTTCCCGTTCCCAATCACGTAGGCAATGAAAGCCACGGCCACGGCTGCCGGTACGCTCTGCAGTGCGACAGCAACATCTCCTGCGGTGAACATGGGAATATCAATCCCAAAGTCAATATCAAACTCCAGGACACCTCCTCCAGCTCCAGGACGCGATAATTGTGATAACTCGCAACTACCAGACCGCTTGACGCGCGTATTCGCGCATGCGGCGGCCACTTCTTCGAAAAGAGCGTTGAGTCTGTCCTTGCCTTCTGGAGATAAAATGAAACTGACATCACCAGGATTGGTATTCCCTGAGGTCTCCGTGGCCGTGATAATGGCAAATGGTGCAGTCGCTGTTGTTGTCACACCAGCAGTGGTGATGACCTCAACGCTGACCGTATCCACTCCAATCCATTTTGCAGTTTCAGTACTAGCATCATATTAGTACTAATCGTTAATAGAATAGAAGACGAGACTCACTATACGCTAACTGGATTGATACCTGTTTATATTGGGGTAAGTATTTGTTTAACTAGTATTGCTAAAGGGGCGCCAAATACCGATTTGTCCTGAAGCAGTTGGATTTATAGCTCTTGCTACCGGACCTCCACCGGGCTCTTGGGACAAGACAGGCAAGGCAGCTGATAATATCGCGACAAGAGAATATTTCAAATACATAGTGTGGAACATGCAGATCCAACCTGTTGTAGATGATTTGGCAGCTCAGACAAACAGAAAAAATTATAAACTTGGCAACGAAGAGATATAGATATAATAGAGAAAAAGTTAAATTCGTTTGAAGAGGAAATCTGTTTGATATATCTGCAAATAGTAAAGGACAGTATCTGCTTACCGCGAAAGGAATTTTGGAACTTGAGGTAGCATGGAAGCGCGGGAGCAGTGCAGTCTGCCTCGCCGGTATATGGCCCGCCAAGATAAAAGTTGAGAAGTAAGATGGTGAGATTCTTGTGACCCTGCAGGATGCATGAAACCCAGCCAGTAGGATACCTCGATAAAATAAGACCCTGAACAAATATCCCGCTTTTTAGCGTGGCTGACAACGGTGGGGGCGGAAATTAAGCAGAGATCTCACGTTGATTCCACACAGTCCTCAGCCCCCAAAACGCCAAAGCTGAGTTACACTTCGGCTATACCGCATTTCGGCGATAACTGCTATACGGAAGAGCCAATCTAGCTGCATGTCTGCTTCTTGAGCCCCGTACTTCTATTCACGGGGGTAGGCCTAGAACAAATAGGGAGAAAATATCGCGTCGGGTTTAAATGAAGGATCGACTTCGATTATCCAGGACCCATAATATAGCCTTATTGTTTGTTTTTTTTCATCTTAATTCAAAACACCAGATACTAGTATTATGACTAGATCTGTGTCTCAATTGTCCTGTCTGATACTCCACAATATAACTGATACATTTTCTGAAGAATCTAGCCACGCCTCGGTCCCTGGGCTTATGTGGGGTCCATGCAGGTTCCCGAGTGGCATGGCGGCTTACCTACTTCCACCCCTTTCCATTTGCCCTCATTATAGACATTGGCGTTAAAAGTAGCCCCCAAGTAGCATTGCATGACAGATATCGAAGAAATCTCCGAAGATGTTCTATTTTGGTTAACCTACAGAACAGGGTACTTGCGTTGATGGGATGCCTTATATGAGAAAAGCGTAATTTGAAATCCCCTCCAAGAAGATGTACCAACCTAAGAAATCAGCCTTGCGTACAAAGTACAATTACTCCGAAACCTTTCATCTCTCAGTGGATATATATGATATCTGACTTGGAACTCACTTCCCATCTGTATTGAATTTGTTTTCCTTTTGATCATTTATATCAGTCTACTGCTTTCTCACAGCTTCCGGAGATTGGCTTTTTACCATGCGACTGAACTTCTATTTATGGCTAGGTCTACTTGGTCTTTCCAACCTTGTGGCTGGCAAAGCTCTCGACAATGTGTTCAACGTCAAGAGTGGAACCACTAAAGGAGGATGTGATAGCTACAGGACTGGCCAAGTAAATGAAAACCTGGATGCCTATTTCGAAGAGGCACAGAAAATCATCAAAACCGCATCCAATGCCTTTGGAAAATACAATACGGATGTACAAGTTCAGAAACTTGGAAAAACTTTCTTTGGAATAACTCCAAACTCCCAGCAAACAGGAACCAATTCCAACGAAGATGCGGATTTGCTTAAACATGTTCAAGGTAAATGAATAAAAACATGCAGTCCTCCTGCCTGATATCTGTTCGAGCTTTGTTAAAGTCTTTTGATAGAATGGTTCAAGGACCTGGATACTTATGCCCAAGGAGGAAGCGGACAGAAGATTCCCCTTTATTGCAACAGTGATTGGCTTGAAGAAACAACAACAGGTATGCAGCTAAAGTATAGTAAACTTTACTATATTACCAGCTAATCTTCTGAAATAGTGTATGACTCCAGTGGGAAGGCGAAGAATAATCAAGTGGTCTCGGATGACAAGGCCTACGGGAAGACGGTACCACAGCTCAAAAAAAGTATGTTATCTGTCACCAATTAAAACCCCCAAGCCCTCGGTATTCCTGGCTAATCTGCTCCTTTAAATTATAGAAACTGTATGAATTCTTCCGTGTTGCTGCGACTGTTCCCTGATAACTTACGTGGAATTTGTCTTCTAACCATCATCTTGCCCAAAGTGGGTCGCATTCTGGTCTGAGGACCTGAAGGAATACTACTTTGGTGCTCCATACAGCACCAACCCTCCAACATATTGTGGGGATAATGGGAATATCGCCGTGGTGACGCCCATGTCCACTGGGAAAGAATCCCTTTCTTTAACCCTTTGTCCTGGCGGCTTTTTCAAAAAGCCTGATACCCTGGAAGCACTCGACGACTCGAGCAGCGATATTGGGCATTCTCTTCAGTCACTAGAGACTAGGAGCTTAAGCATTGTACATGAACTGGTTCACGCCTGTAAAGGTCCAGACGGTATGAAATTACCCTTTACTGGAATGCCTCCCGTGCTAACAAGTGAACAGATACGCCTGATATTAATGCATGGGGACCTAAGGCTGCGATAAAACCGAAGATTAAGGGCCAACCGAATCCTCTTTGGCCAGGGAATACGGACGACTTTATAAAAAAGAGAAAAGTAGCTTGTAAGCAAAGAGTGTCACAAACGCTGATGCTTTCAAAGTCAACTACTGACGTTTTCTGACCTAGACACCGCAATTGATGCTATTCTGACAGCCCAAGCGAGTAAGTATTCTGCGTTGTGCCGAAGTGAAAAATTGCCATCATTTACCACATTCAATATCTGGCAATTCGATAAATATACTGCTCTGGCGCCTTTCACTAATGGGTAATCTACAGCAAACCCCCGGCAGCCGACCGAGAACACCCCAGAAAGCTACGCTTGGGCCGCACTGGCCGTCTATCTTGCTGAGAACGGCGCGAAGATGGACTACTCGACTGGTCTTGCGAGGCCCATGGGTGAGCCATTGACGTCCCCTGCCCCACCTAGAAGGTTCAGAAAGGATGTGATGGTGATAGCAAAGGACTTTATTGCCTAATAGCATCACTTCATGAGGGCCGCCGGTAATTGAAAGAATGCTTTGGGCCGTTGTTTAGGGGTGGCTACCGCGTATCCAAGGTCGTTGGGGGAATACGTATAACCTGAACAGACGATAGGAAAGGAGATTTTTGTCGCACTTCATTACTTCTAGTAGTTTCATAGTGGCATATAACCATAAATCTACGATTGCATCATGCACCCCAGGATACCTTTGAAAAGTACCCACAATTTGTATGATATGTTTCTGTAAAAAAACTATCGCGGAAGTAATGTCCTGAACTTGCGGGCACTAACTTGAATGTCGCTCAAGGGAGGGGTAGAACAATGGCCGAAGATAAAGATCGATCTCAATGTGTGCCACGTCGAATGCCTCCTTGACGCGATGCGGAGCATCGTGAAGGCTAGCTGTTTTATGCGCTCTCATGGAAGGCGACCGTCCACCATCTTCTTCAATCCGAACATATGATAGACTTTGCCTATAATGAGCCAGCTCAGAGAGCCAAATGACGCTATCGACTTTGATTTCGGTGCTAAAAGCCTCGTCGTCGTCGGATCCTTCTACTTCATCGAGTGATTTGAAAGCATATGAATCGGACACAAACAGTATCTTCGAGATAATTCAGATAATTTAGAATATACTCTCTACATACGGGTTTGTATTCTGCAGGTCGAGGGGATCATACCTCTAGGTTTTCTAGTGAGGGTGGTAGACGGGTATAGAGACCATTTCGAAGGGCCGGGTCGTCTTGCTCATCCTCTTCAAAGAGTAAAAGGCTGCTAGCCTTCAAAGATCTCACGTTCTTAAATTGGCTCAGTTCTAACGATCGTTCGGAGTCGACATTTCCCAATGTGCTGTTAAACTCCATTGTGATAAGTGTTTGTTGGCAGGACATCAGAGCCCGTGATAAATCAGCAGATGATACAGGATCGTCGTTGAAGTTTTGCATGGGAGATATATTGCAGATAAAAGTCTCTAGAGCCGAACAAGCTGATAAGACTTGTCGCAAGTCATGATTGCAGTTCGTGGAGATTGTCAAAGTGAGTTTCTTAAGAGAACTTGAATAGGGGTGCCTTGATGTGGACGGTAAGACGTCACATCCGGCAGTCTCCTGATTTCGATGGCATTTCACGGTCAGTCGCTCTAAACTGGGAAAGCATATAAGCTTCGAAATTTCGCGGAAGCTTAGTCCGGGGTCGATAATTGTCATATTCTGGAGTTTAGCAAGTGTAGTAGCACCCGTGTCGGGTTCTGTTGGCATGACCCTTTCGATTAAATTTGCGAGATATCCACTTCCCCAAAAGGCCAGCGACAGATTCCGTAGGGCAGTGAGTTTCGCCAGAGTTTGCCGAGATTGGAGAATTTTAGCATCATTGGGGAGAAAAGCGCTAACGGATAGAGATTGGGTGATGGCTGCTAGCCGCGGAGTTGCAACCAGAGTCCGGTGAAACAAATCGAGGATTTCCCCATCTCCGTGCTGTCCGGAGCTGTAGAGTGTCACATCCCTGTAGATCCTGGTCGAAACGAGAGCATAGGTTTTTTTATTTACTCTTGCAAGTCTGGCGAGGTCACGCGTTCGAAGGTCCTTATCGGAAAGCACCTGGTCAATAAGCTCGGGAGGAAGATGAGTTAAGGACATAGTTGGTGCTGAAAACTATACTCCAGAACAAGAGAAAAAGTCATTAGCGGAATTTTCAGCCTTCCAAGAGAAAAGGCAATCTGCTGCCTATAATTGTACGTGGCCTTATCGCTTGTTTTCCAAACGCCCCGGGGCCGCCCAGGTGAATCGGACCCAAAAAAGAGAAGAAAAAAGAAATTACCAATAGGGTTCCAGAGGAGACTGAATTTCTTTGGCCGTCTATTAGATGGCTAGCTGAAATTTACAGAGAACGCGAGGCCGGAAAGGAGAGATAGCTTGGATGTGGTGGGAATTGGGGGCGAGACGAGGCTGACAACGGAGAAGCTTAAAGCGGCGGGTTGACTAACCCAGGTTGGGTTGGCTGTCACCATCCACTACCTTCACTTTACCAGCGGTTTATGTTTATTATGCCTCTATGGATCCGATCTCTCCAATCAATGTGGACTTTGTCGACGTAGGATATCAACTGCTGGAGCTTCTGTCCATTTGATGTACCAATCTCAAAACAAATGACATTCAAATTGACTCTTTTTCTAAATTATTACTCTTTGTAGACGCTAGGCACATCAACTATAATTGCTTTGACATAGAAGAAAATAGTATACCACTGCGAACTATTACTAGCGTTTTCCTATCCCCGAAAGCTTCAACTTTGAAGTTTCGTTGAATTTCTTTGTATTCGATACTCTCAGAATTTCTTCCTTACTGTTAGCTGGGAATGTATTGAAGAATTCTACTAGAACAGGATATCTCTCTCTATTCGTGATAGAGTTCAGATACTGGAAGATGAATAACTTGGGATATATTCTTGCTGTAATTTAGAAATGAAATAGATATAGAAGCCCATCTATATCAGATTGAACAGAAGCTTTATAATAAAGCGACACAGTTCCCAATACCAAGAGCTCGTGAAACTGATATGATCCTGATGTTTTGAGGGGGAAAGAATCCGGATAGCCGAGGACTATGTGAGCCTTTTTATCTGGCATTATAATAGATGAAATAATATATAGGAATATAATATAATAAATTATGATGGTCATAAGGTGGGATTATACATAGGTATTGCTCCATACCCTCCGCCGGGTTGATCATCTCTACTTGGAGCAATTCAGCATACAAACTTTAACGTGACGCAGAAATGATGGATTATACAACCGAAATCAATTCCCTGCTTCACATAAGTGCCAGGGTCTGGAATCTGGTTTCTAGAACTGCGGTGGTAGTTTCACCGCATCTGTAACGGTGTGGCGTACACCACGTCATTGCCACTTCCAAACAAGTATAGCAGCCACGATAGATACAAAAAAAAAGTAGAAACAAGAGTATATTTATTTCCTCTGCTATCCTTCTATTTCACATACAACCGCCATCACATACGCAGATTGAATACTAGAATATATCTTCACTATTCAATATCCATCATTCTCGACAAAGCCTAGCAAGGTCACTTCTGTACCAAAATGACGTCAGTCATCGCTTCTATCAAAGACTTGATCTGCTCGGTCTTTGAGGTCATGTTCTCTACCATCAAGACCGCATTCGATACCGTTTTCTCTATCTTCCATGCCCTTTTCACCTCTATCGTCTCTGTTTTTGGCATACTCTTGAACACCGCCAAAGACGCCGTGGGGGCGGTCGGTGGAGTTGGCAAGTTCATTGCTAGTAAGAACCCCAACAACGAATTCGCGACCACATATGGACTAACATGCGACAAAAGGCAACATATTCGTTCTTGCCTTTGTTGGTATCGGAATTTATGGTTTCCTGAACTACAGATCGCGTCAGGGTCGGCCAGTCAAGGTTGGAAACAAGAAGCTGAACTAGCCTCTGAGTCTTGCACCACAGGTGGTCTTGTGCTTCCGAGGTTTGAAATAGGAATCATCTCTTAAGGCGCAGTCAGGTGGATGGATGTATTGTTTTATTTGCCATGATCCCTTACAAAATTGGAAACCTAGGGTGAGGTACAAGTGAGATAACTACTCAAATTATGAAAGAGCTTATTCGCAGTCGCAATATCTCGCCTTCCTACTGCCTAGCAGAATTGCTGCTTGTTTAATCCTAAGATACAAAATGGAACTTCATACACTCTAGGGCTTTTCCGAACCTGGTTAACTGATAGTAAGTGTATCCCTCTTTGCAGGTGATCTACAGTACTTAGCTCGTAAGAAAATCTTCTGTGCGCCCCGGTCGCGCTGACCAAAGCCATCGTAAGCCTCTTCGATATATTCAAGGTAAGATTAGTGAGAAACCACTGGCATATTAAGCGGGTTGGTCTCATTCCTTTGAATAACCTTGGAAGACTCATAAAATCCTTCCAGTATCGGTGAACAAACGCCAGTTTCCATAAGAGCTCCAATCTTGAAACGATTGGTCTTTGATGTAAAGGTCAAAACAAATTCGCGCTTGGGTCATCTTCCAAGCCCTTCTCCGTGAACTTGAACAGTGCTAGTAATACCGCCAAGCGCCACAGTTCCCAACTCCGCCAAGAGTTTTCGATACTGATAAGCTGCGCATCGATAAGGAGCTAACCCCAGACGGTTCTTGGATCCGGGGTCATCTGCATGGGTGAATATGGTTGGATGGCGTTATCTTTCTAAGGAATCTAAAGCGGTTCCCGAGCCACTTGGAGTCTTTGTTCGCATCCTTATCAGATTTCGCCTTCTTTATCGATGTGTGTTTCAAGCTCAATCCATGACACATTTCCCTTCAATACGAGTAGCTTCCAATTGGCACTGGCAGTCAATTTTTTACAGTCGAGAATACGAACTGGAATTCTTGGCTTTCGCCATACTTGGTAGAGATAAGAATACGGAAAATAGGAAAGTCCACAGCTGTTGTCTATAACTTCTAGAAAGCCCGCTAGGAAATCCACATCAAAGCATATTCAAATCGCATGTCTTAATATCAACCCACTGGCAATTACTGGTGCTATAACCCGGGATTGAATTGCAAGTATCCGGCCAGTAACTATTAGTTGATTCACTCCCTCGCTATATAACAATACAGGTGCTGGGATTCTGGCCCCACCGCCAAATTACCTCCTAACCTGCAGCGAGGATGGCCGATGCTGTACGATCTTCCAATTGTACCATTTAATATGTTCTCCTCTCTGATATAGTCTCTACAGCCTGCTTACAATGCCTCCCTTCCTTCGGGAGGAGACCCCCTCAAAATTGACGTGAATGCTCAATATGCGGGACTCGAATGGAACTACACCTACATCGTTTTCTGCGGCTTCATCGTATGGCTGATAATTCCCGGCATCGGTCTCCTATACAGTGGCCTTGCGCGAAGGAAATCCGCGCTGGCTTTGCTTTTCCAATCGCTCATGATTGTTGCAGTGTACGACTGTTCTTTCCGGGGCTGATCCGATACATTGTGCTGATATTCGACAGAACTACATTCCAATGGATGTTTTGGGGATATTCTTTGGCATATGCCCGTGATGGTGGGCCATTCATTGGGAACCTGAAGAACTTCGGACTCAAGAATGTTATGGCAGCGCCATCTCCGGGCTCTGATGTACTTCCGGAGATTGTGTTTTGCTTTTATCAGCTTTTATTCTGCGCATGCACGGTAAGCAAAAACTATAATCGATTATTGGTGTATGGTTAGGCTAACAATGGACTGCTATAGGTGATGATAGTCGTCGGTGGTGCATTCGAACGAGGTAATATGCTCCCTTCGTTGGTTTTTAGCTTCTGCTGGGCAACCGCTGTTTACTGCCCGGTCGCGTACTGGACTTGGAACAGCAATGGCTGGCTTTACAACCTACCGTCCCTGGATTTTGCAGGAGGCGGCCCCGTGCATATCGCCTCGGGCTGGTCCGCCCTTGCATATGCCCTGGTTCTAGGGAAGAGGAAGCATCTCGATGAAACGACCCATGGAAAACCCCACAATACTACATTGGTCTTTCTGGGGACAACATTGATCTGGTTCGGTTGGTTTGGTTTTAATGTATGTTGTTTGACAGGGGTTTACGGTGCTCTGGCTGACCAACTGATTTTTTAGGGCGGATCTGCTCTGAATGCGAGTGTCAGAGCCATGTTGGCGGCATTCAATACAAACACAGCCGCTTGCATGGGTGTGCTGGGATGGGCTCTGGTAGACTCTATTAAGAACCGAGGGAAATTCTCTGTGGTGGGAGCATGCGAAGGTGCGATCGCTGGACTTGTCGGGATCACTCCAGCTGCAGGATTTGTCTCGGTCTGGTTGGCAGCTGTCATTGGATTCTTGACCAGTATCATCTGTGCAATGCTGCAAGATGTCAATAAATGGCTTCGTATTGATGAAGGCATGGATGTCTTTAAGCTGCATGGAATTGGCGGGATGGTCGGTGCATTTCTGACAGGCATCTTCGCGTCGCGATCGATTGCGGCGCTCGATGGAGCGACTGAGGCGGCCGGTGGTATCGACGGCAACGGAATCCAGGTCGGAAAACAGTTTGCAGAGATCTGTGCGATATCTGCTTATTCATTTACGGTATCGGTCTGCCTGTTGGTGGTTATGAAATGGATACCTATCCCATGCATGAGCCTGCGAGTACACGAGGAGGCGGAAATGATTGGCTTAGATCGAACGCAATTTGTTGACGAGCAGATCGGCGAACGGGTCATACTGGGTGATCTCTTCGCGTCGTCATCACCCGCATCTGCCAGTGTAGTGAATGAGAGTCCAGGGTTGGTTGTTGGATCCAAGGTGCTTAAGGGTTAAGCGATATGTGTTCTGAGAAAGGCCAAGGGCCAAGGGTCTAGGATGAATTATGTGTTGGGAGATGTCACATACTAGAAAGAATGAAAACGAAGACAGATCATACCCATTCAATCGTGCTGATGACGGAGGCTGAAAGGTGGGGGGGTTCTGTTTTAGCGACCGCAGATCTTTGAGACGCGGGAGGGACCCTGAGTGACGCGAGAACAATAAAAATAAAACAAGGCCGGCGGCGTCCCACGGCTGACCCACGGGAGGGTTCAGAGGCGAAGGCGGAGGTTGATCTGCCCAGCCGCGTCGACATACTGTACTGCTACATGCACCGGGAAGGAGAGGTTCAAAGTAACCCTTGTGTATTTGTTTGGTCTGAGGGATTGCTTTTGTCGTTTTCTTGTGACCCCCTCTCCTTTCTCCTTGGTGTCTTTCATTTGACGGGGTTGGTGCGAGAGGGAGTGGCCCCGCGATATAGATGCGGAGGCCGCCAAGAGAACCGCGTTGGGGCCTGGACGTATCAGGGTGTAGCATGGGCCAGGGTGGTCGGCCCCATCTTCCCGGGGGAGGAATGAGCTGACGTACGCCGACGCACCAAGGCGGCCCCGAAGTCCCCCAAACCCCTGCTAGAGCGGGCTAGTGCCAGTTGCGGCGTCCCTGTGGAAGGGCGAGATCAGCGACTGGGCAAGGGTGAGCTGCGATTGCACCGAAGGTGCGACATCGCGGAGAATGCCGTGGTGACGAATTGCCTGGAATAGAGTTCCGGCAGCTTTCTTTTGACAGTGTAGTTTGGGGGGTGACTCAATAATGAGGATTGAGTGAGTGGATGAGTTGAGTTGAAATGAAAGAAGTGTGTGCTCGTATGTGTACTAGTATGGCGTAGTTGGCGTAGTTATGTGGAAGTGTACTCCGTAGGATGCCTTGGTAGGAGTGAAAGTGAAAGTGGAGGTTCTCCAACGTCAGGCAAGACCGGCCAAGACCCCGGCAAAAATACCTGTTGTATTGTATTGTCACCGTATCGCACTTGCCACATTCAGTGTTACTTTTGATTACTTTCAACATACTGCCACACTCTGCCAAAGTCAAACGAGGGTCTCGCCCCCCGTCACACTTTGTATTACCTTTTAGATGTCGCGTCGCCGTTTTAAGCCAAGGCCAAGAACCAAAGCCTCTCCTTATCTTTCCTCCTCCTCCTCCTCCTCCTCTTTGTCGCATCGCTTCGCTCTTCTCCCCGTCACTCGTTCGTGGGGTTCCCTCTCGCCGCTTCTTTCCACTCGCTTTTACCTTGTCATGATCTACGTTTAGGTTCGAGTCCAAATGGGCAAGTGTACGTTGGCATTCATCCATCTCCATTCTGGTCCAACCCCAGATACTCTTCCCGAATCCCGCTAACCATTGGTCTTGATTATTAGGGCGTTATGGCATCGTCCTGGACGCTGGTTCGTCTGTACGTCTATCTCAATAATAATACCAACTTCGCAAATCTTCGCCTTTCCAGATCAGTGAACTAACATTGCAATCGCACAGGGGACCCGCGTCCACGTTTATCGGTGGCTGCGCAATTCCGTTGCGCGCAAAGATGCCGATGCGGAGGAACTCAAATCACTCCCGGAGATTGAAACTAAAGAGAAATGGGTGAAGAAGATCCATCCCGGTAATGACCGACTATAAGCCATACTCTCCCGGGGCCTACCTCGCTGACTTCTTTCCTTTGCGCCCAGGTGTCTCTTCGTTCGCTGGTCGACCGGAATCTATTGGATCCGACCATCTAGCCGAACTTCTAGAGCATGCGAAAACCATCATTCCCAAGGAGGATGCCAAGGATACTCCGATCTTCCTCCTAGCCACCGCCGGCATGCGACTGCTTGGAAACCTAGAACGACAGCTCCTCCTCGACCAGATTTGCAATTACGCCCGTGAAAACTCCGAATTCTTGCTTCCGGACTGCGAAGCCCATATCCAAGTCATTCCAGGAAAGACCGAAGGTTTATATGGATGGGTTGCGACAAACTATCTCATGGGTACATTCGACGAACCCGAAAAACACGACCATGGAAAGGGCCACAGCACATACGGGTTTTTGGACATGGGTGGTGCCTCGGCTCAGATCGCATTTGCACCGAATGCGACGGAAACTGAAAAGCATGGAGAAGATCTCACGCTCCTGCGCATGCGCAATATCGACGGCTCAATTCAGGAACATAAGGTCTTCATTACCTCTTGGCTAGAGTTTGGCGTGAACGAAGCCCGACGCCGTTTTGTGGAGTCCTTGCAGGTGCATATGGGCACCGAAGCTCAGGAACTCCCTGATCCCTGCTTACCCAGTGGGTTAAGGACCACGCTGGATGGCAAGGATGTCCCTCCCGAGCACACAGGAGTTACTCTGCTGGGAACTGGCGAATTTGAGGGTTGTCTTCGCCATACTTACCCATTGCTGGACAAGGATGCGCACTGTGCGGATCATCCGTGCCTTCTTCATGGCACACATGTTCCGGCTATTGACTTTGATGTCAACCATTTTATTGGAATTAGTGAATACTGGCATACGACACACGAAATCTTTGAAATGGGATACAAGGACAAAGCATATGATTTCAATACCTACCAAGAACGCGTCAAAACCTTTTGTTCGCAAGACTGGGATTCTATTGAGCAGGGCATTCAAAAGCACAAATGGGGCAAGAAGGTGGATCGAGAGAAGGCACATCAAGTTTGCTTCAAGGCGTCTTGGATCATCAACATGCTTCATGACGGAATTGGCGTCCCCCGAGTTGGCCTAGAGGATACTTCAGGCTCTACACATAACGGTACCAAGGAGGTTCTCTCCCACGGCGAGCAGAAGGGTTACCTTGACGCCTTCCAGGCAGTCAATAAGATTGACTCGACAGAAGTGAGCTGGACCCTAGGCAAAATTGTCTTATATGCCTCTTCCCAAGTGCCCACTATCGACGAGGCCGCATTGCCTGTCGGTTTTGGGAGCAACATCCCGGGCGTCCCCGAGGATTTCCAGTACCCCAGTGTGGTCCTACTTCCCGATTCGGACAGTTTCCACAGTGAACATTGGCATGATGCACTATTCGATGGAGACTCTCCTCGCCGGATCCCTGGCTTCCTCTTGTTCCTGTTCATCATCGTACTAGCGAGCTTTTTCTTGTGCGGACGCAGCCGTCGTTTGCGCATATACCATCGCGTCAACAATGTGCTCCGTCGTGGCGGGCCCTCTCACCCTAATCACCCTAAGCGACGAAAGCCTTTTGGTGGGATGTTGCCTTTCCTCAATCGAGGCGCTCCTTCTTATGAGCGCGTCCTAGAGGAAGGTGCGGAGGAGTTTGATCTGGGATCAGCAGACTCTGAGGGTAGCGACGTGGATGGCGGTCGTCCTTCTGATGCAGGATCAGCCAATTTGCGACCTCCCAAGCGTGCTTCCAGTTGGGGCAGTGGCAGCAACACCCCCAGTTTGAAATATACTCTTGACAACAGTTCATCTGGAACCATCGGCTTGGGAATTAGTGGCGGCTCGGGTGTTGCTATGGATCGTGCAGGACTGGTGGTTAGGACCGAGAGCCGTGATCATCTGGCTCCCATTGCCCTGGGGCCAACCACCAATGGACGGCGGTCTCGAGCCGGCAGTCCCACGCGCTCTCACCATCAAAAATCACCCAGTATGGCCCCTCTCGAAGATGAGTAACGTCTCCGATGCAACCCGACCCGATTTATGCTTTTTTGAAGTTATACATGCGCCCTTTTGTACTCTTGCATGGTATTTCCACTTGGCGTCTATTTTCCTTTTGACAGGTGCCACTATTCATGGTCCTGTTTACCTCTCTGTTCTGTTCCAGAGCTCCTTTCTTGAGACCTGCTGCGTGGACAGCTGATGCTTTCGATTCTTGGTACCATATTTGCCTCTGTGCTCTGGAGTATTTGTTGGTCTTCCGTGCTTTCGATCTGATCCGGGCGATTTGATGTAATGGCGGTGTACCATTAACTTTCCGCTACAAGCTTAATGAATATAGAATAATACATTGCTAATCAGGCATTATCTTCGGCTGTTTCGAATTGTAGTCCGTATACTAGACTCCGTAATAGACCCGCGAGGAGGGCACAGACTCGATCGACCCGCATAAGCACGCACTGATTTATTGAGTTTTGGTATCCCTTCGCTTCTACGTAATCCATAAGAGTGTGCAGAGTATGTCTATCAATTTCAAAATCCGAGCTGTTCAAATTGTTTGACATCTTGCCTTTCTACTCATGGTCTCAGTCGTCAAGATGGTGTCACGTGTATCAGTATAGTGTTCACCGCCCGGCAGAAAGGGCTGCGGAACTCGTCGATAATGGAGAAACTGCGACAGCTTGCGCCGTTCATTGCAGCTCTCCTCCTTTGCGCCACCATTCCAAGGCCCGTTCAAATCCCCTGACCTATGTTCGCCTAATCGACGCTCGAATCCCCGCCCTTATCCCCAATTGAACCTCGCTCAGAGGCACCGCCGTCATGCGCTTGACTGTCGAGCTCATTCAGAACTCTCTCTCATACATTAATCCGCTCAAAGATCGCGAGCTGGATCTCCGAGGTGCGTTTTATCTTCACACACCTGCCTGAAAAGAACAGGTACTACACTTTTATAAAAGGAGCGGGATTAAACATCGCATTGCGAGACGTGTAGGTCACAAGATCCCCGTAATCGAGAACTTGGGTATCGCCAAAGTAAGTGCTTCTTTTCTACGATCTGCAGAGCTTTGATTAGTGCCATATTCTGCTTTGAGTCATCTGTGGACTCCTGCCTTCGAAGCGTATCTGAAGCTAATAGTGTACAAGGACCAAGATGCAATTGATCTCACCGATAACGACCTCTCTTCCCTTGGGAACTTCCCCTTCTTCCCTCGCCTCCACACCCTTCTCCTCGCCCGCAATAGAATCAATCACATCCAGTCGACTGTCGGGCAGTCAATTCCGAGCCTACAAACCCTTGTCTTAACAGCCAACAGCGTCTCCGAGCTGGCAGATATCGACCCTCTAAAGAGTCTGACACGCCTGACACATTTGATTCTGTTGGAGAACCCCATCACGCGGAAGGAGGTATGTCCATTCTTCCCCGCAACGCTATTCGGCGTCAATTTATGGCACCCCTCTAACTTCAAATTCCAAATCAGCACTACCGGTATTGGGTCATCTGGCGAATCCCCTCCGTACGGTTCCTGGACTACCAGAAAGTGAAGGATGTGGAGCGTGAAAAGGCAAAGGAACTATTCGGAACCACCGAGGAACCAACCCCCCTCGCTACAAAGATCATCGGCACCAAATCTCGAACCTTCGACACTTCCACCATCACAGCCACGGGCCAGGCTTCGGGCGAAAAGGCCATCCGTGTGAAACTGACTGACGCAGAGAGGAAGCGCGTGGAGGACATGATCCGCAACGCAAAGAGCTTGCAAGAAATCACCCGGTTGGAGAAGGAACTGAACGAAGGACGGATACCCGGCGGAGCCCTCGGCGCAACGGACGCTGATGGCGATAAGGAGATGCAAATGTAATTGGCGCGAATTTGCATTCTCCGAACATATCCTTTTTATCCAGTTTTGTTCCGGACTTCAACCGGATTTTGCTACGTCTCTTTCCTCTCTCTCTCATGGTCGTCGGGCATTCTCATTATACTGTGCTTGGTTGATTGAATCTGGGTTTTATGTGGCATTTGGGAGATTCCTTTTCTTGTCGTAGGTGCTTGTGGTCTTCTTTCCTCCTAAACTTCGAGTACTAGCATTACTAGGCTAGATTTTCATACCCTGAAAGCGTTGTGACACCTGTTATCCTCTCTTACCCTTGTCCACATAGACTCCATGCAAACCCCAGAAGAGTGAAATGGCCTGGCCGGGGCAAGCACTCAGGCAATGGAATGGTGCATATGATTAGTTCGTCATTGTCTTCTCGAAGTCTTTACACCTTTCAAAATGGGATGAATACTAGTCATTTACAATGTGTAATTGCCCATGCGTTACTGGATAAGCCTCATTCAAGGGACAACTGGTGTTTTCATTCTGGATTTCCTATCAATAGCGTCCAAATTGGGTGATCTTCTTACCCATAGCAATTTTAAACTAAGTTGCTATGCTTTTCATACTAGCATAGCGCGTCTACTGGTAATGGTGCTGTTGCTATTGTGCCTCGGTGCAGTAGACTTGGGGGGTTCGCTGGTCTTCCGAGTAAGAGAAATCCCCGAGTTGGTCAGTATTTTAGTACTGGATCTACATCATCTCTAACGAGTGAATATAAATCAATCAACAACTTTAAGGGCCAATTATCTCGATCTCGTAGATAGAACGACCTTTTCAACTATCTTCTTCCGAGGTTGGAAGTTACATTCTGCAAATACTCCGCTGCGAAACTTCAAGCTGTCAAATCATTCGAGTCGGTACCTAGTATAGTAACTCGTAGACCTAGAGAGAACAATCTTCTTAGAGTCAGTTCGCGCCCGTTTCCCTGAATTTTGCTGTCATCACTGCCCAACAGAGACTCAGATAGCGATGCGAAATTAAAAATTGATAAGCGCTCAAATAAATGAAGAGTCGTCCTGTACAGAAATTGTGTGACAAATCGAAACTTAAATGGGCTTTTCAGGATGTAGAGGCTGTACTGGTAACCATGTTGGCCGTTTTGGACGCTACAGAGGAGTCAGCAGAGAGCTGGGAGAATAAATTATAATTTCCGAGGTGGTCAGCTAGACAATAGATAATATATCAATACTTAATGCAGATCAAGAACAGAAAGCAAAATAACACTGATGATCAACCTTGGAAAAAACAAAGCAGGCTTACACATCGGAGTCGGATCCGTTTTCCTACCGGCAAGAATCGCAATTACGACTCGCGCCGATCAGACGGGCCCAAGCAATGTAAGGCTCAGAGTCAAACAGACTCGCGTACCCCTCATCTATGGTATGAGGCCCATATACCTCAGCTACGCGTCTAGTCATACCCGTCATGCTAAATGAGGCATGACACCTATCAATATCGATCGTCAGCCTGTTAACATGAACCTGTAACTGGACTAAAATGATAACGGACTCATTCCCAGTCACAGTACCGCTCAGAATGTGGCGGAGCAATCTACCAGCAACATCTGTTAGCCGCTCAATGCCCTCTCCAAAGCAGATAGGAATATGGCAACCGATAGCCCGGGCCTCCTCCTCGCCAGTACTCTTCAATCGACCTAGTACCTTTGGAAGACCGTGCAAAAACTGTGCAACCTGCCGAGGTCTTGCAGAAACTTTCCGACAGTGATGGGAAAGCTCGAAAATAAGGTGGTTCTGCATGTCGGCGAACTGGCTATTTGTAGGAAAAGACATGGTGTATGTGTATATGTATGATGTATGTGTATGTGTGTGGTGTATGCGATGTCTATAACTACTACTAGCAAGACGTACCTACGCGAGATAGAGTGTGGTGGAGTGGTATAGTCGCCCTGAGAGAATGTCGAGAGTCGAATGTAGCTGCAGAATGATCGTGTGTGATTGATTGGCTTTTGTTTTCTCGGAAATACTGGCGCTTTTATAAACGGCTACCAGAGATATGTGGAGTTGTAATTGTTGACTTAAACAAGGAAATCATTGTGCATCTTTGTTCGAGTCTGAGTACAAAGACGATGGCCTTTGTTGAGAGGTTCCAAGGTTTACTGGAGACATCGGACAATGAAATCATCACATTGACTAGTAGTAGCTCTTTAAATATATCGAAACTTTGTGATAGACCTGGTAATCACTCGTTGCTTTGGCCGCTTTGAACACAATGGTCATAGTAATCACTCGCTGATGCGCATGAACCCACATTGAACAAGGTTAATTGCATAGAGTTAAAGACTCGTTTGAATTCATATGGACATATCACCGGGGTTGGGAAGCCGGCTCTCTCCGAGAGAAGACGCTTTGACCGTCCTAGCGCGGCAGCGATGGGCATTGTGAGCAGTGCAAGCGCTGATCAGAACCAGATACGGGGGTGAGATATTAGTATTTATGCCGAACTAGCCTCATATCGCCAAACTAATTTATGGTCTCAGCCACGTTCGCCTAATAGATTAATCTAGAAGCAATTGAGGCTTGCGTTGCCAATTTGAAGGGAAATGGATATAGGGAGGGCTTGCTTGAAGATTGACTAGGGCATCTCGTCTCCACCACACCAAAGTCCGGATATAGTACAGTATGGCGAGTCGACCTACATAGTACCTTCATTTCGGACCGCGGCCACGAGTTCATCGGCTTACCCCCGTTCCTTTAATTCTGCTGATCAGACCCAATTCCCCACTGAACGCACAGAACGCGTGCACAGAAACCGGTCCTGGTTTGTTCCGCGTACTCCGCTCATGCAGATAATCGAGACAAAACGAATCTCTAGTTCGTGGCGTGAAAATCATTGCTTGGTTTGGGCTGCAGATCGAGACATTCAGTGCATTAGGCGCCCCTGGAGATCCGCGGCAGGGGTTGGTGCGACTTTCCGATTTTCCAACACCCCTCAGTGCGATCGTAGGGCAGGCACGTTGCTATACCGAATACAGCATCTTCTCCGTTGCTCTCTTCTTAAGTGTTCCCAGTGAAACAAAAATTTCCCTTCTTGAAAGCCCGGATTCCATACCCTGGACCAAAATTGAGAAATTCCCTGATGTTACAGGACTGTCGCGGTGTTCTCGCCGCGAGGAATGAGACTCCACTTCCCCGATAGACTAAAAGGGAGAATGGCAGAATTATCGTAGACCATACTCCCTACCTGTAAGATCTGACCCCAAATGATCCATGGTGTCTAGCTCACGGACCTTTTATTGAACCGATTTTTGGTGTTCTATTCAACTGGGTCTTTGGTGGATCCGCCGTTGGTTTCTCCACGAGACAGTAGATCCCACAGGGCGAAGTCCAAATTGTGTACGGAGTAATTAGCTCGGCATAGGCAAGGTTCAATGGTCAAACGCCAGCTTATAGGCTTCTTTGGTTCCAGAAAAACTTTCACGGATGGCTTGACGTCTTGAGAACCGTGGATCCTTTTTCCTTCCTCCGTGTCACGTAATTGACAGCTGAGGTTTACCTCCCTTTAGTTATATTTAATTCACGCCATTTTCCCTCCTCGCGTTGGTTACCTCACAAACCCCATCAATTTTGGATGGCCTGTCTGGTTCGATGAGCCAGCAGTATGGCTGATGAGACGATCACGCCGGCCATGCCGCCGCCGGCTGGCCAGACTTCTAACTTTATCAACCCAGACTACACCGGAACGAAGTTCATTGCTGTGAACTCCGTTTTCCTTCCTTTGGCCGTGATTGCTCTGGCTGTTCGAACATGGACTCGACTCTTTGTGGTCCGCAGTTTTCGCTGGGATGATTGTGCGTATCTAACATTTTGACTGCGTGCGATTAGTCGCTAATTTTTCTGGTCAGACTTAATGCTTACAGCTCTTGTATGCCACTTTCATGATCTCGGTCGCCTATGAGGCAATCTGCAAATCCAAACAAGGGTATTTACTAATGCTCTATAGATGCTGTCTTGTGCGCTTACTGGTGTAACATCAGATAGTAAGTTCTCCATCGAAAACATTGCTCATGGAGCACATTACTGATTTGATATCAGTGCTGAATTGGGGCCTGGGAAAGCACATGTGGGATGTCCCTTTAAGTCACCTAACACCACAATTTATGAAGGTTAGTTAAGCTTTCACCCATCGACAAATCAGCGATTGGGAGGATACTAAGCAATTGCGATGAGAATAGCTCAATGTGATCGCCGCCATTTTATACTGCGCTGCCACAGGTTTCACCAAATGCTCGGTCCTCATATTCTATCTTCGCATCTTCCCTAGCCGCAACTTTCACATCGCTGTGTGGTCGATTGTGTTCATCGCGGCCGGATACAGTCTCGCCAGTATTCTCGCCAACATCCTCAGTTGCAGCCCTGTCGCCATGGCCTGGGACCTATCTATAACGTCTGGACATTGCATGAATCGACCGGTCTTTTACTTCGCCAACGCGGGATTGGGTATATTCACAGATTTCGCAACTGTTATTGTACCAATGTATGTGGTGTTGGATGAACCAATGAATCAGGGAGGATGATTGCTGACACGTACTGTATCTAGTCCATGGCTACGCCGATTACAGATGCCGAACCGGCAGAAGATTGCTGTTGGTGTCATTCTCGCTATGGGATGCTTGTGAGTGACATTCTTCACATGTTACATTCTGAATCATCCCGTTGACAGTAATACTATAGTGTCGGAATCGTCAGTTGCATCCGCCTCGTCACACTTTATAAACTGCTCGAAAGCCCAGATCTGACCTGTGAGACACATCTACGACTGTCGTTCTTCGCGAAGTGTAACTGACTCTATTCGGTCCTCCAGGGGTTACGACGGATGCGCTCATGTGGTGCACTATTGAACTAAATTTGGGAATCTTTGGTGGCTGTATAACAGCTATTCGGCCATTCATTCGACAATTTTCCCCGGACTGCTGGGGCATTCCTCTGGTGGTGGATATGGCTCATCACGATCTCGCAAGTATGGCCACCCTCTTGGCTCGATCCCTCGGAGTGACCACCCGGATTTTACGAATGGAGAGAATCAATACTCAGCAACTCTTACCGCCCACGGGGCTCACGAAAACGGGAGCGAGGAACACATTCTATCGACGCCGCGTTCCGCAGAACATAACAAGGAGGTGGAGGCAGCCCTCGGAATCGTGCGCACAGTCGAGTTTGACGTGGAAAATTCATCCACCTCTGCGCGATGAGCCCAAAGAGCCCGAGGAAGTGCTGGATATCACAATCACTCTATTCTTTAAACGGATCCAAACGATGTATATTGTAGATTATATTGACGATCAACAAGTGATACCCGCTATCACGACTCACTAGTACATAGCTCTCAAAAAATGGACAATCCAAAAGAGTGGAACCCCTAGCTCCATCGGCTCGGGAAAACCCCTCTCAAACATGATTCATGACTTCTGTTTGCCGAGGATAATCCGCCAGGAACCAGTTCAAACGATTTGACTTTCTGCACGCTAGTTGTACTAGTAGTTTTGAGTTTTATGCACCAAATTCACGCGTCGTGTGTGTGTTTATCGCAATTTCCGAGGCCTTGTTCCACCAGTCAATGGACTAAGTGGATTGTCCCCACAGACCTATTCACCCCATCCCTAATCGCACCGGAGCTAAGCTGGATAATCGGAGCTAGACAGCGTCGTGCTGTAGAGAACAGGCGAAAGTGCCTATTCGAGTAAGGGTCGGACCTTGAGAGAGATGTTAGTAAGTTCCCCGTGGCTACCGAACCGTTGTCTTTTCACCCATGGTACTCATCTTGTCGTTCTCAACAATATCGTTTGTCTAACCCATCATGCGTATAGGTTCTGTTGCTTTGCCCCTAGTGGGTGGCCTTGCTACAGTCGCGGCCAACTCGGTCAGTGCTGGTTGCCGTGCACTGACGAACCCCCTTGGAGATGCGGTTTTCTCTCGTAACACCGAGGTCTACAAATACGAATCAAAGAACTTCTGGTCCAACACCGAGATCTTGTCTCCAGGATGCGTCTTCCGTCCGCAGTCTACCGAGCAACTCGCTGAAGGATTGGACGTGCTTGTTCACGCCAATGCCGACTTTGCTGTGCGTGGTGGCGGCCACATGGGTATCAAGGTTTGTCTCCACGCCCAAGAGTTTTGGACTCTGTCAGTAACGAAGCGCGGCTGCTAACCGTTTGCAGGGTGCGAATAACATTAATGGGGGTGTTCTCGTGGTCATGTCAAATCTCACCACCCTGCAATTGAACGACGATCAGTCCATCGTCTCGGTCGGCCCCGCATACAGGTAGGCCCTTCATATAGCTTCTCTGCAATGAAGATCGTAACTGATTTTGTGATAGATGGCAGGACGTTTATGCTTTCCTCGCCAAACACGACCTAACAGCTGCAGGTGGTCGTCTCGGCCCTGTCGGTGTTCCTGGCTTGCTTCTCGCCGGAGGTGTCAACTTCTACGGCAATCAGGTGGGCTTTGGATGTGACACTGTCGTGAACTACGAGGTCGTTCTGGCCGATGGTTCCGTCGTGCAAGCAAACAAGTCAAGCAACGCCGATCTCTTCTGGGCCTTGAAGGGCGGTAGCAGCAACTTCGGTCTGGTCACCCGCTTCGACGTCGAGACGATCAAGTCACGGAAGGTCTGGGCTGGTGCTCACACTGTTGCAGCTCAATATGTTGATCGCTTCCTGGCTGTAAGTTGCCCATTCATCTACCAATAGTTGCACCTCTTTCTGACAGTATACCAGGCCGCCGCGACGTACGCTTCCGACATCTCCGACCCCAAGACTCACATTGTCCCTGCTCTCGTACCTGGTGACTCGACCCTAGCCTCAGTAATTCTCTTTTATGACAGTGAAACCGAAAGCTACCCAGAGATTTTCAAGCCCTTCACCGATATTCCTTCCGTGAGCAGCACGGTCGGGTTCAAGACTGTTGCTGAGTTTGCAGCCGAGACTGGAGAGATGGTTGTGGAAGGTATCAAGTAAGACAAAGACAGGTCAGTATTCCCGAGCAAAGAATTCCGCTAATCTTACTCACTATAGTGATGTCTTTGTTGCTGGATCAGTCACGGGTGCCTCCTATGAGGAACTTCACCAGGGCATCAGCATTATCAACACCACTTTCTTCAACCAGCTTCCTAAGCTGTACAAGCAGATTCCCACCTCCAATATCTCCACCATTCAGCTGGATTGGCAGCCCATTGGTGCCGACTGGATGAAGGCATCCGAGGCTCGTGGTGGCAATGCCCTCGGCCTGGATTCCTCAAAGACCTACCTCTGCTACGCCGAGGTTGTCGAGTGGATTGGATCGGCATACGACGATATTGTTGCTGAGTGGGTGGAGGAAACCACCTATGCGATCAACAATGCCACCCAGAAGGCTGGTCTCTATGACCCCTTCAACTATATGGGTGACGCTGCTGGATTCCAGTCGATCTTCCCTGGATATGGTGAGAAGAACCACCAGAAGCTGATCTCGATCGCGCAAAAGTACGATCCGCACAGTGTTTTCCAGACGTTGATGCCTGGAGGATTCAAGATTTATTGAGAGTCGCATTAAAAATGGACCCCACCCGAACAACCACACACACACACACACACACACACAAATTTTGTATCAAGGGTTACAATAGTAATGTGGCTTGTGATATGCACTAAATAATGATAGACATATTTCCGGAAATCCAAATTTAGCAGCAGCAATATTCCTCAGCGCCACATTGACAGGCCAAGAAAATGACGCATGTTGAAGAAAAGAGCTGTGGAGGTTTGGGATTTCGACCCCAACCCATAGAGGCGGATGGTCCCACACCCATAGGCAAACCAGTCAACAGCTATTTTTTGGCAAAAGAAATTGAAGGCTTTGAGAACATCTTTCGCACGCGAAATAGAGAATACCTGTAGAGAATGAAACGATAATTACGTTCTCTAGCACGTGGCACACATCGCTCTATATTCTTGTGTTTTTGTAATCGCTAGGCCGATGGTGAGAGTGAGTATAGTTTTGTTCAAGATACACCGTCGAACGGTTGCTTCTGATCAAGTGGGTGATAAATGGCGTCAGCAAGAGCTGGTTCAAGATCTAGCCTGAAGTACTAGATCGAGGCTGTTGTTTCGAAGCTAGTACCGGGAAAGGATCGACAGGTACAATTGCATTCAAGTCATACGTATACGTGATTGGGGCACCGGCTATGTCCGAGTTGCTAAGGAGATATGTCGAGCTGGCGCTCTGCTTCTTCTACTGGCCAGCCTTACAACCATGGGAGCCGCTTAATTAAGCGGGCTAGCCAATAACCGGAGATGATCGATTGAGCAAGCCGATCAGACCTTTCTTCGCAACTACAACCTTGTTCGGATCTTAGACACTGACCAAATTCTGGTTCAATGTTCATACATAGCCTTGTCTATTTTCAGCCGAAACTAGATCTTCAACATGACTCTCCCCTCTAAACTTCATTGTCAACTATTCAGCTACGGCTATTTCTTCAATCCAATAACTAGGTAGATGGATGTGGAGACCTGACAGGGAGCCATCAAATCTGCCTCGGGTCAAGACAATCCAGCCTTCCCAGCATGATTTGGTATATATGTCTTCCTTCTGTGCTCCCATTTGAAGAAAGCCCGAAGTTGTTCAGCCTCCAGATGTTAACCGTTCAGAATGTCTTCCTCGAGGGTTATCAGTCAGGCATGCGGAGAATGCCGAACACGCAAAATCAAGGTCCGCATCATTCTCTCCATTTATCGATATTTGGTTATTAACTCTTTATTTTACGAGAAGTGTGATCTTCAGCAGCCTTCTTGTACTCGATGCATTAAATCAGGTCGCCAATGCCCTGGATATTGAGACCAGCTGGCCCTCCGCTTTCGAGATGAAAGTCAGATAGTCGCCCAGAGACCAAAAGCCAAAAACCACTCTTCGCCAACCGTCGGTCGCCGTAAACAAAGATCACTCATGGAGGAATCGTTTGAAAACACTCTGGCGACAGACAAACTTGCTCAGAGAGGTGAATTATTCTTGTTACCCATCAACTTATTTATGGTAGATGTCCAGGAAAGGGCAGCATGTTATTTCTTCGAGGTATTTGACTGGGTCGGTGCTTCAACTTTGATTGAAGGCTCATTTGATTATAGAGTAGATTCATCGAACGCACCTTTGGGTGAGCAAGCCTTATTGGCCGGCATTACTGCCGTTGGAAAAGCCTCTCTTGCAAATCTTTATCAGTCAAATACCTTAAGAGAATCAGCGAGTGATGACTACGTTACAACACTCAACCTAGTGAGCACGGCAATACGTGATGCTCAACAAATAAAGGAAGACTCAACCTTGATTACGATTTTCTTGCTGTCTATTTTCGAGGTGAGTTCAGGTATTAGGCTGTTCGTAAATGATGATGCTTTGCTAAAAATGGGGATACAGATGAAAGTTGGCCAAGAAATAAAATCTATCAATAACTGTTTAAACCATATTGTTGGTGCTTCAAATATTCTACTATCACGGGAGCATGATAGTCTTCTAAAAGCTTCCTCGCCTGAAGGTTCTCCAGTCTGTGAAATACAATTGTAAAGGTCTCATTCAACCTTGAAAAAATCATGAACAAAGCTAATTAAAGCCCCTAGGTCATTTACTACATTTGTCGCAAATTACCCGTACCTCCGGTAATACTCAAATTTTCCAACCAGATAGCATCAACCACCCGTGCTCCTCACAGTGCTGCCTTGCGTGACCTGGCAGCAATCATGGCAAATCTGGCAAAGGTTCGCCAAAAAATCGATATCGGCGAATTAAAGATTCACAACATATTTTGGGTAATCTAAATTCTATTGAATCTGAGCTCGAAGAGTGGGGAAGCAACATTTCCCCAATTTGCTACTACGACTCCGTCTCGACGCCAACGCCATTTCAGATAACTCCTGACGAGTCACTCCTCCCATATAGAACATATTCCCACAAATAAACAAAATTCTGGGTGGCAAATATGTGGAACGAATATCGCACCACGAAGTTCCAAATTTACGATATGATATTGACACACTTGCGTCCTCGAGCTACGCTTACTGATGGTGCTCCTGATTGCGAGGGTGCTCGAGCACAATGCTCAAGGGCTCGAAGCCAAATGGCGCAGCTTTCTGAAGAAATATGCTGCAGTGTTCCATATATTCTCGGCCTACTTACTCAAGAGCGCCGTGACTCTCCAAAGCCAGCCGTAAGAAATTCCTGTGGTGCTTTTGTCCTCCTCTGGCCTCTGATGGTCGCAGCAATTGCGCAACACTACCCTTCACCCACCTCCGAGTTTGTTTTCAACTGTTTTGATTTTATTTCACGTGGTATGGGTATTCAGCAAGCCACTGCTTTCTGAGATTGGGTAATCTCTTCATCTGCGCAATATATTTGGGCTGACTATATTTGGCTGCCTGAGATACTAACATAACTAGTAGTATAATAGACAGCAATATGATATCATTTGGTAAAAGTCATCATGGGTTTTCAGCATCAGATAGAGTTTTCGAATGCCAAAATCTCGCACCAATTGAACTTTACTAATAAACATAGACGAAGTCCTCATTCTGGAGATCTGTCATGTCTGAAAACCCATTGTCGGTCACATTCTGATCGCGGATCTCATTGACATCCTCTAGCTCGACGGCTTTATTCGGCTCAATCTTATTTTTTGTCATCATTGACTCATCAACGACGACTGCCGATTTGCCGAGTGCTTCTCTTTGTCGGGAGTGTTTCTTATTGAGAAAGACTAGATAGAGATCCATGAGACTACCATGGAAAATTCAGAAGGTTAGCATGACTCCATTAGTTATTCCTGTTCAACTAGCAATTTACTTACATTGCAAAAATTGCCACCACAACAAACATAATCAAGTTAGCAATCAAACCTGGTCGATACTCTGGAGCCTGCGAAGGAGAGTATAGCTGGGGGCCAATAACCTAGCAAATCAATGGTTAGACATGGAAAAGGTAGGGCTTATGTAGTGGAATTACATTTCCGGTACACATTCCTACAAGGACAACCGCTGATGTACACTTCCTCTTGGTATCACCAGCCGTATTTTGTGCCTCCCATGTGTAAATTAACGGCGTAATCGCAGCCATAGTGGATACCTATCTAATGATTAAAACGATTATGCACGGATTCAATAAAGGTTTATAAACTCACCAGGTAGTAGCCGAACAAAAGGACGCCCTTGTTGTCTCGTGGAGTGACAAGCATGATGATTGTACCGATTGCCGCAAGAATCGCGAAAAATACAATCACCAGCCCTTTTGTCTTGAAACGGGTGGCCACCCACCCGCCTCCAATTATTGCAACTATCTGAATTGCCCCGAATGGAAGATTAAACAGGATTGATTGAAAGCTGGTATAGCCAAATGATTTGACAATGAGGCTACCAAAGCTGCTGATACCGCCACTCGGGATTCTTCGACAATATTGTTAGATAAGATATGTCATGAGTGAATAAAAAGGGACTTACGAGATGGCAATGATGAGAAAAAACCAGCTCCAAGTCTTCAAGTCGTAAAAGGTTTCCCATACGTGATCCCAGCGCCATTGTCTCGATACAATTCCCATCTGGTTAGCGCGTAAACGTTGAACAGCAATAAACTTCTCTCGATCACTCAGGCATTTTGCCTCCATTGGAGAATCAGGCATCAATAACAAGACGAATGCGGAATATACAATTGTCAATAGCCCGCAAAACATAAATATTGTTTGATACGAATACAGAGTATCACTCTGTATATGGCCAAGGCCATATGTGAACAGGCTTCCAATCTGTGATAGGATGGATGTTATTTATGGCAGGTGAAAGGCAAGACGGGCTCAAGACCTGTCAGATCGACTTACGATAAACGTGAGACCATTCATACCGTTCCATAGTGCTGCACGTAGTGTTTGTTCGCTCCGCCGCCACCACATTTGTGTTACAGCGATGCAAGAGGGTGCTGCATAATGGTCATCAGCATGTCCACAAGCTAGGTAGCCGCCGTATACCAAGGCAAAAATTGCAGAGAGAAATTGAAAACGTACCAATCATAGATTCAAAAGCCCCAAGAATAAAACGCATTGCAAGTAAGCTTTTGAACTCCGTACACGCAGCTGTGATCGTGAGAGCGCTTCCCCATAGAAAGACAGCTGTGCCAATGACCTTCCCTGTGGGTGCTTTTACAAGCAAAACCGCGGCCAAGGGCTGCATCACAAGCTGGGAAAGATATAGGATCGAACCCAGCCACGAATACTGCTGGCCAACAAGATGCGTGTCCTCGACTAGTCCAAATATCGATACGTAAGAGAGACACGATTTATCAAGCTGCTGAAAGAAGTAAGCGCCTAGTAATAGGGGCAAGACACGCATGTCGATGCGTCGTAGAACCTGCTTTTCCTCTTCAAACGTGAAGTTGCGATTGTCGTCGCCATTATTTACGCTGTCAAGGAACTGAGCAACCTGTTTGCCGGCCGACGACTGAGGATTTGGAGATTCTTCAGCGACCGGCAATATGGCATCAGGTGCCGAATTATTTGCCGTCATGGCTGTATTCATGTATTAAATGAGCTCGAAGAGGGAGTAATGTTGAGAACTAAAAGTTGGAAATTTCGAACTCGGACAAGCCCAGTGACTTTAGATAATTTTGGGTTTCTTTCACTCCTCATTTCACTCAAAAGTATAGCTAGTTACATGGCAATAGGTTCTTGAAGGATGAGGCCTGCCCCCCACACTATATACTTTCCCCGCACCAAGACCCCCAGATTCCAACCCCAGACAATTAATTCCACCAATAAATGAAAGTCCGGATGAATGCGATAAGATCATACATGATATTTACTCCTTTAGTTTATAATATTCAGGCTGAACTAAGAAGAGTCTTGGCTGTGATAGTCCCTTACTCGTGAGCTTAACTCGTTTCCGAGGTTCTACCGAAACGGGGCATCACCTCAGTAGTTTAACAGCGCTGATACTGACATCTAGAGATATTTTGAGGACATGAGTTAGTAACTGCAGAAAAATGTCCGCCTTCCTCAAGTATTTTCAGAAACGTCCCAGGGGCGACTCGATTATTTTTGCGGACGAGTTCAGTTGGCACACAGAAGCTCTGCGGAGTAAGATGAGATCTTTGCAGGCATTCTGCAAGGAGATTAGATGAACGGGAATTTAAATTCATGTTCCAAATCTATCATATATCATATCAGTGGTTTCCTCCATCCAGATTCCTCATTTCAAGCATCATATGGTGTTTCTTTCCTCATTATGTAAACCTCCCCGATCAAAACGGTACATCCAACCGCCATAGCGATCGCGATAATAGGAAGGTTGACGCGCGCAAACTCGATGCTACCCACACGAATGTATTTTCTTGCAAGTATATCCCGCCACAAAAGACCAGCTAGTGACGCACTGAAGGCCGTGCTGAACGCGCCAAAGTTGACGCCAAGTGCCATGCTATAAACCGTGGCCCAGAAGGTACGGTCACTGATCGGAATACCGCTGACATTATGAATTTCTTGCCAGGCTTGAACGACACGAGAAAGGAGAATTGTTGTTCCAATATTTGTCCCGGCGAACTAGTTTTCAAAAATTCACTTGTTAGTAAATCGCTAGATAGAAGGTTCATGTACCAGTAAAGACTCACATTGCAAAGAATCGCAGACAAAAAGCCCATGCCACCAACTGCACCGACTGTTCCGGTCTTCTCAACCCAATGGTCCCACCCATAGGCAAATACAGGAACCCATCCTTTGGTAACCAAAGCTTGCACAAGTACAAACATGGCCAGGGCAAACGGAACCAGCGGAAAAGGAAGGTGTGAAAGCACGACTGTGACAGTTGGAAATGTCTCTTGTAGCCAGACATAGGCATTTTCACAGAGGGACACTAGGGTTGTTGGTTGATTTGAGTCCTCTTGTCCTCTACCGGCTCGCCTTTCGGAGTCTATACCATTGGTAACATATGACTGGGCCTTTTCTAGTTGAGTCGTGACATCCAGTTCTCCACTAGCCTTTGAGACTGAACTCGGAGACTGGACTTCAGGGAAGGGCTCCTTCTCGCCTAAAATCGGTGCTGGAAGCGATGTCTCGTCGCAGTCACGCGAAGGTCTTGTGTCCATGGTAATCTTTATAGCATCGGGCTGGCTGGTTATTTTCAAACTCTTCGAGAAGAAGTCGGTTGTTCTAGGCTGCCGATTTTCGATATTCTCCTGAGCATTTTGTTCTGGGGAATTTCGGAGTGATTTCCGATGTTCACGCTCAGCTTTTACGGCTTCATGTTGTTGTCGGCCCACGGCAGCAATCCGGCGCGTCTCATGTCGATGAATCCAGCCTGTCCCGAGATCCCAGCAGAGCATCACGAAAGCGGCAGGTAATGTAACCCAGAAGACGGGACGGTCGTGGCCGGAATTGCTAGCGGCGTTGATAGCAAGGATGGTGATGAGGGTCGCAGCCATGATGATGGCGCCAAAAGCCGCACCTCCCTTGTCCAGGAAAGGGTTCATAATTTCTTCCAGCGAGAGAAGGGTTCCATTCTCTTCATTTACCCCCTCCTCCTCCTCTTCTTCAGCGCCTCCTCTAGCGTGGGGTATATTCGGATTCACTGGGGGGTTTGCCCCTGGCTTCCTCTGGGAGCTCATGCATTTCAATAGTCACCGGAATCAAAGATTCATCCGCAAAAATGATATAAAGCAGGAATGGGAAAACGACGATAGCAGTCACCACTACCGGTACGATCATGTTCACTGTGTACACAAGGAATTTGATGTTGAAAGCACCCGCCAGAACCAAATTTGTCGGGTTTGAGGACACCAGGATTGCGGATGCGATATTAGCGACGGCGAACTGGCTATGTATCCAAGCTCTTGGGTGAACGATATTACTAGACACGCGTGTCATGTAAGCGAGGAAGGCCGTGCCGGATAAAATAATAGGGTCGTTTCCGATAAAGCTTCCCAGCGCGAAGAAGAATGTGTAGAGGTAGAAGAAGAGTCGATGGCCCACCCCGTCACCTTTTTGGAGTACCTTGAAAGCTAAATATCGGATGAGGCCAGAAGCGTCGATCGAAATGGCGATATAAGCCAATGTAAGAAAAAAGACCAAAATGTCGATTGGTGAGATTCCATCTGCGCCAACAGTCCCGTCATGAACTTCCTGTCGCCCGATAGCCAAAATTGCGAGTAGAAACAAGTCTGCTATCAACGGTGCGGTGACAAAGTTCAGAGGCAGGTTCAGCCGTACAAGCAAACTCGGCTTGCCGTTATTTTTGGGGGGGATTTCACGACGACGTATAATTCGTAAAGCCGCCAATCCATCCAGGACTGCGTTGTGAAGCCATCGGGGGATGTAGAATGGGATATGGAAAGGAAAGAGTACGACAATATCTATGGGGATTAAAAAAGAAATTCATGATTAGTGCCACTCGAAGCCAATTTGCGACAGTTGCGCCAACTCACTAGTGAGAACAAAAATAATCAGAGTGATTATTGATCGCCAATCTTTGATTTGTTCGGTATCCAGATTTTCAGCCATGGCCAGATAGTTTCCCCTCACGCCCGTGGGCGGTAAATAGAACGAGAGGTTTGTCGCGCGAGGAAATATGTTGGGAAATGAGACATGCGTGGCGGAAATGCCTGTCTATTGAGGAGCAGGAGCCCCGTCAGTTTTGATCCAGCGTATGCGACTGAGCGGCATTTTTAAGAAAAACCTGGAATGTCAAGGATGGGAGAAACTCCTACATTAAGATATTTAAACTTCGTTTATTCCGCAGAGCGGATTCTGGAATAGCGCCACACGGAGGGCTGATCTGCTCGTAGCCGTGTCTTTTGAGGAATGAAGGGTCCAGGATTAGATTCCTCGCATGATCAAGTTGGCGGTGAGAATCTAGCAAGCAAGAAGTCCTCCTCGTAGACCTGAAGGTCTTTAAGGCTGATAATTGCTGTGTATTTATTCTCTTTATTTTCTCTCTTTTCTCTTTTTTCTTTTCTAGGGCTGTGAAGGAATTCTGGGCTTCTGAGTTGAGCTAATAGCGGGTGGTGGGTTAGCAAAAAAAATCCAGTGTCTAAGCCTCAACGATTCAGCAATCAGAGAAAGCACAAATGGCACGGGTGGGTGAGAACCGTCTTGATTAGTCTAGTTTCTAGGGTCTAAGCCTCGAAGAGCAGGCATTAGACTAGTAATTACTAGTAAAGAAAGGCCAAGACTTTGGCTGCCCGAAACCCCGCGTGGATCATTCATCGCACTTGTAGACTGTAGTTTCCATCATCAGATCTAGAACTAACTGAAATACCTTATTCACTATGTTGACATGTCAACTTGCTGCTGCAGTGCTTGATTCAGCCCAGGTATCGGCTCCTCCTCCACCCCTCATAAATCACATTTCACTTCTGTGGGATTACTGGTCACGCCAGAAAACATGAAGCGAGATGCACCGTGCCCGATGGACCAACCAGTGCGCCCGCTAATTTGCCCGACTCGTATTCAGCGCCCCAGCTGCTGCGGACGCCCGGGTTGCTATCACGAGGGCTCTTGCCCGGTTTGAGCGACAACGCAGTGGGGCAGGTTTGCCCCGGGATACCAATCGTCCCCGGACTGAAGTGATTGACTTGTGCAAATGAGGCTCCCGCTGACGAGAAGATATGCAGGGTGGTATGTGCTTAGCTCGCTTTTTTTGACAATCCTAAACCCGGGCGGACGCGCCCTTTTCATCATGAACTTGTGGATTTCTCTCGCCCTTTGTCCATTCTGATCTTGATATCATGAACGGAGATGCCAACATGCAACAGAAGAAGCTAGTGTCGACCAAGTCAACATATGCAACCATACTTTTTATCATAAACCGCGTGGTCCAGGGTATGGATGATTAGCAATGCCGGCGATTCCATTCCCTGCATACCTGCTGGAGAGCCAGCTCGTGCAACGCAGTACAAATATCCACAATGCCACTCATTCAGGTTTAGATGTTGTTTGCGCTTGGCCGGTGTCTGGGCAATATGGACCTGGAACCCGTGTTCTGTATGACCCTCAAGGAAACTGTACCAGCAATATTTCGGAATCCTAACATCGTGTGCAGGTACTATGTTTTGGTGGCGGCTTGTGTATTTGCTCGCAAAGCAGAATGGATTCGAAATGCGGGTCTTGCGGCTGTACTACTCTTCCCCGCTGTCGCTGCTCTCCACGGAATTGTCTTAGCGACCTTGCATCGAGAAGGTGTGTTCATTCTTCCAGAGAAGGGGGACCCCAGAATCGGACCCTTCCCTTTGATCAAACCAGTATCTAATAAATATAGGGGCGGTTGATATGGATGTCTATGGAGCATTTCAGTTATGTTCGATTGGAATTTTAACCGCCCCGGCCACGGTCAAGCTCTCGAAAACATACTTCAATAACCCCGGTCGCAATATGATATTTCTCTGGACAGGACTTATCCTCGCGGGCCTTCTTAGTTTGACAGTAGAATTCATTCGTATTGAATCTACAAGCTGTCCAATTGACGACCCAGCAACCATAGAATGGGCGGCCAAGAACCACACCTTCCCTTACAACATCTCTCCTTCCTGTGGCATGGTTTGTGGAGAAAATGGTCCTTTCTCCCCTTTACGACAAGGTGCGGCTGACAACATTTACGTGATACCTGTGCCGCATGCGTTAACTTTCAATACCGCTACTCTTATTTCTGCTGCGTGTTGTGTCCCTGCAATTCTATCATTGGTGTCAACTTGGATCAAAATCCTCGAGTATAACTGGGAAACATTTTCCTCTCGCTATGTGACCTCGACCAATTCAACCGATTCGACCGAAAAATCCGATGAGCGACCGATTAAAGGAACAAATGGAGCCACCCCAAAGCAGATGAATGGAATTGCTGCAAGGATAAGAGGGTGGTTGACGCTCATTGAAATTCCCGTGTTCGTTGCGGCGGTTCTGGCTATTTTAGTCAAGGGCGAGATGAACTTTTTCAGCGAACCAGTCATTTATCAGACCGAGCCGATTTCTAGCATTGGTGAGCCTTGAGGATATCCCTGCTGCCCTCGCGGTCGTACGAGCTTGAGTGAAAATTTACTAATGAAGTACCGTCTTATACTAGGTCAATGGGCCCCGATTGTTGGTACAGGGCTTGCCGCAATCGGATCGTTGTATGTTCTTTTTGCCGCGACTATGGACGCCGACGAGAGTGAGAATGATGAACAAGAAATTCGTTTGGATGCAGATACCAATGCGGATGCCAGTGAGCACAACTCGAACTGTACAGAGTATACAAGCCGAGGCAATAGTCCAGAGTCACTGGACAGCATCAGTCCCCAGCGCAGTTCTCAAATGATTAATGGGAGTCCCTCTACAGAGATAGTGAGGACAAGCACGCAAGCTTCTATAAGCCCCAGACTCCCACGCACAGCAACCAACCAAAGCGAAAGGTCTGTTCATTCGGGCGGAAGGCGGAAGGTGACTCAATATCTTAATATAGCAAGTATGAAACTTGCCGCCAAGGCACATAATCAATTCCAAGATTCAGGGTATCACGCGAAAGGACTTTCAAGCTTTCCGGAAGTCCCAGGCGAAATCTTTCGGAATGAAAATTTACCAGAGATTCAAAGATCTTATTCTCCGATCCCTCGCTCCAGGGCTAGCAGCTTTATTGGGTCCGAGTCGTCTCATGGAGAAGGCAGCTCACGAGTACCACTGGAAATTCCTCGACATCTTTCACTACCAGGGCCACCAACTCCGACGCGTTCAATCACGCGACCACGGCATGCTTATACGTTGCCATCAAGAAGTGGGTCATGTGCAGTTGCTGGAGAGAATCTTGGTGACACTCTTGATAAGGTTCCATTCACTCGAGACACGAGTATAGCAACCGCAGCAGCAACAAATATTGCCCATGCAAGCCGGACGTCATCTGCGTTTGAAGTTAGTCCCGCAACTCTCACGCCTAACAGCCAAGAAGCGCCAAAAATCGTCGTTTCTTCCGATTAAGAAACGGTTGCCGGCACCTTTGAGTAGGTGTACTACTATAGAGGATCATCCGGTTAGAGAATTATTGTACATACTACTAGTATATTTCGTTAATAAGTATTAACTTCAACAACAAATATCAGTTAATACTTCATGATATCAAAATGACAGAGAATAATCGAACTTGTCGATGTTGATTAACAAGCTAAGAATATGATCCAGGCTGGCTATCGAGATATGAATACTAGAGTATGTTGTAAAAGTCGCTGAGCTCTCATATCTTGACTTCATTCGGGGATCTTCTAATCTCGCCAGTAAAGCTTTTAGGCAAGGTTTTGGCCTTTCTTATCATGGCGTTCCCAAGCTGGCATTCAGCGACCAGGGTTTCCAGAAAAACACAACACGGAGTTATCGGCTGGTAGGTTCATTTTTTCAGAGAACAGTGGAGTTCGACGGCGTACGGTTTCGAAATGGTGCTCATAGCCTGATCAAGTTGCATTTCTAGTGACCAGAGATCTGACAATTGAAAACAAACACCTTGCCTTTTGTTGATAATTGCTTTGATGACCACGTAAACTGATCTTTCACCTCCCCGGAGCTCCCCCCCGATAGGCGTTGGATCGCTTCATTGGGCCAGAGACGCTCGTAAATCTCTCTTCCCTTGATCCATTCGTCCCAGAGTCTGTTAGAGCTATAGCTGTTTAGCGCTCAATTCGGATTATTCACAAGTCGATGCTCCCTCTCACCTCAAATTGAATACGTTTGGTGCTAAGTTGTAAGCACGAAGCAGGATGCAGGTGACCACGACATCGTAAGGCTTGCGACCCGTTTTGATAATGTTAAAAGTCCCCTTTTTCTCCTTTGATAACCAGGGACTCGCCGCTGTTGCCTCGCACACCATTCAGATAGATTCCATGTTCGGTATCCGCAAGTATCGGCGTGATTATTTCGTCGTCGTGGGATGGACCCGTTATTTCAACGCGCACAGCCTCGACGATTCTGGGCACGTCTCGAATGAGCTGGGGCCAGGAAGTGTGCCATTCGGGAGCGATCGGGTCAAGGATTTGATAGTAGTGAGTGTGCCTATTATCGGTCGGTGGTTAGTATTGGACATCTTTCAGATTCGGTGAATAGCCATACCCGATGATGCTAGATTGGATGACAGTAATTCACCCTGGGGCAGTCGATAAAGTTTGCCCAGAGATTAGTGATGGATAAAAGATTCAAGTTTGAAGATGGCGGTGGGTGATTGGAGATGAGTGATGAAGGAAAGAAGTCCCCATGTTGACTTGAAGTTTGGTGCCCAGAGCCTTCCGGTTGAAAATGTAGAAGAAAGATACCTAGTAGCCCAGGCTCCAACCGGGAAACCACCCTCATCAAGCAGGTACCTACTATACTACTACTACTCTGTACTGTTAATCGTTGTTCAGCCTGATTGTATGGAACAGGTCTATCAAAGCGATTTTAATATTCGATTCATTCAAGTTCCAAGGTTGAGAACGCCGTATGCTAACATGAAGATCTGTGAACTGAATGATAAATAGTAGTTAGACTAGTAGGAAGATCGCTGGTAGGCATATATGCTATTTAAACTTGAAGGCGTACCACTGGCACCCGTCATGCGACTGCGCCAATTTGGCCAACCTTGGAATAGCAACCTTCAAGTTGGAAATACCTAGGTACCAAAAGCTCCTGCCTACTTGTTCAACTCAAGCAGTTCCATTGCATCATTTTCTTTGAGCCAGGTCTCAAATGTTTGTGTTTCGATGCGGGTCTTCAGCTGGGCAGGTTCAATCACATTAGGGACCCCCGCGCAGTAGCTATACTCTCCCAGATAGGCAGCACCCATGAGAATTTCTACCGGCACTCCAGTTTTCTCGCTCATTGCTTCCATGGTCAACTGGATTAGCTTCACCTCCTTCCCAAGAGTCTTAGTCCATATGGCCCCTACCTCTCCCACCGAGAGGTAATCATCATATGCGAGCAGCCTTGTGCGTGGCTCTTCATCTTCCACCAAGGCTCTCACAAATGGGCCTGTAGACCGAGGAACATTGATGATTGGGAAACGAGTTTCCTTGCCTGTTGGCAAAATAGACACGTAATTCTCACTTTCGGGGTCGAATCTAGGATAGAGGAACGCATTGGTGATGTAGGCTCCGATATAGACGTAGGAGGTCTTTCGGGCCAATTCCAGCTGCTGGCCTTCAATATACTCGACAATGTTGGCTTTTGTCTCCCAGTGATAGGAAGAAGGGTATTTCCCGTTAGATGCTTTGCTCATGGGGCCCAGTGCTGAGTAGATAAATCGCTCCAGGGTTGGAATGGTTGCTGCGATTTTGGCCGCATTCTTCCCGTGCATCACTTCGATCTCGTAGGCTTCTTGGGAAGCCGTAACTGGGTCTTTCCCCAAAGATATAGCATTGCGGAACGGAATCCAAAAGTCTGTGTTCAGGAAAATAGCGTGGACATTGTCAAAGGCTCTTTGAAGGGAGGTTTCATCTTCGAGGTCCCCTCGGACAAGTTCGGCACCTATCTTCTCAAGATTCATGGCCTTTTCTGAGGTTGGCTGGCGAGTCAGGCAGCGAACATGCCAGTTGGGAAGTTGTAAGAAGGTGCGAGCAACGGAAGCCCCTTGGGTGCCAGTTGCACCAACGATTGTGATTGTCTTCTGTGCGGACATTTTCGACTGGAGACGCGGAATCGGTTGATGAAACTCGATAATTGAAGAATAAGTGGAACTGACTTGAAGGTCTTCCTTTGTTTCTTTATTTTCGGCGTTAATTATAAGCCCTTTTATAAAGGAAGAAAGCTGTAAGGTGAGAACCCAGACAATTCTGGAAGATATAGTTCCTGCATGCTGATTGGCCGATGCGCGTAAGCCAGTCAGCCAGCGCGGGTTTCGGGGTTAAGCGTAGCCCCGGGCACATCCCGGCTCAATCTTCCATCTTACTCACATCATTTCCCTTCTGTGGATTGGACGTCCACAGGCCGAATCGGGGTAATCTATTGCCAGGCCGGGAGAACTGCCTGGTTACATGACATGGCTGCCTCAATTCATGAGAACACCCACAATGCGGAAAGTTCATCGAAGGCGCCAAAGAAGCGGGTCATTACGCCTGCCCGCAAAGCACAGAACAGAGCCGCCCAGCAAGCCTATCGTACGTTACACTATGCGAATTGAAATCAATGTCTAACGTTTCATCTTTGAAGGGAAGCGACAAAGCGAGCGCAAGGCTCAAGCGATCTCGCAGCGAGGGGTTACCAAGAACTTGGCCCCCCGACCCTCAGGAGCGTCCCAAGAGGAGAGCTCTCCGGTTTCCGAGCCCGAGTCTGCAACATCCCGGAGACCATCGTCAGAGATATCGGATTTGAAGTTTTCCCAAAGGGCGACTCGTATACCCCTCGCTGATCCGATCGCGAACACTCTGCGAACCCCCCGGGATACTATTTGGGAGGCTGTTCTCAATAACGCCGTCTGTCTTGGATTCGATCTAAGCCGACTCGCAGATTGTCGCCGACCTTACATATCCCCTTTCTTCAAGTCGATTACACCACAGGATGAGCCCCAGCAAGTTGTTGCGTCTACATTTGATGCCACAATACCGGTTCATCTGCAGCCGACGATGGCCCAGATCCTAATTCCACACCACGCAAGTCTCGATCTGATACCATTACCCCTTCTCCGCGATCGAGTGATCATGATGTCTTTTGCAATGCCACGGATCTTTGACCTTTGGGACCTGAAGCTAGATATATACGTACACCACGCGCTAGTTTATCAATCTGGTGGATCCCATCGTGAAAACCAATCGTGGGACCAAAGTAGCTGGAAAGCCACATCTTGGTTCTTGCGAAAGTGGTGTTTGGACTGGATCAAGGAGCTGGCGGTAAGCGAAGACCCCTGAATAAGATGTTTGCTTGAGTCAAAGGCACGGGCTAGAATCGGGAAAGTTTTCCTTGTGTCCACAAAACGTGCTATTCTTGACACAAGCATGGACAGGCAGCGTTTTGCAAGGACGGCTATCTTCCCAATATGCTGATAACCCAATGGCATAGCACTGCTATCTCTTGTTTCGGAAGAGCTCCGCATCGAAATGCGGGGAAGATAGCGGGTGCGAGTTGCCGAGAGTCGGATATCTGTCCGGGGCAGACTCCCGACTCACTCGCCGGCTAGATGGCTTTCTCCTCTCCCTATACACCATTCGTGGAACTAATTGATAGCCTCGCATGGTTGTCAAACTACCGCCCATTTCAGATTTAGAATCCCGTGAAAATGGATCTGAGTACTGCAGACAGGCGGAGAAGGCGCCGGCGCGTTGCAGATGTGGATCGAAAGAGGGCACCTCGAGCGTATGCCACCAGCCATTCCATCAATGCCGGAGTCGAAACTGACAATTCAAACAGATGTACTCTGTGTAAAAGGAGAAAAAGCAAATGCATTCCAATAAGAGGTCTCCCCCGAATAGATTCGCATGACAAATGCCAACGATGTTCAGTGGGAAACTTGGTCTGCAAATACGAGAAGTAAGACACCGCGCGCTATTGATAGTTTCGAGCTACTCACTTCCATCTTAGCGGGGAAAGCCTGCCAGGTACCGAACTACGTACCGAACTTCCAAAGCAATCACCTCCCCAAGCTCCAAAGACCTCGCCAACTCTCTCAGATCGCGGAGTTGTTGAAAACTCTGGGCTACCATCGCCAGCTTCCGTTTTATCGCATGGTCTATCAAAACATGTCATTGCCGACCAATCGAAACGAGTATTATGGCCAAACATTCTATCCCGGCTTCGGGAAGCATTTTCCCTTGACCCCCAACGCGCTCCGGAAGAACGAGAGATGGTTGCGATGCAAGCTGTATGTTTGTCCCACGATTCGAATAGTAGTTCGTGTATCTGACTACTTAAAGCGTATGATACAACCCAAGGGACTACATCCCTCTGAACTATCCAGATTGCACGCGGCTATCAATGCCTTTCCTCCTCGCCTAGTTGCCGATTTCCTGGTTTTCATATTCATTAAGCACGCGACCGATGTTTTTTTCTACTTTGATCAGGCGCAGATGCTCTCCGACATCGATGAATTCTACACGGACCCCAGATCATCTTTGAGGCTTGATCCAGCTTTTATCTGTCTCGCCATGGCGACATTCGCGCTTGGAAGTCAGTGGACACCTTTGGAGAGGCCTGAAGGGCTCGAGTCTGGCCAACAAAAAGACGACGTAGATTTAGGACGTGAATTTTCCTTTCACGCGAAGTCCCTCGTGCCTGATATCGTCGAACGCTCATGCTTGAGATCCATTCAGGCACCATTTGTCCTCGGTGTTTATTTCATGCCAGCAAGTGCAATTGGAGCATCCTATGTATTTCTAGGCCTGGCATTACGAAAGGCTTTAGCATCCGATCTCCATCTTGGTTCAGAAGATGGGGCCTTGACCGATATAGAAAAGGAAGTGAGGTGCCGTCTCTGGTGGTCGATCTTTTCGCTCGAACGGTATGTGATTCCTAGCCCAAGACTGCCATTACTTGACATCTTGCTTACCTTTTTCAGATGCACCACCGTGAAATTGAATCGACCTCGCTCCATTGATACCCAGATCATCACAGTACCATATCCCTCTAAATGCATAGCCCTTGATCAAGTCCAGAAATTCGAGAACCTTGATTGTCAGGTGGCATACGTTCGACTTATAAGATTACTCGACGAAATTGCCGGGGTTGCGTATGTTATCTCCCCATCTTAGAAGAGTGGCGGCGCTGACAAGACGAAGAGATGGATTGCCCGAGCCACCGGGCCTATCGCAGTCAAAATGGGAGGCGGATCTGAAATTATGGAAGCAATCTCTTCCCATTGATTTAAAGCTCGATCGAATGGGCCCAAGCGACTTGAAATACCGAGCCGTATCTCACCTTTATCTGAATTACTACTATGCACTTATTACCATGGGCAAAGTTGCACTGGTAACAGTCGCCAGGACGAAGTTAAAGCAAGCCGACGGCGAGATGCTGGACGTGAGTGACCATGTCAAGGAACTGGCAATTTGCTGCTCAAAAGCCGCAATCAAGACGCTTCAGCTATTTGAGAGCTTGAATAGGAGTCGGAAGATTACAAGATTCTCATTTACCGATTTTCAAGGATGCAGCATCGCAACCATAGTCACTTTGGTGTCCGGAATATTAGAGCGAGATTCATCGTACGACATTCGAGTCAATTTTGGCTTGAATTGCCTGCGGAAAATGGCTACAGGAAATATGACTGCAAAATTGGGAGTGAGGTTTGTGGAAGCAGTTCAATCTATCACAAATGAAGCAGCGAGAAAGCGGCAACTCGAAGCTTCTTTGCCCCCGGATACTTCGAACTCGATTCATTCTGGGTATTATCAGTGGGCAGAATGGCTCACAGTACAAGGGGACTCTCAAAGGCGGCCCGACTCTATGGTCCGTCTACACGAAGAATCTCCTTCAGCCAGGGAGAATAGGGACCAGAACTCAGTTCCGTGGTTGGCAGCACAATCCACATTCAGAGATACATCTACCTGGCAAATACAGATTGAACAAAACACCTCAGAGACATCATCAGCTCCTCAGAACTCTCTGAACGAGTCACCCGAGTCTTTACTGCCTATGGGGTATGATTTCTTTTCCACGCTACACAGCGATGAACATTCATTCTTGATGGGATTGACGGGACTGGATGCTTTGGACTTTTCTGGCCTGACTGTTCAACTCGAGTGATACTAGGTAAAATTACTCCTAACCATAGAATGGTGTCACTCAAAATGAAAAGATAAAGCAATTTCATTCATCTCTAAAATTCTCCCTTTATTCTGGCCGGGACTCTCGCCACTCTATTTTTGCCTCTGCCAATAGATAACAACTCAACTCCTACCCCTTCCGTTTCATATTCGTTAATTATACTTGACGCGAACAGGAATTTCAGAGTCTTCTTTCAGTGTGGTCCAGCGACTCTTGCATACTCGGCCATCTTTCATAACACCAAGAACATGCTCCTCGGGTCGATCAAATACAGTAACATCGTCGAGAGGGTTCTTGTTTAAAAAAACGACATCCGCTTGGAATCCATCTTTGATTTGACCAATGGATTCTTCCCAGCCCATCATCTTGGCCGGATTTATAGTTGCACTACGAAGAATCTCCAGCGATGAGAGAACCTGTGAGCGCAGAGCGAATTCCTGTGTCTGTGCTGATCCCAATGGACCAAGTAAATCGGAGCCATAGCACATCTTGACGCCCGCTTCAGAGGCAATTTTCAATGCATGAAGGCCTGACTCAAAAACTTGGGAGTTCTTTTCCTGCGACTCTGGTGGCAAGTAGCCCTTCCATTGGTCTGACGCCATCTGAGCATACGCGATCAGCGTGGGAGTGAGATATACACCCTTTTCCGCCATCAACTTTGCAGTCGCTGGATCAACGAAGTTTCCATGCTCAATTCCTTTAACACCATTGTCGATACAGTGTCTAATTGCCTTCACGGTGTAGGCGTGCGCGGTAACAAAAGTCCCGGCATTATCGGCACATTCCACCATCGCCTGCAGCTCGGCATTCGTGAATTGCAAATGCTCCAGCTTGTCCGTTGGTGATGCGACTCCGCCTGACCCCATAATCTTGATGAAGTCAGCACCACATCTGATCTCTTCTCGGACGGCTGCCATGCATTCAGGTACGCCGTTACAGAGCCGACCCAGGTGATTATTGCTGTGAAGGCCACCGCAGCATTCAGCTTGGTCATGGGGTCCTCGAAGGTCTCCATGACCTCCAAACTGCGACAAAGCATGTCCGGAGATGAACAAACGAGGTCCTGGGAATACATCATCGATTGCCTCTTTAAGAGGAAGTTGTGCGCCACCGCAATCGCGAACACTGGTGAAGCCTCGGTGGAGCATTTGGGCGGCCACAAATGGCTGCCTCAATAGTGATGAATGGTCGGAGTTCCCAAAAGCTTTTGAGAGATCTTTGTAGCCAGGCACTGCACAGAGGTGAACGTGTGCATCGAAGAGACCAGGGCATAAAAAGCGACCTTCACAGTCGATCACGGTCAAATCGGGAGGCAAGGGGGACTCTGGTGAAGAAGATGAGACAGATTGAATTTTGCCTTCGCGAGTGATGAGGCTAGCATTTTCCAGAATATTGCCTTCTTGTACGTCCACGATATTGGCATTCAGAAAGAGATATCCCCGCACTGCCGGTCGGGCCCAAGGTCTGATGTCAGAGCCTGGAACGGGTGGGTGATCTGGCATAGTGGAGAAGCACGGAATACTAGTAAACAAGGTGAAGTTGTCAACAATGCCAGCCACTTAGACGATTCTTCTGGGAAATTATCTGTTCAAATAAGAAAGGTAAAGTGACAGTGATGACTGAAAAATGGTCGTGCTGCAGATCGACTACGTCGGGTAGCTGGCCGTACAGATTGCCGACGTGGCATCGGATCGACGACCTCCCCCGCCTCGCATCACCCGCCCTACTTATCAAAAGCGCCAGTTGATCACTTCCAATTTCGTCGAAGATAGGAGTCCTCAGCATGTCGGTAAATCTGGGGTCTGCAGCTAGCCATATATCACCCCTTGTTGATCCTCCCACGGATTCTGAGTCCTTCAGCAGACCACATGCAGAACACGATTTCCATCTCCAATCCAAGATTTCTCTACTCCTTTTCCTTATTCATTCTGTACAGCTCAAGTCGTGTTCCCAGATTTCCTTGCGATGGATGATCCTGAGAAAAAGGACGATGCCCTCCGCAGGGATAGCGATATTGTCGCGGTCTCCGATGGCTATACCGCTGAAGAGGAAAAGGCAGTGTTGCGCAAAATCGATATGGTGATCCTGCCTTTCGTGAGTTTTTTTATCTACCATTCCACACAATTTGAGTATCTACTCACTACCAACATTGCAGATGTGCTTCGTATTCTTCCTACAGTATCTCGACAAGCAGAGCCTGAGCTATGCGGCAGTCTTTGGCCTGATTGATGATCTGAATTTAACCAATTCACAATATTCATGGTCTAGTTCAATCTTCTATGTGGGCCAGCTTGTCTCCGAGTATCCCTTCATATATCTAATGAGCCGACTCCCACTTACCAAATTTGTTGGCGCAACCGTGTATGTGATCTTCCTGGAAAAATCGAAAATATTGAAAATCCCGGCTAACGAGCTTGTCCTGAAGCATTATATGGGGTGGCATCTGCATGTGTCTGGCTGCACCGAATAATTTCGCTGGCTTTGCCACAGTCCGCTTTCTTCTTGGATTCAGTGAGGGTGCCGTGTCCCCTGCTTTCGTTACGATCACCGGTATCTGGTACCGAAAAAAGGAGCACACAGTTCGAACTGCTCTTTGGATCACCATGAATGGACTGGCACAGGTCGTCGGATGCCTAGTTATGTATGGCATCGGAAAGAATAATTCCTTAACAATCGCACCTTGGCGAGTGCTCTTCCTCATTTGTGGTGCTCTTACAGTCGTCGCTGGTATTGGCTTTTTCTTGCTGATGCCCAGTGGACCCAAGGATGCCTGGTTCCTCAATGCACGTGAAAAGAAAGTCCTGTCTCTGCGTATGGCTGAAGATCGCGAGGGTGGAGACAAAACCTCATTCTCAATCCCCCCAGCTCAAAGAGGCGATGCTGGACCCCAAGGCTTGGGTAGTCTTCTGGTTTGGCGTCCTGGTAACTATGCAATCACCTGTCTTGACATTTGCATCCCTTGTCATTCAATCTATTGGCTATACCCAGCTGGAAACTATGTTATACACTGCTCCTTCGGGGGCAGTACAAGTGTGCCTGCTTTGGATTGGAACTGCTCTAGTTTACTGGTTCCCACTCCAGCGAAACTTGATAGTTCTTCTTTTGATCATCCCACCATTCATCGGAACCATATTTTTAATGAAACTTGAAGTGGCTGCTGGGTGGGGTCTCATCGTGGCTGCTTGGATGGTGAGTCTACTTCACATGAATATTTCTGCTTTCTAAGACTGATACCAATCATCCAGTCATCTTGCATAACTGCTTGCATGTCCATACTTCTATCCTTATCGGCCTCTAATGTCAAGGGGAATACAAAACGTGCAATCGTCAATACGATGTTCTTCATTGGATATTGTGCAGGCTGCATCGGTTCACCACAGTTATGGACTCAAAAGCCACGCTACACCGAGGGCGTCATCACTTCCATTGTGACATGGTGCCTTCTCTTCATAACAGTTATTCTATATCGCTTCCTATGTGCATCCGATAACACAAAACGTGATTCGGAGATGAGCTTGAATGCTGAAGCAGCTGGTCTTGAATTCCAACTCGACGGGAACGGGCTACCAAGGGATGATTTAACCGATAAGGAGGACAGGGAATTTCGTTATGCATTGTAAATTTGTTGCTACATTTAGACGAGTTGCATTGTCATCTACGTTCTTCCAAGGCTCTTGGTAATCCGGTGGTTCATCATCTTCCAATGTTAATTTGAAACCCCACGCTATGTTAAATTTACTCTTTTTCTCTGAATTCTGTGTACTCTGTATTTATTAGACTCAACTTAAATGTCTCAGGCTGCACTTGGATGAAAAGTTCATAGATGGGGTGTCATTTCCTGTTTAGGTTTGAGCTATTCGCCATCAGGTTTGCCATCTGCGACTCTGGATGCCCTGACTGCGGAACTTTGATATTCGGCCCCCACGAGAATCTTACATAGGGAGCATCACAGTTTTCAGAGTCTTTTTGTACTCTGGGCCAAATTTCAAAGAAAATATAAATTATCCCGCTCTATGGCCCTGCTCTCGGAGGTGCATTTCATGTGCGTAAATATGAGGCTCAGATAGTCTTCTTCAGCTCCAGCAGCTGCCAAGAACCGGTACAGATTGATATGAAACAATCGGATAGGCTAATCCAATTTGGTCTAGCTCCTTTTATTCTCAGCAGGGGCTGTGCCCCGGCTTACTTCAAAGACAGAATCCTGCAGGAAAAGCAACAATTCAGATTCTGTGCTGGTAGAAATTCCGAGGGCGGGCAAGAGAACCGGTCAAAGATTCCACTTCTCAAAATGACATCGACCAATCGCCGAGTTTCCAAAGGCAGGTCCCGCAATGGATGTGCGACATGCAAGTGAGTACCCGCCAAAACGTGCCCGTCTGCCTAACGGAAGAGGGCGAGTTTCCACCACTAACAAATACCGAACACAGAATTCGCCGAATAAAGTGTGATGAACAAAAGCCCGCTTGTTACAAATGTGTCTCTACTGGAAGGAAATGCAGTGGTTATGGAGAGCCCGGGGATCATACCACTCAAGCCGCTGTTGATGCCCAAAATCGGTTCCACATCGTTCAGCATGTGCCCGGTATTTCACAACCAACTCGCATGTGGCAGGTTCCACAATCTACAGATCTACTCTTGGAGTCTGAATACCGATCTCTTGAATTTTTCCAAATCAATACTACGCTCTGCTTTGGCTCTGGTATTGGCACATTTCTTCTCCAGGCTGTCCACCATGAACCGATCCTCAAATCGATTGCGATCGCACTTGGATCTTTACATCGGTCCTTCACTCATAAACAAAGTCTCACATCTAACAATCATGAAGAAACTCGATTTACCCTCCTGCACTACAATAAAGCCATTCGAGACCTAGTTGCCATCAACCCGAAAACCAGTTATAGAGGGAACGACACGTTTCTTATCGCCTGCATACTCTTTTACTGCTTCGACTGTCTCCAGGGAAACTTTAAGTCTGCTTTCCAACATGCCATATCTGGACTCAAGATCATCAAGCATGAACAGCTAATAGCGAACGGCTCTGGCATTGGAACATATATGGCTGTTGAAAGAATTACCCTTCTTTTCTCAATTTTGGAAAATCAAGTCTTGGAGATTGAGAATGAAGGAATTCTCACATCCGAGTTGCGACCAACAGCTTCTTCATTTTTGCACCCCTCCAAAAGTCCATCCGCCTTCTCGAATGATATTGAAGCCATGTTCATTTCTTTCCAATTTTTATATAATCGCTTCATGCGCTTTTTGGCCATCTGTGTCTCGCTAGGGGAGCCACTAAATGAACAATCGCCCGAGTTCCTTGAAAGTATTCAGTGCATCACTGCTGAATATGCTCGGGTCCGGACAAATATAGAAACTTGGATATATACCTTCGAGAATTGGCTTGAACAGCCCTCATCGCGCGGGAACGATAGTGCTTCTGTTCAGATTCTCAAAGTCTGGAGATTGATAATTGGAATTTTTCTCCAACTACCCCTTCCGCCCTCGGAGGTTGATTGGGATCACTTTACAGATGATTTTTCTGCAGTCAATCGCCTCGTTGCAAATTTCATTGACGCCCCTTCGAAAAGTACCTTGTCGCGTCATTCTTCACCGAATACCCCTACACCAAGCACAAACCAGGCGGGTAGTATTCCAAGAATATCCTCGCTTCCTACTCTGCTTCCAAAACCCTCAAAATCAGAGACTTCCATGTTTTCATTGTCTCTAGGTGTTGTCACTCCTCTCTATCTCTGCGCCACACGCTGCCGAGAGTCCTCTGTTCGCCATCATTCTATTGGATTGATGTCATACTGTCAGCGTCGAGAAGGACTGTGGGATTCTGATTTAGCAGCGCGTATTGCGAAGCGAATTGTGACAATTGAAGAGGAAGCAGCTCAAATCCTACCAGGGTCCGACTATGCACCTGCTAATATTGGGCCATCCTGTCGAGTTAGATCCTTGTCTCCAGCCTTCGAACACTCAGGCCAGGTTAAGATAAGGTATAATAGAGAAGGATATCCCCCTTATATGACAGAAGAGATATTTACATGGTAATCGGACTTGGTTTTTCGTTATTTTAAATATTACAGGTTTTAAAGATTTTATCAGTCAATCTCATTAAAGTATTATCTCATCTTTGAAATTTATCTTGAGGTTGTTCCCAGCATGTATCAGAATGCCGCGTAATCTAATTCTCAGCCTTGATAATATCTGCCGCGCGCTCCGCAACAGCATAAACGGTACTCTGTAAGTGTCCGCAAACCTGGAAAGGTAAAACGGACGCATCTACTACGCGAACATTGGATACGCCGTATACTTTCAGGGATGTGTCAACGACTCCGCCGACTTCCTTCGGCATCATAGCAGCAGTACTAATGGGGTGGAAGTTGGATCGATCTGCTGATTATTAGTATGATATTATCTCTTGCATCTATTTCTGTGGACAAAAACATACAGTTATTCTTAATGAACGAAGACCAGCCTTGGTCATCCGCGTCGGCGGCGACAGAAGACAGACCGGGGCTAGTCTCAGAACCGGCCATGCTGGCAAACGGCTCGGTCTGGAATAGTTGGCGAATAAAGCGCGCGGCTTGGGTCTGGGCTTGAAGATCAAAATCCAGCATGAAATACTTGGGGTCGATAGACGCAGCGGCGGTCGGATCAGCGGACGAGATATGCACGTTACCCCGTGCGAAAGGAACAGTCGCCCAGTACTCGGTGTCATAGGTGTTTCCAAACGGCTCTAACAGAATCTCTGCAACGGGAATGTGTGCTTTGAAGATGAGGTCCCACTGGATCTTGAAGAAGCGCTCAATATCCTTTGACCTGGTTACATTTCCATTGGCAGAAGCAACTTGTGCAGCATATTTGGGGAGATTGGCGAGGAGCTGTTTGCCGACAGCTGTGGCGTTGGAAAACATCTGACCAACAGACGGATAGGCGACATAGTCTGGCGCCTTGGTGTATTTGGTCTTTGAGTCGAACGCGAGTCCATTGTTCATCTGATCCTGAAGGTTCTCGCCAACGGTCGGCAGGTTGACTTTCGTTTTAATACCATACTTGGAGAGAACACTATTTATCTTAGTTCAATATTCTGAAATATGATCCGGGATGAAGCAACTTACTCTGGGTTTCCAACGCCAGACAGCTCAAGTAGGATCGGTGACTTCAAAGATCCGGCTGCAAGAATAACCTCGCGAGAGGCTTTCACAGTAGAAGTGGTTCCATTTGCCAAAGTGACCTCCACGCCATCAGCAGTGGCATCATCGCCAGTCTTCCATGTGAGCTTGTTGACATTGGTATTAAGCCAAACATGAAGATTGCTTCGCGACTTGTAAGGATAATAGTAGGCACGAGCGGCATCTTCGCGAATGTTCAATTTGGAATCGACCGTCTTGGGGTAAAGAGTATATCCAACCATCTGACCACCGTTGGCATCCTTGTTGTAGGGAATGGGTACATCCATGCTTTGATATGTTGTGTTCAACTTTTGGGCCAGCCCGTCATTCAATTGATCCGAAGACCAGCCTACCTTGAGAGGCCCCTTGTAGCCATGATCAGCAGGGTCGTAGGCAACGCCAGAGCCTTCCAACCAGGAGTAATGAGTAGGGACCTGGAAGCCCTCTCCTTTCTTGTAGTAAGGGAAAAGAGTTTCCCAGTTCCAACCTTTGTTTCCAACGGTCTCCCAGGCATCTATCTGGGATTTTTGGGCGCGGGTATACACCATGCCGTTAATGAGGGATGTTCCTCCCAGCGCCTTGCCTGCTCGCAGTGTCTGGGGGGGCTCCACCACCATATTCCTGGTCTTTCGTCTTGTATGCCCAATCGATATCTGTGTCGAACGCATTTCCGTAGCCTCCGGTATCGGTCACGTTTACATTGTCGTATGCTGAGCCTCCTGCTTCGATGACGAGGACATTGATATTTTCGAGCTCAGAAAGGCGATTTGCGACAACCAGTCCACTGGTACCACCTCCGACTACGATGTAGTCATAGGTAGATACTGATGTACGGGGAGATTCCGGAATGGCAAGTGCCAAAGGAAGCAGCGCAAACCCTGCAAGGCTGCGCATAATGAAAATGAATTGAAAAAATTGAAAAAAACAAAATTTGCGATGTCGTTCAAGAGTAATCCAGAGTCAGCCGCGACATATTTATATTTACGTCTTCTCAACGTTGGAGCTTTTTCTTACACATGGTATTGTGGAGAGCGTTGTACCGCAATTTACTCACAATAGAACAACGTTTCATAGAATCTCACAAATCATTATCAATCATGGCTCAGCATGAGAGCACTCATTTTAGAGGCTCGAATTCAATTTCGGATCCACTTTCCAAAATCCACATCTTACATGACGGGATCGACAGGGACAATCTTCAAAGACGCCTGGATTCTGACAGACACGGTCGAGGTCGATAGAGCATTAGGCCAAACAGCATAACATTTATTGGCAATGCGCTTTGGTTGCCTGGTGGTTATAGTCTACGACACATCATCACAGAAGATCGGCAAGGCTGCCAAGCACATAGTCACTCAGAATTTGATGATTTTCTTAATGACCTCCAGACATGGTGACGTATGATTGAAGGGACAAATATTGGGGTACGTTCAAACATAGTACTCCGAACTCTGCGAGTAGACCTTGCAAAGCATTTGTCGGGTGGCACGGCTATTCCGATAAACACGGCACAGGAAACTGGGCCGAGAAAAGATCGGCACGGAGCACGGAGAATGGTCGGCGTGCGTTTGATTTGTCCGATCGGCGTATCTACAGATGTGGAGATTGCTCAGTGCCATTCACCGATTTCTGGAAAGGGACGATACCCTTGAAACATGACATTTGTCAACTACTTACTCAAACTGAGACACTTGACATAAGCATCGGGTAATCAAACAAGCGCGGTACTACGATGGAGAATCAATGGTTGGTGACAAATTGGGCATCAGTAAAGAAATCGAGCTAGACGTGGAAATAATGGGATACGATTGAGAATCTGATAAGATAATTTCCGCGGGACACCTCGAAAAAGGGCGGCAAATTAAGCTTTGGCCTAACAGTCTCTTCCGAGTGGTCTTATGTGTGGGTGGAGAGGAAATTCCAAGTGTCTGTATTCCCTTCGCGGCTTGAGGGTGGGGACTAGCCTGATCACGATTCGGACTTGCATCACAAAACTTGCCTCATAGAGAAGCTGGTGTCTCCAAAGAGAGTTTGAGACGATGATCCCGGGGACTTTTGATGCTGATCATGCCATGAAAATGGTGGGCCGGGGATGGGAATTTCTAACACCCTACGTCTCAGACCCAAATAATTAAGTCGATTTAACGCAGTAGCTGCTACTTTAATTGAGCCGGTGAAAGCTTGGCTGTATTTAGACCCGAGAAGCTTGGAGTTGAAGTCTAGGAGTCATGGATCTATATCCATGGATTTCTAATCGTATATCTGCCTACATGTTCATAAATCGTGATTTTCATATATTTGAATCTCCATATTACATTCACTCAAACAATCGGAAAGTCGGTTTTAAACTTGAATGTTCTCCTCTAATATTCCGGACCCTATATAAAGATAAGATTAGCCGGTATAATCCAGAACCGTTTGTCGAAACGCACTCACCTTCAAGTACTCAGCCTCCTGGATAGTCTATCAATACTCTGGTTATGCGACCGATGAGGCTGCACATTTCCCATTAACGATAGCTCAGGGATCTTGATCTGTGATTCATTCAAATAGTGAAATAGATCGGCGTTGAAGTAAGGGAGAGACATCATTTGAGAAGTTCGTGGAGGTGCGTTTGGAGATGAAGGCTAAATTCTATCAGCGATAAACTCATTGTCTAGTATCTAGACAGGCATTCGGCATACCGTTGACTCGGAAACGACTTGGGAGGCTGGTCTACGGGCAATCAAAAGCCCAATTTTTGTGTCAAACATTCTGTAGCGTATACTGGCGATAAGAAAATGCTCTATGTAGCCCTCGGCGTGAACGCCACCTCGATGGTAGAATCGGGTACCTTTATAGCTCTTGTCGATCGCAGAACGTACGCCTTTCCTGTACCCCCTCCTTTTTCACAATAATGAGAACTAAATAATTGCCCACCAACTTCTTTCACAGGCACCTCCTCGGCCACCAACTACATCATCGTGGAGACGGTACTGCACAAAACACGGGCTAACAGCTAAGCATTCCATGTAGATCTCGCGGGGATCATCGAAGAACTGCCGACCGTGGATATCGGATATTATCCAAGAAATTTGCCGATTGCTCTCCCGTCTTTACCCATACCATTTGATAAGATGAGCGATCAACACTCTGCCGCTGAAGAAATCCTGGTCAAGCATATTCGACGATCCATACCTATTCGAGTATAATTGTATTCGTCGATTAAATCTTGTTCGGTTCAGGCTCGTGTTTCAATAATTGTTAGGGGTATGACAGGTTTCAGACCAAGCGTTGCTGTTTTGGCTATAAAGGTAGTATATTCAAACAATATTCATTGATTTCCGTAAGGATTATAAATTAAGGAGCATTCCCACTTCCTACCAGCCAAGTCGATTCCCGCCTGCCTCCTATTGGCGTACTTTTGTCTCGCTTTCGGGCTCTCCCTTAACCTGAGAACTTCATACACAGCTCTTTGTTTGGAATCATGACCATCGTCAACTTAAGCAATGGCGATAGCAGCCAGAAGCCGCCGTCCGTCACAACTACAGACGTCCTCATTATCGGGACCGGACCAGCTGGTGCTTCTTTAGCATGCTTTCTAGCATCATACGGTGGGTTACATATTCCTCAACCTAATCAATGGTCTTGAATCGACTCCTTATCATCATTTAGGAATCCGAGGCATCATGGTGAGCTCTTGCCCAACGAACGCGGATACTCCAAGGGCGCACATCACCAACATGGCTGCGATGGGTAAGCAGGCACCTCACACCGGGATATCTCACAAGCTGAAGTTTCATTCTAGAGTGTCTTCGCGATATTGGTCTTGACGCTGAGTGCAACCTTCTTGCAACCAGTGGGAAGAATATGATGCACACGCGGTGGGCGTACAGTATGGCAGGCGAGGAATTCGCTCGCATTCACGCTTGGGGCCACGATCCGAAGCGCAAGGTACTACTCAACCAATCAGCCTAGAAAGACATTTAAAATACTCATCCAAATCTATCGCAGGGTGACTACGAGACTGCTAGCCCTTGTGATCCCGTCGATCTGCCCCAAACGCTCCTAGAGCCAATCCTCGTTCGATACGCCACTCTTAACGGCTTTACCTGTCGCTTTGACACCACCTTCCTCGATTTCATGCAAGATCAAGACGGCACGACATCAACACTACGGGACAATCTTACCGGGGTGAAATACAAAGTTCGGTCGAAATATTTGTTTGGCGCAGATGGGGCTAGGAGTGAAGTGTTTCGGCAGGCCGAGCTTCCTCTAGACGTTCGACCTGACCAGGGACTCGCTTTTAATGTTCATCTGAAGGCAGATCTCTCGAATTATATGCAGTACCGCACTGGATGTCTGCACTGGCTTCTCCAGCCGGATAGAGAGCATCCGCTTTTTGGGTGGGCATGTATCGCGAGAATGGTCAAGCCATGGGATGAATGGTTGTTCATTGTTCTTCCGGAACGAGGAAAGGAGTTGGAGTGCAATCCTACTAACGAAGAGTGGCTCACTCGGATGAAAGAGTTCATCGGCGATGATTCGATCCATACGAAGATTCTCGGCGTCTCCAAATGGCGCATCAACGATGTTGTGGCAGAAAAATTCTCTAATGGCAGAGTGTATGTTTCTTCCATTTCATTGCTCTGCCAGTCACTAATATGTCTGCAGCTTTTGCCTCGGTGACGCGGTGCACAGACACCCACCTTCCAACGGGCTGGGCTCGAATACTTGCATTCAGGATGCATACAATCTTGCCTGGAAAGTCGCTTATGTTCTAAAAGGTTGGTTCACTATTAATTCACTCTTCAAATAAAAAGACTCCAAATTAACTCTCGTGTTGCAGGTCAAGCATCTCCTTCCATTCTTGAAACTTACTCCACAGAGCGCCAGCCTGTCGGTCGTGGAGTTGTCACCCGTGCGAACCAATCCTTCCGCCATCACGGCCCAGTGTGGGAAGCACTTGGGGTTTCATTGCCTAACACCGAAGACCGTAAACGTGCGCTCGATGAATTGACGCACGCAACACCCAATGGCCGCTCCCGTAGGGCTGCTCTACAGTCTGCCATCGAAGAAACCGAGCACGAGTACCACGCGCTTGGAACGGAAATGGGACAGTTATATAAAAGCTCCGCAGTGTATTCAGCAGATGAAAAGACTTCTTTCTTTACCCCTGAAGTGGTCGCTCACGATCCAGATCTTGTTTTGACTCGGAGCACCTATCCTGGATGCCGTGTGCCCCATGTCTGGCTCAACAATGCTACTCCGGTTCAGCGCATTTCCAGTATTGACCTGGCTGGTAGCGGTGCCTATACAATTTACACCGGAATCGGGGGTGAAGCTTGGAAATGGGCAGCAACTCAAGTTGGGTGTGAACTGGGCATCAAAATCAACTGTTATTCAATTGGATTCCGCCAGGACTATGAAGACGTCTACTTTGATTGGGCTCGTGTGCGCGGTGTTGATGAAACCGGATGTGTCCTTGTTCGTCCAGATCGTTTTGTTTCCTGGCGTTGCAATGAAGTGCTTGACGATGAGGCTCAGTGTGTAGCACAGCTGCGGGGGGTCATGCTGAGCATTCTCGGCTACAAAGTTGAGACTCGATAGCCTTGGTCTCGATGTTCGGTAGAAATCGATAACCCTTGGAAGTCGTCTAGATACTTACTGTCGAGTTCCCGCCGTGTTACAATGATGAAACAAATGGACATTTTAGCTACACTACAAAGCCATGGATTTTCTCTCAAGTTCTTGCCTGGACTAGATCCCGGCTCCTAGCCGAGCCGAGTAACTGTCACGAAGTCCTCAAATGGATCGGTTTCTTCTGCCAGACCCACATCTCTCTGAAAAGGCCTTCGAGACCAACGTTTGGAACGGGTAAATTTTTCTGACTAATGATTGATTGTGGTTCCTGAGCCACACCATGTGGCAATTTTCAAATAACGGCTTCTATCTTCGGACCAATCTGCCGGGTTTGCTGAGGGTTACCCATGATGCAAACCTATCGTAGACTTAAACCATCACTTTTAACCACCAGTCTAAGGGAAAGAACGCCCAATCTCAGCCATGGGGGTCGAGGATCATGATCTGAAGCCGGTGCAATCCACACGGTCGATCGCGGAGAATTTTTCACCTCTCCGCGAGACACTGTTCGTCACGCTGGTATGCATGGCACAATTCATGACACAGACTAATGTCGGCGTTTGTCTTCCAAGTCTCGATATTCTGGGAGAGAGCTACGGGATCAATGATCCTGGTATTTTAAGTTGGATCCTAGCAGGTTACTCGTTGACCGTCGGCACCTTCATCATCATTTTCGGAAGATGTGGTGATCTCTTCGGATATCGCCGAATGTTCCTCATTGGATTCATATGGCTCGCAGTCTGGTCGCTGGTCGCTGGAGTCAGTATTTATTCAAATTATATCCTTTTCATCATCGCGCGTGTGCTGCAGGGTATCGGCAGTGCGATGCTATTGCCCAACGGACTGGCTATTTTGGGTGCGACTTATCCGCCCGGGAAGAAAAAGGCCATGATTTTCGCCCTATTTGGCGCTGTTGCTCCTAACAGTGCTCTTCTTGGAGCCGTTTTTGGAGCTATCTTCGCGCAGCTTGCCTGGTGGCCGTGGACATTCTGGACTCAGGCCATCGTGTCAGTTGTTTGTGCTATTTTAGGTTTTATTGTTGTGCCCTCAATTCATCATAATGACCAAGAGAAAATCAGCACTTTTTCTCATCTTCTCAAGGCACTCGACGCGACGGGAGCAGCTTGTGGGATCGGTGGACTAGTTCTGGTGAATATTGCCTGGAATCAAGCACCCGTCGCCGGTTGGAGCACACCATACGTCTATGTGCTTTTAATTCTCGGAATCCTGTTACTTGCCGCATTTTTTGTTATCGAATTCCGGTTTGCGGAGCACCCTCTTATTCCATTTCATGCATTCAGCCGTGACGTTTCATTTGTTTTGGGCTGCGTCGCATGTGGCTGGGGCGCCTTCGGCACCTGGATTTGGTATTTCTGGCGTTTTGAAATCGAGTTTCGGAAAGCAAGTCCACTTCTAGCATCTGCCCAGTTTGTCCCAGTCTCTCCAATGGGTATCGCTGCTTGTTTCGTTACGGGTTTCTTAATAGCTCGATTGCGCCCAGGGTGGATCATGATCATGTCGATGACCGCATTCACGCTGGGGAATATCCTCACCGCAATCGCGCCAGTGAACCAGACTTACTGGGCTCTGACTTTTATCTGCCTTCTCGTTATTCCCTGGGGTATGGATATGTCTTTCCCTGCGGCGACATTGATGCTGTCCAATTCCGTGGAAAGAAAACACCAGGGAATCGCTGCATCATTAGTGACGACAGTCGTCAACTACAGTATTTCATTAAGCCTTGGCTTTGCAGGCACTGTGGAAACACACGTCAACAATGGGGGAAAGACACCGGAAGATGTCCTGAAGGGTTACCGTGGAGCACTGTACTTTTCAACCGGGCTCGGGGGGGTTAGGCATTTTCCTCAGCGCGATCTTCACGATGAAGTGTTATTGGGAGGACAGCCGGTCAAAGCAAGGCGGGAAGGCGGAGGATTCGGAGGGATCGCTCTCGTCTGAGCCGTAATCTTCAAGGGTGGACTGCTCCAAGGCATCATCTTATGCATATGTATTATTGGAGTAGCTTTTTAGCCTATTATCCTGTCGGTCAACGCACAAATCAAATACAAATACCTACTAGAAAGTGAAATTTTCTTCTAATCTGATCGGATAAAACGGCTATGGAAAACTGGCAATGCGGCCACTTTCCACAAGCCACCATTTCATGTTTAGCCTTTTACCAGGTATCCTTTAGGTTCATTCAGCCAGGGACTCGGGCCTCCTCAACCTTGGGAACCTCGCTGTTATCGATCAGATAATCATACGAGGCCACTCTAATCTCGTTAAAATTTACCAGCTGCGACATTTCCCGACTCGGAAGCCCCCAGTGCAGGGGAAAACCCGCGGATGGGACAAAAAAGGCGCAGTATCGGAATCATCTAGCCCAGCGCCATTCTCCACATCCTACCACAATCCACAGTGTGATTCAGAAGTACGGAATACATGACATCCTGAACGCACGTGCATGTTGCGAGATGGGACTTTGGTGACATCCCATGGGACCGTCAACCGCGGCAGTTGCGGGGACTGCGAGAAATGAGAAATAAAGCTTTTCACTGGCCCCAGTCAGCACCAATCCCTGCCTGCCGTCCCTATCTATTTGGTGCAGGGTATTTCGTAGATCGTGATTTAAGAGAAGATCTTTCAACCCGTCACTTTTTGCTTTTTTCTTTTTTTTTTCGGGTCCTGTTCTCGCGCTGCCCCTCCCAAAAAAAATGGATATTCCGACTTGAACTGAGATACTGAGGATAAAGCAGCAGGGGCCAGCCTCTGGGTGGAAGATTAAGTTTTTCTAGGGAAAAAACACGAGGCGAGTAATCTGCGATCGTCGGACTTTGATCAGATACCGGGTGGGCGGGGCCGCGCTAGTATTTTTCAGTTTGGGCAACCGTGGGAACTTTTGGAGCACGGGCCCTTATCAATCAGTTACTTCCTCTCATATCTTCAACTTCTTTTTTTTCCTTCCGCGTCTTCCTCGTTGTTTCACTCAGTCTTCTCCAGAGGACAGCGGTGCCCTCGGACCCAAAATGGCGGGTAACAATCCAGTCTTTGCTGTCACCGGTGAGTTCTATCCCAATGCTGTCATAGACAGCATCTTGTGATCAAGGGATACTGTCTAACTTCAAGCGACCGCGCAGTCTTCTTCATTTGCTTCCGAGAATGTCTCGAGACGACCGTCGTTGTCTCGGTTCTACTCGCCTTCTTGAAGCAGACCTTGGGAGGCGATGAGGATCAAACCACCTACAAAAGGCTTGTCAAACAAGTCTGGCTAGGATGCGGTGTAGGTCTATTTATCTGTCTCGCGGTGGGTTGCGGTATGATTGGCGCCTTCTATGGCCTTGGAACCGATAGCTTTTCGCAGACGGAAGACATCTGGGAGGGCGTGCTCGGAATTCTTGCCTCCCTGATTATCACCATCATGGGCGCGGCGCTACTACGTGTTTCGAAGCTGCAGGACAAATGGCGCGTCAAGCTTGCGAAAGCCCTTGCACCCCAGAGTGAGGACCCCAATCTATCGCGCAAGGGCCGCTTTAAGCGCTGGCTAGAGAAATATGCCATGTTCATGCTTCCTTTTATCACCGTCCTGCGCGAGGGTCTGGAAGCCGTTGTCTATGTCGGTGGTGTTGGCCTTGCGCTTCCAGCATCTTCTTTCCCACTGGCCGTGTTCTGTGGTCTGGCGGCTGGTATTTTTGTCGGTTACCTGATCTATAGGTAAGTCAAGACGAAGCCCAAGTAACCTATTGGCAAGACAAAACAAGTGTTAATCCTGTGTCAAGGGGTGGACGAGAGACATCCATGCAGATCTTCCTCATCATCTCAACCTGTTTCCTTTACCTCGTCGCCGGTGGTCTATTCTCGCGCGGAATTTGGTACTTCCAAAATAATACATGGAACAAGCTGGTTGGCGGTGATACCTCCGAGACCGGCTCCGGTGCAGGATCCTACGACATCCGACAGAGTGTCTGGCATGTTAACTGCTGCAATCCCGAACTGGGCGGTGGTGGCGGATGGGGTATCTTCAATGCACTGCTGGGGTGGACCAACTCGGCTACCCTTGGCTCGGTGATCGGATACAATCTATACTGGATTTGCGTGATGGTTGCCTACGCCTGCATGATGTATCGCGAACGTCGGGGTCATCTGCCATACATTGACCCTGCCATGCAAAAGGTGGCAAGCGTCAAGGCCCGTGGCAGAGCATTCGTCCTACGACGACCTTATGAGCCTTACGAGGAAGACACTGGACCTGCTGTGGCCAGAGGGGCTGTTTCGAACGACCTGTTGAGTCAAGAGAAAAATGCCGGTGCAGAGGTTTCTACCACTGCAAAGCAAGCCGAGGCTTGAAAAGTCCCGAGTCTATTTCGGAGTATGTGATTGCATCTAGCGTAGTTATCAATGAGAGCGAAGATCAGATTTTACTAGTACATAATGTGCGATGATATTGTAAAACAAAGCTATGTCCCAGCAGAGACTTCCAGCACTAAAGTAGGAACATGCTAGTACAAGCTTAAACGAAATGCAAAAACGAGTACATGTAATTTATCCCCAGCACCGAACAGGCAGGTGGTTAGCGTGTGATGGGGAGGGCTTAGCAAAGCTTAGCGGGGTTTGGCCCCGTCGCGAAAGGCTTGAAACTTGAACCCTTCATTGGACCATCCACTACCTTGTCCCGTGTTCTGTTGATCCCCATCATTGTGGCCTCGTACGATTACTAGGAAGAGAAATTTGGGAAAATAAATTCCCTACCCGACCACCTCGCCCTGCTCGGCCCTTGTTGGATATATGCCTATGCCTATGCCTATGCCTTTGCCCGCTCCAAGTGGCAGCCCATCCCTCCGGGCCCAACATGTACGAGTTATCCCGACAGGAGCAGAGGACCCACCTCGCAGTTTGGGTCGGGTGGTCTGATCCCTTGGTTCCGCGTTTGTCTGTAATTTGCAGTTTGCACTGTATGAGTACCCTCTACCCTCCACCTCCGTACCATACGACGCAGGGAAACGGTAAGATCGATAATCTTATCGCCGCGAACTTTCCAGTCGGATGGGAATGCTAGACCTTTTTTTTTCTTTGCGCAGATTTGACTTGATTTGATCTTATTTTTTTAACCCCCAGTTCCTTGCGTGGTCCTGCCGGCTCTTCTTCTCTTACCTCCCCTCCCCCTGCCCTCCTCCCATCTGCCAAACTAGTGAGAGCCCTCTTTGGCAATGGCGTCTTCGTTGGCAGGCCTGCTCCTCCGCGTTGCGACGCTACTATGTCTGTTCCAGTGTATCCAGGCCAAAACAGTCACCTATGATTGGAATGTCACCTGGGTGACCGCCAATCCGGACGGTATGACGGATCGCAAGGTCATCGGCATCAACGGTCAATGGCCCTTACCCGTGGTCGAAGTGGACAAGGGCGACCGCCTCGTGGTCAACATGTACAATGGCCTCGGCAACAAGGATACCTCAATTCATTGGCACGGCATGTTCCAAAATGGCACGAATGGGATGGATGGTGCGTCCATGGTGACTCAGTGTCCAGTCCCTCCAGGCCAGTCCTTCACGTACAATTTCACCATCAATCAAAATGGAACATACTGGTACCACTGCCATACCAACAACTGCTACCCTGATGGCTATCGGCAAGCCTTGATTGTGCATGACAAGGATGCATACTTCAACGATATGTACGACAAGGAGTACACCCTGACGATGAGCGACTGGTACCATGAGCTCATTGAAGACATCAAGTGGATCACCCTTACCAATCCCACTGGCGCGGAGCCTATTCCCCAGGCGTTTCTCATAAACGATACAACATCTACAAGCCTACCAGTGAAAGCAGGAGAGTCGTATCTCCTACGACTAATCAATGTCGGTGCCTTTGTCGCTCAGTATTTCTACATTGAGGACCACACCTTTAAGATTGTCGAAATCGACGGTGTTTATACCGAACCTACCGAGGCCAGCACTCTGTATATTGCTGTTGCGCAGCGATACACCATTCTGGTAGAAGCCAAGAACTCCACGGAGAAAAACTATCCTATCGTCATGGTCGCCGACTCGCAGCTCCTCGATACAATCCCATCTGATCTTCAGCTCAACGTCACCAGCTGGTTGGAGTATAACAAGACCGCCGACTACCCTCAGGCAGTCATGAAAGTAGCCCAGTCCTCCTCGCTGGATCCGGTCGACGATATGAGCCTCGTGCCCTACGACCACATGGAGCTGCTGCCTGAGCCTGACATTACTATCGATGTGACAGTGATCATGCAAAACCTTGCCGACGGTGCTGGCTACGCGTTCTTTAACAACATCTCCTACACCAAGCCCAAAGTCCCGACACTTTATTCGGTGCTCTCGTCAGGAAACTACTCTGACAATGACGAAATTTACGGTGAATTCACTCATCCGACTATCCTCAAAAAGAACCAAGTGGTCGAGATCATTCTCAACAATGGCGATACCGGATCCCATCCGTTCCACTTGCATGGACATAACGTCCAGCTCATTGATCGTGCCCCCGCATATGGCGCACACTTTTATGACTATCTCAACGGAGACCCCGTGCCATACGACCCATCCACCAATGACTCCTTCCCTCAGTACCCTCCGCGTCGCGATACATTCATCCTTCCGCCCCAGGGATATGTCGTACTCCGATTTGTGGCGGATAATCCCGGTATCTGGTTTTTTCATTGCCACATCGATTGGCACTTGTCCCAGGGTCTGGCCATGGTCCTCGTCGAGGCACCAGAACAACTCCAAGAGCAAGAAAAAGTATCCTCGCAGGCTTATGATAATTGCCGGGTCGCTGGTGTACCCTATGAGGGCAATGCTGCCGCTAACACGGAAGATTGGCTTGATCTGTCCGGCCAGAATAGACAGGTCGACTGGCTCCCGGCTGGATTCACCACCAAGGGCATCGTGGCAATGGTGTTTTCATGCGTATCTGCGTTCCTTGGAATGGCGTTTATCTCCTTCTATGGCGCCAGTGGTATTGAGACCAAGAAGAAAGAGACTGCTATTGTAAATGAAGGGTCGGCTTCTGTTTCAAGTTGATTTGGTCCCCTTTCCTAGTCTAGTTTTTATGTACACATTTTGCCAATGTCAGGGACATTGATGCAGATTAATCCTATGTTTGATACCGCGGTGTCCATTTTGTCCATGATTCAACTCCACTCATTAGATACTCCAGACCCCTAATGTATTTGATCATCTCTGGTCGGAGATGCGGACTACTCTGGCGTATTTCTTCCTCGAACCGTTTGAAGGCTAGCTCCAGCTCCCGGCAGTAAACGAGCATCATTCTCTTGCAAGCTGAGTATGATAAGCCCGTCTCTTTTGCCAGTATGAAGATCGCAGAGAATGGATGTGCTCCGTCAGTCTTGTTCTCTTGGTAGGTCTTCCATTCTTTCTCCCAACTATAGACATCATTGAAAACACCAATGAACCTAAAAGCGCTGCTTTCAAGAGCAGAAGCCTGTTCAATTTCGGCTGAGGTTAGATGTAAATTCGCACTAAATCTAATGAGAGCCGAATAAAAGCTTCATGTAGTCAGCACTTGCCACTCTTGGCTATTCAACGCGGGAATTAACTCACGGTCTTCCAACATCGACCTCTCTATATTCAAGATAGGGACCCAAATGCTTCACTGTCAGGCGATTCTCGGTTGTTTGACCTTGTAGAAGAGCACAAAACCCCTCAATAACGTCATTCGCCAGCACCTCATCAATGCTTCGCATAGAAGTTAGTGTATCATGTAGCATCCATTCCAGGCATGAATCTCTATTGGGAGATAATTCGCCGCGTGCTATTGCCATTACTCGCTCTCGGTACTGCAGCAGGTCTGACATCTCCATCTTATCAAGTTGGTCTGAGCCACCGTCAGTAAGTCTCAAGCAATAGTGGACTTAGAGTCCTCACCATCAACCAGTAGGCCCAAGTAATGCATTTTCCCCGTCAATTCAGCGCGATCATCTAGCATGAGCGGGAACCATTCATTGAGAGCACGAGAGAATCCTAAAGCAAAGAATCCCTCCTTCTCTCTCTCGCTTGTAAATTTCCAGTTTTGCGAAAAATATGGTTCCACTCTTTTCTGAAGGACCTCCCATCCAAGTGGATGCGATTTTAACTCCAGACGGGTTGGAACGAAATCAACGGGCCATTGTTGTGAGCCATCTGACACTGTTGAGTACCGCCGGGGCGATATAGTGAACTTTCTGGAAAGAATATTCGTGTTTGGGCCATAAAGATATTCTCGACAGGCAGATGCAGGGATACCCCGGCTCAGAATGCGCTTGGCACATAGCCTTTGGAGTTGCCACATGGCATTGGATTTTCAAGTATTCTCTGAGCTCAATCCTCGCTTTCAGAAGAGGTCTGCTGAATTGAACAGTTCAATTAAGAGCAGTCCGGAGCTCAGGTTGAGCGGGCGTTGTAGTAAAACCCCTTCTGAACGGGCAAGAGTTTCCACTGCGAGGAGAAGGACGGGCACGGACCACCCACTCTGGGTTGATGTCACCACCAACAATTTCTTGCTTTAACAACAACCACTTCCTCCTCCCGATCACCACCACGATATTCCTTTCTAGTGGATGCCAGATTGAATCTTATTATTGAGCACCTGAAGCCCTTTCAACCTCCCGCATCAAGAACGCATCATCACCTGTTGATGCATACACCTAGATAACATCTGTTGACTCATTTGAATGCCACCGAAACCTGCCCTTCCCAAGTCTTTGAACAGACTGCACATTATCTCCGGGCAGCTCGGAACAACCAATCCATATTCTTCACTTGGGTCCTATACACAAGTCAGGTCAACACAACATATATCGACTCCATTAAAAATGGCCACAGCCGATAAAGCACCAGCTCCTTGGCGCGACCTGCTCAAGTCCCATATGGACCAAACCCCAGGCTATGAATTCACAATTGCCACCGTGGGATTTGACGAGAATCAACGACCAATTCCCCGTGTCCGCACTTGTGGCTGTCGCGGCTTTTTCCCGGAACTAAAGCTGCACCCGAAATCACAAGAAGACATGGAGCAACAGGTCAAAGATGGCGGTAACCCGGACACATATGAGAGCGACATGCTATGCTTTACTACTGATATTCGGATGGAGAAGTTAGACCAACTCGAAACATCTGGCCATGCAGTTGAAGCTGTTTTCTGGTTGAAAGATATGATGACCCAATGGCGGGTCAAGGGGAAGGCATTTGCGATTGGGGATCCGAGAGGAGAAGATTTTGAAGGAGAAAAGGAAGCCCACAGGGAGCTCCACGCTTCCTTGAGGGTTAAGAAGAATTATGATGGTTCTATCGCTGATTGGACTTGGGATAAAGCGACTACAAAGTACTTTGCGAACCACTCGCCACTTGCAAGAGGTATGTTACTCTCGTTGCCCCTCTTTCCGCATGAATTTCTCAACCAGTATGCGTTTAATTTATATCTAACCTCAATCAAAGGCTCATTCAAATTTCCATCTCCCGGGCTACCTCGATCCCAGGCTCCTAAGGATCCAGCTTTGCAGATGGGACAGAGAGTGACAGATTTACACGACCCCGTGGCTCGAGGGAACTTTAGGGTCGTAGTTATTCAACCAGAGGAGGTCGAGCGACTGGACATTTCAAATCAGGAAGACATGCGGAGATGGAAATGGACTCGAGGTAGCAGTGATGCCGAAAAAGATCAGTCTGGTTGGATTGAGACAGAAGTATGGCCATGAAATCAAGTGGTTCCAGAAACATTGGTCATGAATCTGAGTGAATTGTCAATCCCATCAAGTCCCGAAATCTCACAAATAGTACTAGTAAGAGATGTCAAGATTAGATAGTCGTGACTCTTAGTAAACGGCACCAGTGAAATAAATTGTAAGTGTTCCTTTGAAGAGTGCACTCAAAATCTCTAATCTCCATTTATTTTGTCCCCCCAGCACCTCAGCCCATCACCCGTCTTCAACAATCTAATTTCATCTTTATTTATCTGTTTCTCATAATGGGAAACGTAGCCAGAACTAAACCCGAAGGGAACCTTCATTTAAAAGTGGAAAGCGGTACCGAATATTCCTCTGAGAGACATCAATGGAGACATAATACATGGTTGGGCGAACCATCCAAGACTAACTCACCTCCAGGTGCGACGTAGAAATTTTCTATTCCAGATTGTAAATAGACGCATAACAAGAGAAAATAGCATGACCAGTGATGGAAGAAAAAAAGATATTCAGCATATTTATATACTAGTAGCAGTAGGGAATCATGTGACTGCTGCCCTGGTAGTAGCAAACACAACTTGAGCCTGAAGTTTTACATATCCCAAGCTTGTGTTGGACAAACTGTAGCTTGATTGTTTCTAAACTGGTTAGGTACGGTGGAACGCAGACCAGTAGGTGCCTACTCATCCAAGTGGCCTTATACATTCACAATATCAGGTTGACTTTATTTTTCAGGCATCTCAATACCGGCTTGTATATACTCTTTGTTAATTCGGTGAACAGCGAGATACCAGGAAGCTTGCAATCAATAATTTGCCCCGGGTTGTGGACTAGTAAACAAACTTGAAACCTTTATTATGCTATAAGGCCAATGATATAGGCTGGTCTGCTTATTCAACGCTTGCAGTTTAACAACTCTTTCAAAGAAAAAAAAGTCTACTAGTAGTGGATAATTAAGCCCAGATGGTTCCAAGCACTACTAGTAAACTCTCAGCAAGTAGTATCAGGAATAAATAATACAGAAGTTCAAGTTACAAATGTAAATCAGTGTCAGTCTATCTCACAGGATATCAATCGAAAATTCTCGGTTTTCAGCTGCCTCCTTTCCTGCGCATATTTGATTTGTCTAATACTAACATTGATGTCCTTGGCTTTGGAATGTAGGACAACGCCTTGACCGTACAGAATACGAGGGGGGCGGTACATACGCACTTCCCGCAGAACGACGGGCACCGATGGCTAGCGATGGACCAATGAGGGGCAACCATCGTGACGGCGGGTCACCCGTCCAGCTCTCCACGGGCAGTCCCGGCCTTCCGCGCTCAACCTTACGAGTATCAGTTACGGAGCAGTGTATGTAACTGGCATACTAGAGCATGACACAGTACAGAGTAGGGAGTACGCTGTAACTTCATTCTTCTAAACAACACTACTACCCTAGGGTAATCAACACCCTTAGCCCCCAAATGAAAATCCAGAGCGACCGTTACGTGTCATTTCCCTCTTGGGAAAGGCGCCCGTTCCCTGCTCGTCTCGTCCCATCCTTGTCTCCGACGTGCATCCAATTCCGAGGCTCGGCTGCATATGGTCGACCTCGCTACGGAGTAGGATTGCCCACATTGCACACTGCCGAGCCTGTTCAAGCGACGGCGAGGAATAGATGGGCTCGAGGGTAACCATATAGCATGGTTGAATATGTACGGAGTAGTACTCCGTCTTCCGTATGGTGGCCCTCTCTCGCTCACTTTTTATTCTCCATCTTTAGAGAGACCCCCGTCCCAAAGCCTAGAAAGATGAGCATCATACATTTCTTCAACAGAGGAGGGGGGGCCATGCATGACCCTCTTCACCGCTCCTTGTGGAGTCGATGGAGATGCGTTGACAGTTGACACTAACACTGACGGTTTGCCCGAATCCAATCAGTCTCCTACAGTGGGACAAGTCGTACAATGCAGTTGGCCTCAATATTAGATGACATGACCCTGTACTCCATACATTATCTTATTTTGATCACGACTGCCTTCTCCCGTCGACAGGGGGTATGTTATGTACTCGTAACCCAGTTCAGTATGAATACCCGTACCGATACCAGTATCGGGTGATATTACCATACATACACATACACATACACATACGCAGGGGTTGGGGCACACACTGTACGAGTAGTACTGCGGGCTGGTGACTGGAATTGTTTGTCGAGATGTACCTCTGATACCCTTCATGCGCTGCTTTGCTCTGTTCTGCGTTGCGCTCTTTTCTCCATCCTTCCCCGTCTTCCTTTTCGCAACCCCTCAACCCGATCTACAATCCACACCGTCTATTGCGCTTCCGACTACCCATCCTTCGCCTTCGATTGCCATTATAACCCTGCTGTCGCCGCAGGATCCCTTCCCACTCTCCCAAATTCCCCGTGTTTCTTCGACTCCGCCTTCGCCCTCCTAACGACGCAACGACGCCACGTAAAAAAAAAACATAAAGGAACTTCCCAACAAACAGAAAGGACCATCCCCCTCGTCAATCACCCAGGAGAATATTTCGCCACCTCTTCTCCACCCTGAGAAGCCCATCGGATAATTCTTTGCCATCCGTTGGGCCTCTGTCGAACCTCCTGAACTGAGAGGAGCTTCCCCGTCCCGACATGGCCATGGCATCATCGATGGATGCGCTGGGTGCCTTCTCCCACCTCGAAACAAATCTGCCAACCTGGATCACTCGGGTCTCACAGCTGGCCGACCACGCCGCTGCCAGACACGCAGCATACTCCGAGGCCTATCGCCGCCACACATCCTACAAGTCGAAACCTCGCCGCCGAAAGAATAGCTCTGTTGTCTCTATCCACACCGACAACTTCGTCCCGCTCGCCCAAAGAGATGACCCGAAAGTCGAAGAAGCTGTGGAGGATACAGAGACGGCTGTAGAGACAGAGACAGAAACAGAAACAGAGAAAAGACCTCAGACTCGAGACACACCCACCCCGAACCAACAGGCCGGTCGCAAACGCGGCACCGACGAAGCCCCCTCCATCGACTCCGGAGACCGACACACCTTCGTCAGCACCCGCCATAACGTGATCATCGAATACGACGGCCACACCCAAAAAGCACTCGATGAGATCGTCAAGGACATCGGTATTGCTAGGAACAACATCCGACGCGGGAAGATGGGAACAATGTCGCGAGGGGGGGCTACGCGCGGGCCTCCTCAACCGCTCCGCCGCGCTCACGGGCAGTGCGGCTGGAGGTGAGCCATCGGCGCTGGCCTCGCTATCTTGTGTCCGCAGCACCCGCACCGGCGCCGGCCTGGTCGGCGTGACTGGATCGACGTCTGGAATCCGCAAAGAGTCGCCATTCGACTATACCGACAAACAACTGGAGGTAGCCCACGGGCTCTGCGAAACAGCTGCGTACCAGGTCCTGCGATCAGGTGATTGCGGAACCGAACTCGACGGCGTGGAGGAGAAATTCAAAATGCTTTTGGAAATGGTTACGAAAGAAGTTGAGCGGCTTAGGGAAGAGAAACAGAAGCAAGAGGAAGAACAGGCCAAATCGCCACCTGTTGATTCGACTGAGGAAACCGACTCCAAACCACCCCCCCAACCCGGCCGCCGCTCGTCTCGCTAGAATCGCTGCTATCACAGCCTCCGCGAAGAAACCTACCTCAGAATCCCCCGGTATGATCGAAGTCGACGATACGTCTTCCATATCGGCCGAGTCCATTGACCTGTCTGCATTCCGATCCTCACGTATTCGAGTGTAGAAAGGTGGATTGGTCTGGAATGACGCCGCGGGGATTTCCTTTTTCTGAGGCCGCTCTCGGTCACCTCTTAGCGATTTAGCGTGTGTGAAGCCATTTCCTGCAAAACAAAAACCCATTACCGCAGCTTGATACGACGGTATTTTTCGACTTTTGATTTTCAGCTTCTGTCAAGGTCACGTCTTCTTCTTATCTTGGGCTTTTTGCACATTGATTTCAGCCTTTACTTACGGCACTTCGGTGAATGCGCCCTATACTATACCAATCCGTCTTTCTTTATTTCTTGTTTCACCCCGACATTCTTTTTTTTTATCTTCTCATGCTTTGATCCTTTACTCTTGTTCTTTTTGGGGGGTATTTTTTTACTTGATACCGGGCTTGATTTCTTTCCGTCTCCTGTCTATCATTCTGCATTGGTTCATGAGTACCTCATTTTGCCCGGACAAGCATGGCGTTGGCAACGGTAATGGCGTTTCGATCTTTAATTATGTTTATTTCAATGTCTTTATACGGATATGCTCTTATCGTATCTTGCACCTTGGACATTTCTCGACACGGGTCTGTTCACTAGTGCAACCCTGTCCAGTATCTATTCTGTCTGTCTTGGGAAAATCGAGTTCTTTTCCAAAATATTTCTCTTTTTGGATTGCGTCGAGCACATCTCTGTAGAGGCTCATGCGACCCCCGCACACGAACAACGCAGACAGATGGTGCGGCATCATTCTGACAAGCGAGATCAACCCATACACACTTCTTTACTCTCGTCTTGTATGTACAATATACCATAGTTTACGTTTTTAACCCCCCATCATGGAAATGGAAGATGGAAGATGGAAGAATATGTGTTTTCATTGGTGTCTTTGACCCAGAGCTGCGGTACCGACTTGGACTTGATTAATTCTCTACCTGTGTAGACCGGGCCTGCGCTGCCTGCACGACCGTTGTCCCCGTCTCCATTTCGGTTTCCAGCATGTCATGATTTGCCCGCAGGGCACGTAGTAAGGGAAACATACAGTTTGCGAGTGGATTCGGTGTCCATGGTCAATGCAACGAGTGGGCTGCGGGGTTGGTAAAGTGGTAAGTAAAGTGGTTGGGACGACTAACGATCTAATCCAAGTATGCGCGCAGACAGCGCGAAGGATCAGGATCAGGATCGCTGCAAATAGAATTCGGAGGTTAGCACTGCGTACATGGGATGAGTACGCATGTACGAAGTAGTTCTACGAAGTACATACGTAAAATCTACATCCTTTCCAACC